AAACAATAAACTTTCATTTCAAACTTTCATTTCAAACTTTCATTTCATTTCAAGCTAACTTAACAACATCTTATAGTGACCATATCAATATTAAAAATCTTTTATGTTTTAAATAAATAAATTGACTTGGCAATCGCACTAAACAATCTAATTTAATATAATATGTATTACTTGAGAGATACATTGTGTTTTCATGCGATGGCAAAGTCAATCTATTTATTGAAAATATAAAAGATTTTTAGTATTGATGTGGTCACTATAAGATGTTGTTAAGTTAGCTAATTACGTAATAACTTAAGACAGAAGGACCCTTATGTAGGGACTGAATAAATTAACCGACTTGGTATTACATGAATCTCACAACTTTTTACGGTAGAAGAACTGAGTTGCGAGACTTGGTTTTTTTTTACAAGTTATGTTTTTAATGACATCTCATTTCTTTTTGTAGATAGTTATTTCTACGTACCTATCTACACCTATTATTCCATTATATTATACATATATAGGTACACTGATTCATTCACTGCAAATGTAACTTTACATACATACATACATAAACACTCACGCCTGTTACCCAGAGGGGTAGGCAGAGACTACGGACTTCCATTTGGCGCGATCCTGACACACCTCTCTCGCCTCTTTTACATCCATATATCTACGCATACACGCTCGTCGGTTAAGGGTACTCTTAATCTGGCCCATTTTTAATGTATCGCCGATTTGGTCATAAAACCTTCATCTAGGGCGTCCCTTCCCGACCCTGCCGTTCACTTCTGCAACATAATTTTGCTTTGTCACTCTTTCCTCGTTCATTCTTTCTACATGACCAAACCACCGAAGCATTCCTTTCTTAATCCGTGTCACAACGTCATCTTGCAAACCACACTTTTGTCTTATCACACTTTCTCACCCTGTCAATCAGATTCAGCCCTAGCATACTCCTTAAGGACCGCATTTCTACAGCATTTATTCTACTCTCATGCTTCTTCTGCCAGACCCAACTTTCACTACCATACATTAAAGTAGGGACTAACACAGCATTATGAATTGCCATACGTGCCTTAGTTGACACATTCTGACTCCTCATAATAGCGTGTAGAGCCCCATTCACTATATTTCCTGCGTTCACTCGTCGTTCTATATCCTTGTCATATCTACCATCCCTGCTAAATAAACATCCCAAATATACAAACTCATCCACTTGATCAATCAACTCCCCTTCTATTCTTATTTCACATAAAGTTTTACTTTCTTCTCTTTCAAAAACCATCACTTTCGTCTTACTTGCGTTCACTTTCATACCCCTTGCTTTCAATGACCAATTCATTTAAGTAACCATCATTTGCAACTCGGCCGCCGACGATGCAAATATTACTTGATCATCGGCGTACAAAAGGCATTTGACGGTTGACTCACCCATTCTCAACCCACATTCTTCAACTTTCAAAGTTTGCAAACAACTGTCCATAAATAGGTTAAACAGCCACGGGGAAGCCACACATCCCTGTCTGACACCTTTATGAATGCCAAACCAGTCCGAGTAGACCCCGTTGATCCTGACACAAGCACTAGAGTCCCTATAAAGAGACCTTAATGCCTGTATCAAGCCAGCGCTCAACCCAAATGAGTTCAGTGTTTGCCATAACACATTCCTGTCCATTCTGTCATAAGCCTTTTCCAAGTCCATGAACGCACAAAAAACTTTCTGGTTTTTGGCCAAAAACTTCTCCGCTATCATGCGCATGGAAAAGACTTGATCCGTACACCCCATCCCCTTTCTAAATCCAGCTTGCACATCCCAAATTTTTCCATCAGTTTCTTCCATAACTCTTTCAATTAACACCTTAGCATACAGTTTACCCACAATGCTAAGCAAGCTGATACCACGGTAGTTTTTACAGTCCTGCTGCGACCCCTTTCCCTTATATATTGGGACTATTACGGCTTTGCACCAGTCTTCCGGTACCCGCTTCAGTTCCCAACACAAATTAAATAAGGTGTACAGCAGGCCTGCAACCACACCCTCACCAGCCCTTAGCATTTCGAGTGATACTCTTATCATATCCGGCTGCCTTACCTGCTTTCATGCTTTTCATTGCTTTCATTATTTCATCTACACTTATCTCCCTACCTCTCTCCACTTCTTCCGGAATTTCTATTTCACTTATTTCAGACGACTCTTCACTCTTAAACACGCTTTCAAAGTATTCCTTCCATCTCTTTAAATTCGAAACTTCATCATTCAACATGCAGCCATTCTCGTCTCGTATAGCATTCATTCTAGGCTGTTTTGAATTTCCCCTGGCAGTTCTTACGAGCTTCCAGAATTTTCCTGGAAGTTATCAGATATCCTTCTATCATTTTTATCTATTCTTTCTTGCTTTTTCCTTTCAACAACTTCTTTTACTCTCTTATTTATACGTCTAAAGTCTGCCTTTTTTCTTTCAATCTCATCATTCATACCGCCAGAATTACCAGCTTTAGTTGCTAGTAAATCTAGCCATGCTCTCTTCTTTGCTTCAACTTCCATCCGTACCTCATCATCCCACCACAACGTATTACTTTTCCTTTCATTCGTTCTCTTACTTACACCACATACTTCGGTGGCTGCATCGACCAAAACTTTCTTAATATTATTCCATACATTCTTCAATTCTAAATCATTCATACATAATTCATTCAACCCACCTATATTTTCGCTCAGTCTGCATTTATACTTCTCTTTCACACCTTCATCTTGTAACCTCTCTATTCTTATACGCTGTAACGCAGTGGTAGACACAGATGTCCGATGTCGCCAACGTTTGAATAGACCATTAATTCGGCATAATACCAAGTAATGATCCGTCCCTACGTTGGACCCCCGGTAAACCCTTGTATCTACCACTGCGCTCCTCATTCTTTCATCCACAATTATAAAATCTATCATGCTTCTATCATCCCCTCTTTCCTATGTATACATGTGAATCCTCTTATGGCGAAAGAAAGTGTTCGCCACAAAAAGATTCTTTTCCACACATACGGTGAGGAGGTCTTCACCATTCTCATTTATTCTTTCATCGCCAAACGTTCCTAATATCCTTTCATAACCAGACCTCTTCACCCCAACCCTTCCATTAAAATCTCCTAACATAATAATATTTTCATTTTCCTTACATTTCATCAACACCAGCCTTACCATGTCCCAAAACTGCTCTCGGATATAAGTGGGCTTAGACATATCTGGGGCGTACACCCCTAGCACAAACAACTTCTTTAAGCCCACTTTCATTCGTATCCACAGCAGCCTTGGGCTAACACATTCATACTCTTTCACACATTGACCCATTCTTTCTGAAAGGATGACACCGACTCCCTGGCATGGCCGCTCGGTCTCGTCTACTCCAGACCTGTAAGCGGTATACATGCCATGTGCAGCGACATCTCTTCCCTTTCGTTTCGTCTCATTTACACATAACACATCTATTCCTCTATCATTCATCATTTCGCATACTTCATCCATCTTATCATTCATTGCTCCACATACATTCAGCGTAGCCAGACGGGCCTCCGCAATCCACTTTTCGCCCCCCCGGGAAACAGGACGTGACGGGTGGCGAATCTCGTCGCCGGTTTTTCTCCCGGAGATTCTTCGCACCCCTGCCACATTAAAGGGGCGCCGGGAACTCGGGGCCATTTCTTTTTCTACTTGGCTCATGGTGCGAACTAAGGGGTGGTAGATTTTACGCCGCTACCATACGGCGAGGAGCCGAGTCTGTCGTTTCGGCTTTGTCGCTCGTTTAGCACCACCCGGGGGACACGTGTAGGGTGGGCCTAGGATTAGGTGGTCGAAGCCTACGGACGCGAGCGACTCGTCCCCCTATATATTTATATGGGATTATAAAGTTCTTTATGCAGTTAGTATATCTCGAAAACTGGACCGAAATTGCAATATATTTTAATTTTTCCTTGATTGATATACTAAACAATAATTGTATTCCAAATTTGAAGGTTCTGTCTGCTAGAAATGCCTTATAGTTTTGATAATCGGTCAGTCAGTGAGTGACAAAATTAGGAAACTTTGGCTAGTTATAATTCTTAAAGTACTGGTTCAAATTTAATAAAATTTGAAATATACCGAGTTTATACAATGCCTACTTAAAATTCAGGCTTCTAGTTTTATCCACAACGAAGTTATAGGGTTTCGAATATGGCCTGAACTGCTTCGAGAATAGAATGGTACGGCCGTGCCTCTTTTTTGCTCAACTTGGCGGAGGCACTGCCGTGCCCCCAGATCAGCCAGTACTATAAATAAACAGCCGTAGAAAAGTTAGCAACCCTACGTGGCTCTACCACGTACGAAATGGTATATTTATAAAAATTGGGTCGCTCTACGTTCTTTTTGTTTATAGTAAAATCTATTTTCAAATCATGAGTAAATCAAGAGCCGTGGTAGCCCAGGAAAATCAAACTAGCGTAAACGCCCGCCATAAATTAATAATACGTTAGAAACAAGAGGTCGACCTCCGCGGGCAAAATTGAAGTTATTAATTGCAATTTTAGTGTAATATATTCAGTAAAACATTTCTGGAGTAGGCGGACCACTTGCTCCATAACCCTCTCTGAAATACCTTACTTAACGGTTTCCCTGTCCACACAATAGTTAAACAATAGAAATGTTGATATATGATTCGTGGGAGAGGGAAAGGGTTGAAAGTGAAAAGGGACTTACTTTTGCTTAAAGGATACAGATACATTTACATAATATACAGGCATTAGGGCGAGGCGCTCCGGTCGGTAGGCCAAAGCAGCACCGTTCACCGTCGAGAACGCGTGGAATGAATTTGATATCACAGTCAATCCGGGATAAAATTTTGAAATATAACACTATACCATCTGGTGGTAGTCAAGCATGATGGGATGGAAAGGTTTTTTTTGAATCCGTTATAAGGATAAGAGCACAATTAATGCTGAAGTAGTAATTAAATTTATGTTGTTTAGTTAATTGTATGTTGTTGCAGATACACACCAACCAGATTGTGGGGTTTCAGTGGTCATGTGCAAACAATACTTCACAGCTTAATAGGGCGAGTAAGGTGTCCTTGGCCGATCGGTGGCAGGATATCTTTAATTCTCCCTGATAAATCTACGCTGACGTATGATCTCTATGAACCCGTCGGATCTGAACGCGAAGGTGAGAAAATGAAGTTGATGTAAAAAAAACTAACTGCATATTCTGTCTTATTTAAAAAATATTGAACTTCCGGGTATGTTTTATCTATTCGCAATGTGTGTATCAATACGTCATAACCTTTTGCTGATTACTATATCGAATTAAACAGAATTTTTTTAATGGAGAGAATTGTCTTATCAACAGTTCATTTTAATGTTATCGCGTTGACGTTATACGTAAGTAAGTTGAATCAGCTAACCCATCAAATTTTCTAGAAATGTCGGTAAAGCTTCTAGAAAAAGAAAATCCACGACAATATTATTAAATAAATAGTTAATTTAGCATTGATCAACTACCAAAATGCAACTTAACAAACTAGATTTGAATTTTTTAATGGAGTATGAGTAATGCTGTACTGATGACTGATCGTTGTCGTTTATTGTTGTAGATGACGTAACCGTGGCGATATGCCCCGGCATCGGCAACACCTCTGAGAGCGTATACATACGCACCTACGTGCACTACTCGCAGTGCCATGGCTACAGATGCGCGGTGCTCAACCACATCGGCGCACTCAACAGCGTGCCGGTAACCGGCACCCGGATATTCTCTTACGGTGACTCATTGTTTGTTTATTTTAGCTGACAGCTTCGAAGTATTTTTAAGTGAGGATGAAGGTCATTAAATTAACTATCCCGCAAAACTTTTGCACTTATAACATGTAAATAGCGTTATATGCATAGAGTGACATGTTTAGATATTATAGTTTCCGATAAGGAGTTCTAAGTTATCAGATAAACTGATAAACTTTTTTACGTGGTAGAGCCATGCTGCAGCTATATTACTGGTATAGTTGTACCACGAATGGGTCGGCTCGACCGGGGAAGGACCACGCTCTCACAGAATACCATAATATGGCCATTCATGCTACAACTATACTACTATTATAGCTGCAGCATTGCTCTACCACGTATAAAATAAAAATATTTTAAATTAGTCGCATTTATCTTATAGCCCACTTTTAAATCACCTTGACCATCGATTGCGATAGAATGAAGTATAGATTGTACATTACACGCGTTCAGTTTAAGATGCGCGGATGTGTTGTGTTGTGCGAAGGGGCAACAACAACATGACGATCCACTTTTTGTTAACTTAATTATTTCGATATTACTACAGACGGACAGTTTAATCTTATTTATATGTATTAATATATATATATATATATATATTAAAGATAAGATCTAGTATTCGTACCTATTCATATTACAATACACATATTTGTTTCATTTGCCTTATGATAATTAGCCAAGGTCTTTTGAACAGCCTTCTCTTTATTTCGTCCAGCGGTAAATCAATGTCAAGGTATGCAACTCAAAGCAACGTTCTTTTTACATTATTATGTACATTTATGTCGCAACTGTCTATATATTTCAACGGAATGTTTTTATATAATTTTATTTTCGTGAAATTGGCAACGTTGAATAATGAAACGGATATTTAAAAACGGTATACTTGTCTAAAGTTTTAAAATGCAATATAGTACTTAGTACCTAGGTGATTTGAAAAACGTGTTCCAAACGTTCTGGCTGTTGGTTGTTAACGATAATATTAGTCATAATGTTATATTAATATTAACGTCATCAAAGGTAACTGGATTTCGCGACTCCACTTGAAATTATTTTAGTGTGATGACGAAATGTTCATGTTATTTGGAAACAGTTTTGGATCGACTGTTATTCGCTAATCTACAATATAACACGCCTTAAACAACGATTGGCATTCTCATATAGCTGCATGCTAATTATATGCAAGTATATCATATATATTATACTAGTTGACCAGGCAGACGTTGTTCTGCTCTTTCCGACGACCCTTTGTCTAATAAAAAATTAAATTAAATTCGCAATAGAAACTATTGGTGGTCACTTAACGGGATAAAAATTATCCTATCTCTCAAGTTGGACCAAACTGCACACAGTGTGCAAAATTTCATTGAAATCAGTTCAGTAGTTTAGAAGTTCATCGCGGACAAACAACGTGACACGTAATTTTTATATATAAAGATTATATTGTATATAGCCCTTCAACCGTTCCTATTCGTGCATTAAAAATATATCGGAGATACAGGAAAATAGGGCCGTAGCCTCATCAGTAAATCCAGAAAGCGGCTGCTGTGGGAACGAGAGAGGACAGGCATATTTCACTAATCTCACAGAGCTAGAAGCAATCCATGTTATCTTGTTATAAACAAACAAAGAACCTTAATGTTGCTTCATATATACCTACATAATATAATATACGTTAATAAAACACCCAGCGTTTTTACACTTCTTTGTATTATCTTTTTCAGGTCACACCGATGACTTCGGGTATATGGTAGATAATTTACTAGAGCGCTATCCAAATACAAAGTTAATTTTAGTCGGATTTAGTCTAGGAGGAAATTTGATTACTAAGTACCTCGGCGAGGACAGGAAGAGACCTCAAAATATAATAGGAGGCATTTCAATATGTCAAGGTTATAATGCTATTGAGTAAGTATATCGAATTATTTTGACTTTATGATAGGGTTGCCAACCGTTCTGTTTTGTTTTCCAGGACATGTCCAAGTTTTTGTAGTGTCCTGGGATGTCCTGTATAGTTTTTAAGCAGCGTCCTGGGTTTTAAAGCGCTCTGATAAGGTCATGTATTTTAAAATTCGCGCACCACTTTTACAATTCTTACGTTACGGGTGACCTCACGGCCTTTTTATTTTGTTATGTATGGTATCGTTTGAATCTAGTCACATATAATACGTGTAATGTACGCACGTAGCAAGTTATACTTCTTTAGCGTAACAAAACAAAAAAAAACTTAAGAGACAATTAGCCACTGAATTTATCGCTATTAGATGTCAGTATGCGCGCGCATCGTAACAACTTGACGGTGTCGTTGTGAGCGCGCATCGCAATAAATTCACTCATAATTTTTCCCAAACGCCCCTAAAGAAGTATAACTTCAAAAACGAAAACGAACCGATACTTGCATACATAGTTAGACGTTTTCTGCGTTGTCGGTTCGGTTCGATTCGCAGTTATGTTTGACAAGGCCTTTACTGCGTCTTGTTTTTAAACTGAATTGTCCTGGTATTTTTCAATTTTAAATTCTAGTTTTTTAAATTTGTGGTTGGCAACCCTACTTTATGTAGACTTAGTATACCGAAGGTTTCGGCATAGTTACTGAATATTCTTAATAATCTAAGAATAATCATAATAGCGTTAAGGTCGATTGTTAAAAAATTACACGATTGAATGATGATGCTAAGATAAAAGACGTGTTTATTTTTTACGATAATCATAACTCATTGCGACATAAAAACCGATGGTTAGCATATTAAAACCACGATGCATGAAACGTGAATTGTGTTCGAGTTCAAAGATATCTCGTCACGCGGCCTGGTGCAATAAATAAATAAGTGAAGTAACTGATTTTTTTTAATTCGGTGTATAAATTAAAAAAAAATATATATATTTGTGGAATAGTAACTATAACATAAACAACTTAAAGGTTAAAAAGTTACAGCCTATATACGTGTCCCACTGCTGGGCACAGGCCTCCCTTCATTTCTGTGAAGGTTTTAGGACAAGGATATATTATGTCCGCCGCGTTGCCCCAATGCGTGTTGGCGAACTTCACCATCCTCAACCCGTATGTTTGAGAAATAAGATGTTTTTTTCTTATTTCTCAGACATGCAGGTTTCCTCACAATGTTTTCCTTCACCGACGAGCACGTGCTAAATCAGCACTTAAAATAAACAACTACGGGGCATATCATTTTCAGCGTGTGTTCTGAATTCTTAATAATTCGCAGGTCTTTCCAACGTTCCAATTAAGAGGTCTCATGGATATACACAGATAACCTACAGTTCAATATAAAATTGCGGTCATTTTTATAAAAAGTATTAGGTATACTATATACCGTAGTTATTTTTTACGAAGTGTGAAGAAATGCTTAACTTACATATTCCGTCTGCACTTTCACACGGAAATCAATAACATCTGTGTCAAATAGGCTACAATTACGTAAATTCCCATCGACATGGGTAACGTTCATTGTAATGCTAGACGCTTTCTTTGCGTTGATCCTGCATTTGTATTGAAGTGCATATTGTAATTTATTTTATTTCTATAAGCGAAGAATAGTACAGTAGAACGCCGATTATCCGAATTGATTGAGACCGGGGTCGATTCGGATAATCGGTCATAGAGTGGTATGTAATATAGAAAAACGAACTGTCACACATAGAATAAACTTTATTAAGTTTATAAATGGTTTTACACTTTATAAAGTTTTATAAAGAGTAAAACCAGCTACACTCATTTATTCATTGAACATTCGCGCTTTTTCACATAAAATCGATCCTGAAGTCGGTTGACCAATAGATCGTTGCTGCAGAAACCACGTAAAAAGAGCATTCTCAAGCTGTTCATCCTTTGCCTTTTTCATTACTTTTCGCGACGAACATCCATCACCACTTTCCAACGCAGTCACAAAACTTAAAATTTTTTCATTATTATTTTTAATATCAGTTAACCAAGTACTATATGTAAATATAATGTACTACTATATGTAATAAAAATATAATGTAAGTAAGTGATGTTACTTACTGTACTTGGTTTTATTTTTTTATATTACGCTTAATTAAAAATAATTAATTAATTATAAATAAGTGACGATTCGGTTAGTTGGCGTTCGGATAATCGGCGTTCTACTGTAATAGTTTTAAAAATTATAACTGGACCTGAAAGAAAAAACCCTGCAAGATGTAATGATACGAAATTGCTTGTATTAATATTAGAGACCACGAAGTACGCATGGTCTTTGTTAGCAGAGCATCTGGCAACTACCCTGTCCTGGGTTAGAATTTCAGCCAGAGCCAAATTTGTGCAAAAACAGAAGCTGTTGGTATATTGAGGCCTTTTGTATTGCCATTTTCCCCGAGTCTCACACTGCACTCTGGCCTTCCTACCTACGATCTCATAGGGGTAGTCGGACATGAGGGAGAACTTGTGTTTGCATGTGCACTTTGTGGCACTACAATTACAATATAAATATATTCTGAGCATTTTATAGCTTGCGATTATTCGGAAATAATTACCGTTTTTGGAAATAAATATTCTGATATTATTAATGTTCCCAAAAATCTATCTTATCTAATATATTAAAATTAATATTTGTTTGTTCGTATTTTATACGCTGTCATACCGTTCATCAGAGTGCGCTAAAACTTTGTCAACTTATTGCTTGCATTTGCGTGAAGGTTATAGGCATAATACAATTAACTTCAGTAGTTTAACGTTTCTCTACGATGTTATTAACAACTTACGTGACAATAATATTCCGCCTAAGTATGTTTCTATTAAGTACTCAAGCTCCAAGAAACACTAGACATTAATAAAGAGGCAGGTTCTGATGGCTCCAATCTTCGTTGTCAGATGTGCTAATGGTCTTAATATACCGCTCCCTATTCTTATAACAGACAGATCTTTTCGCGAAATGTGTACCCGGAATATCCTGCGATATAAACTATTCTATCTGTACTACGTGACCAAAAGAATTAGGCGCATCACAGCTAAGACGTCATTACAACTAGGGAGGGAACACCGGAACGGTGATTGAGCACTACGGGAAGCGCGAGGATAGAGGCGGAGCGCGGACGCCGAAACCGCATTCCTGTCATGCACCTAATTGTTTTGACCAAGTTGTAAATCAGCACATGTAACTCCAATGCATAACAAGGGAAATAATTACTACGAAACTTTTAAACTCATCCTACATTATTAAGCTAAAACTAGCAATGATAGTTAAATAATATTCTTCCCCCCGGACCTCCGAGATGTGCAAACTTTATGTGTTAATTTTATTCAATTTAGTAAAGTTCAAAATCTACTTGCAATAATAGGAGCGCATAACTAAGATGACCACGTTTGTTTGTCGAAAAAAATGTACGAGTATGGACTTTAAGAACACGTCACGCCAGAACCTGTGTGAGTAACACTGTATCTATTTCACAATAAAGGCAGAAAATTGTTTACTTACACTAATAACCCGAGTCATTAAGAATACACAATATTATTGGAGCGTGGATCAAAATAAACCAGACGGTTCGAATATTTGTATGAAGTAGTCGATTGCGGCCATTAAAATCAGACCTCTCTATTAACACATCGTTTACCAGACACCGTATAATACAGTAGCGTATTCGGTTATTAAACAATCAAAGCTATCATATATGTATAACCACAGTGACATCATTACGCATTTTTTTTTCCTGCGAGCCTGGTACTATAAACAACAATGCCTGTCGATCGTACGCCGACTAAGAAGACGCTTGCGCACTCTGATCACTGCGTCCGACCCAAATATCTGCAGAAAGCTTGATGAGCCAGAACTTTGTACCATAACCAGCCGAACTGAAAGGAAAAGGGAAGAGAGTATAAAACAATCAGAATTTATTGTATTTAAAAGGGAAATCATAAAAATGTTTTCTGAATTTAAAGAAGAACAACGGTTATACCTTGCATCTATTAGTTCAAGCATCGATGAAGTCAAGTCACAAAACAATAAATTACAGGAGTCCGTGGAATTCATGTCTGAAAAATACGATGAGGTGATACAAAAAAATTGCCATCTTGAGGAGGAGAGAAAAGAAGATCGGAAGTATATACAACTTCTAGAAGAAAAGGTTGAACACTTGGAACGCCAGTCCCGATCAACCAGTTTAGAAATAAGAAATATACCAAAACAGGCATCCGAAAATAAACAGGATTTGAATGGTATTATTATTAATTTAGGTAAAACCATCAATGTCCAGTTTCAGCCATCAGAAATCAAGGAAAGAAATCCCAAACGTAAGCAGAAACTGTTGGCCCTTCAGATGGGGTTAAGCAGAACCACGGTGAAAAGGGTGTTAAATGAAGACTTAGGGCTTCGGGCATATCGAAGAAAAACAGGACATCGTTTGAATGCTCGTCTAATGGACCTGAGACTGAAGAGATGCCGCGCTTTGTTGAAGCGGTACGCGGGAAAAAAATATCGGGAAGATATTTTTTCGGATGAAAAAATTTTTACCGTAGAAGAGAGCTACAACAAACAAAATTATAAGGTGTACGCACACAGTAGTGAAGAAGCGAGCAACCGTATTCCGCGTGTCCAACGAGGTCATTTTCCATCCTCGCTCATGGTGTGGTTGGGAGTTTCTTATTGGGGCTTAACAGAGGTACATTTTTGTGAGAAAGGTGTAAAAACGAATGCAGTTGTGTATCAAAATACAGTCCTGACGAACCTTGTGGAACCTGTTTCTCATACCATGTTCAATAACAGGCACTGGGTATACCAACAAGATTCGGCGCCAGCTCATAGAGCGAAGAGCTCACAAGACTGGCTGGCGGCGCATGAAATCGACTTCATCCGGCACGAAGACTGGCCTTCCTCCAGTCCAGATTTGAATCCGTTAGATTACAAGATATGGCAACACTTGGAGGAAAAGGCGTGCTCAAGGCCTCATCCCAATTTGGAGTCACTCAAGACATCCTTGATTAAGGCAGCCGCCGATATTGACATGGACCTCGTTCGTGCTGCCGCATGAGCCAAGACCGGAGAAAGCGCGCCAAGTTCGGTCGAACGTGAAGGTTTTGCTCACAGTTTTTTCTCGATTGCAGGGGCGTGGTGCATCATGAGTTTTTGCCACAGGGTAGTACCGTCAATAAGGAATATTACCTGCAAGTTATGCGCAATTTGCGCGAAGCAATCCGCCAGAAACGCCCGGATTTGTGGAAGAACAAAAACTGGCTTTTGCACCATGATAACGCCCCTGCTCACACATTGTTGCTTATGCGCGAATATTTATCCAAAAACAACACAGTAATGGTCCCAAAGCCACCGTACTCCCCAGACCTGACCCCCTGTGACTTTTTCCTGTTCCCAAAACTGAAGAGGTCCATGAAACGACGACGCAACGCCACGATTTAGATAAAGACTGCATCAAAGGAGGAGCTGAAGAAGATCACGAAAAATATTTTTTTTAAGTGCTTCGAGTATTGGAAAAAACGTTGGCACAAGTCCATTATATCCGAGGGGGATTACTTTGAAGGAGATAAAATAGATATTCATTAATAAATAAATAATTAAAAAAAAATCGCGATGTTTTTGGATCAGACCTCGTAAAAATGCCTTTATAAAAGATAAATTCCAAAAATCAATAAAAACTTTCAATAAGAATAACAAAGATAATAAGCTTAGTACCCGTCATTTAAATATAAGCTGTCCAAAAACTCCTGTCTATATATCGGAAAGTCTCACATCCAAGAGTAAGCGTTTATTCTTCTTGGCAAGAGAATTTGATTCGACGTACGGTTATAAATACTGTTGGACTTCATACGGTAAAATATTGTTGCGTAAAGAAGATGGTTGCACGCTAATAAGAATTAATAGTGAAAGTGATATAAACAAACTTAAAAGTAAAAAATGATATCTATTTGGTTAAAAATAATTAATTTTTTAGTATTTTACTTTAAGCATATATTCTTTAGAATGTCTTTTTTGGTAATTTTTACTATTATGTCTCTTTTATTTTATATAATTTTAATCAAAACACAAAAAAATGTGCCTGTAACACACTACATTCAAACACAATCAGTACCAACATACTATTTACAACTAATTCTGTACTCAAAATCGACTGTTTAAAAAAAAATTGTCCACGTATTTCTATTATTGCACTGCATTATTATACTTATGTATCCAGTTGAGTAACGAGATAGGTTGTCAGGTAAAATATCCAAATTAATATCACCTGTGAGAATAATATTTGTACAATCAATGTTAAGTTAAGTTGTACAGTCAATAAAAGACGTATGTTATTTAAATCAACCTAGAAATACATCCGTTCAATTGAGTAAAATTGCTGAAGCACCAAAAGTATCTCTCAACATAGTTAATAATTTCTTTATATCAATTTGAAGTCATCTGGCTAATACTATCCTAAAAAAATTAAATAAAACTGACCTTCAACTTGCCAAGGAAGCTAAACAAATTGGGCCAGCCCAATCTATGTCACTACTTTAAACAGATCCTGAAGAAGTTAGACTCATAATTAGTAGCCTTAAATCCAACTGTGATTCGGGATGGGACGACATTTCTGTAGGTTTTTAATTTACATTTACTTTAATTAACACCTTGTTAGCATATATGTAACTTAAGTTTTCTATCTGTGGTTTTTCCGGCTCAATTTAAAGAAGCAATAATTTGTCCAATATTTATAAATCAGCAGACAAGTCATTTCCATCAAATTATAGACCAATAGCTCTATTATCATCACTTTTTAAGATACTAGAGAAGCTTGTAACAAATTTCTTGCTGATAATCAATATGGCTTAACCGAAGAGGCGGTTTTTATTTTGACCACTAAAATAACATAATATTTAGATGAAGGTAAAAAGTGTTTAGGAGTTTTCCTAGATTTGTAAAAAGCATTTGACACAGTATCTATTCCTGTCCTTATAACCCGTCTTCAGAATTTTGGCATTCCAGGAATAGCATTGGACTGGTTTAAAGATTATCTCTCAGAACAGAAACCAAAAAGTACGTATTGATGACTGCCTCAATGACACTGCTATCTGCTCCTATGGAATTCCGCAAGGCAGTACACTGGGACCACCCCTCTTTTTGGCATACATTAACGACTTGTGTCACTTAAATATTCGTGCCGCAGACCTTTTCATGTTTGCAGACTCTGCAGACAGATCTTACTCTTTCATGGTCAGAGTTGGGATGCTGTTAAAAATCCACTGAAGAAGGACTAGTTTGCTGGAAGATAACCTACTTACATTAAACACCACTAAAACAAAATTTCTATGTTTTTCAAAAACCGCTGCTTGCAATCCACGAAACAAATTATTATAATAATTCACATGCATGCTTGTAATAAAAACTATAAAATTCATACAACATGTGAGTGTCCCATTCTAAGTAAAGCTGACAAAATATCTATAGATATCTCGTTATAATAGTTGATGATAAGCTTAATTGGGCTCCACATATTTCTTTTATTTCTAATAAAATCAGAAAGTTTACTTATGTTTTAAGAATATAAAAACAGTTGCAAACAGAAAACTATTACTACAAACGTACAAAGCGCCATGCCAGAGATTTTTTGATTCCTGGGGATGTGCTGCTAAAACACAGCTTATAGAATTAGAGCGAGCCCAAAGGGCTGTAATAATATTAATACCTTCCCTTCCTTACAGATGTTCGACAAATGGTATATAAGTTAACTGAAGTACTAAGTGTTCGCAAATTATTCATATATCAATGTCTTAGAGGCTTTCACAGATGTAGTGTTCCGCAATTACAAAATTCAAAAAGAGCTGTTTGTATAAGTATCCCCAAGGTAAAATACATATTTGGCAAAAGGAATTATAATTACCTACCTCCCAAGTTATTATTTTATTATACTAAATAAAACAGTGTGCACAAGAAAGGCGATCAATGCAATAATTTAATAGCTCCATACGAATAACTTTATGTGCAGTGCAACAATCACGCTACTCATACATATATCAACATTTCCTGATGTACCATCGACACAAAGAATTATCTCCTGAAATACAGGGTATCCTATCCGGAGTCAGGGCTCAATGATGTTGTATGAAATAGAAGTTGACAGAACACTATAAATATAATAAATTAAACTCCATTTTTCCCATCCAAGGTATTATCCCATTTCGTCCAGTGGGTTTCGTAAAAAACGACGTTCGGAAAAACCAGATCAACAGTGGGCGGTAGTGTCAAAGGGGCGAAACGTTTGGTATTGCCGCAGTTTACAGAGCTAACAATTGTGAAACGCCTATCAGGTCGATCGATATCAGGCGATGCTGCCGCCGCTGCTATTTAGGCGGTGGTATGCTTATCACGACATTGGGAATAAAATAATATTGAATATTATAATACGCATTGTTATTTATGAACATTATGTACATACTTATAAGTTAAAAACATTTATTGAACAAGATAATTTTTTCTTACTACAGGAAAAAACACATTTACAAGTGTTGCATTGGCAAATATTTTCGTTACACTTTCTTTTTATGGATGTTTTCAGTTTTCGCTTAATAAATTTAATTATGTAGTGTATTCGCATTCGGATAAACAATTTTATCAAAAATGGAGGGAAATATAAGCATGGCCGTATTTGAATTCAATTTTATTTAGTAACTTATATAATTATAACAGTAATTCACCATTGTTGATATTATATTTAATGAAACCGGCACTTAAAATTAGTTAAACTTATTTTAACTATATATATATAATTAGTTAACTAATATAAAACTAAAGAACTGTGGTATTGCGATCGTCAATCCGCTTAACAAGTGTCACGATTAAGGTCGATTCTCTCTACAACGGTAGAGGCCCCGTCTAGCAATGAACTCTATGGATTGATGAAGAAGAATGAAAGGTTGTTTTGGCAAATTGATCTTAATTGAGCACATATTTTTCAGTACGATGGTTCACCTGCTGCAGTGGCAAAACTTCCGCCGCTTCTACCTGTACATAATGACGGACAATTATCGCAACATCATCACCAGACATAAAAGGATATTGCTCAGTCCCGAAATGAAAAGCAGATACTCCTTGGACGAGAAAATGATAGTATCCGCTGGTACTTTGCCCGATTTAGATGAAGCCTATTCAAGGTTTGTGTTTATTCATCCACTAAGTAAGTTTGTAAATCATCTAATAGTAAGTAAGCGTTAGCTCAACAACAAACAAATCACACGCCGATGAAGAAAACAAATGATAGTGATGTACTGACCAATACTAGATTTAAAAAAACAAACGGCTCCGTGGCGCAGTGGCTTAGCAATGAGTTGTTGCGCTGGGGGCCGTGGATCCGAATCCCGCACGGAACAAGTATTTGTATGGCCTATAAATAACTGTTCCGGGTCTGGATGTTTGTCCTCGTGCAATTTATGTTTGTAAATTGCCTCCACGATACAGAAGAAAATCCTAGTGTGGGGTTAACGTTTAAAAAAAAATTACGACTCACCTTACGTACGGTTATTGTCCACTGCTGATCATGGACACCAGCATACTGGAGGAATCGCAATAACGTTGTAAGCTTTTAAGAAAGGAGTCGGCTCTTTTCTGTAAAAGCCCTTGTAGCTCAGGATATAAGCGTTGTGTTCGATCTCCGCCCTCACAAATGAAAGTGTAAAATATTGATAGATGTTTATTAAACACGCATTGGGGTAGCACGGCAGACTTCTCCCTTTACTAAACGAAAATGAGAGGCGTGTGTCCAGCTTTTGAAATAGGTTACCTGTTCATCTACATCATCATCATTACAGCTCTTCACAACTCCACTACTGAATTAGTTTACTACTTCGAGTCCTTATCCGGTGGTATTGTATCCAGTCATTTACTCTGATAAAAATAAATCGTTAGAAAATTACTACAATTTAATTTTTTTAATTAATTACAATCTATCAAAAGCCCACTGCTATACATAGGTCTTCCCCATCGATTTCTCATAGAGCAACCATAGTTTTTATTTATATTTTGAACTGTTATGAGAGGTTGCAGTTTCCCTCTGTCGCCTCTTACAACTTCCACAGGACGGGGTAGTGGGTTCTCTCACGGCAAATATTAATTACGTATAATTCCATGTTAAAAGTAAGTAGAGTTACAGCCAATATAAGTCCCACTGCTGGGCACACACCTCCTGTTACTGAGAAGGTTATAGAACAATAAGTTCACCGCGCTGCTTCACTGCGTGATGTCAGACTTCACATTTCCTCGAAATATAAACATGCAGGTTTTCTCACAGTGCTTTCTTTCACCACAGAGCACGAGCTAAATTAGCACTAAAATTATAATTAACAGTTTCATCGTTGCGGGTTAGGATCTCACCTGGGTTTCTCGCGTATTGTGACATTTACGATTAGCTCTTTACTCCTGAGCTTCCATGGCTCTGTACGTTTCTTATTCATAACGTTCAAATCCGACACGGAACAAGTAATTGCATGGCATACAAATAACTTTTCCTGGTCTGGATGTTTGTCTATGTGCAATTTAAGTATGTAAAACGCCTCTACGATACAGGAGAAATTCCTATCGTGACGTACCAGTAACGTTTTAAATTGATAAACTATTAAATTTTGGTGTTACAGACGAGTGTATGGATTCGAGTCAGTTACAGACTTATATAAATGGAGTTCATCTGCATTCTATCTCGACAATATAAAAACCCCAATGATATTTATTAACGCGAGAGACGACCCCATCGTTCCTGAACCGCTTCTTTCCTTTGCAAGGGAATTCGTTAGTAAGTATTAATAGCAATGTCAGTTTACACAGTTTTAGTATAGTTTGTGTGGCACACATCGCTCAAGGTTGACTTGCATACGTCGTTGGTGCAAAACGCCTGACTATAAGATCGTTTATTTCCGTTCGCAATTAAGGCATATTTATCTACTTTAAATGGTGGAAGTCTAACCTTATTAAATTCTTATACAAGATGTTCATATCAGAAGTTAAGAATGTCTTATTTTCTTTTTCAATGTTTAGTTACTTCTAATTGTTTGTAAATGTATTATAAACTTTTTAAGTATCATTTTGAAAAAGTTTTAAATTAAAAATTCACCCAGAATCCAACCAAAAATATTTACAATTCGTTAGTCGTAATAAAAGGATTGATTGCGGCATTGTGAATATATTTTTCGAGTTTTTGGTTCGGAAGAAATGATTTCAGTAATTCCAGTAATATGATAATTAAACTGTATCACGTTCAGATTAATTCTTTTATTATATTACTACACATTTGGCCTAATGACGGAAGAACGTACGAATTTTTCCAATACAACATTTATAATAGTTTTACTCTCACACCTTATATGTGTGGACAACTATCGGCTCCTGCTTTATCACGACATGACCTTACTTATATATCATATAAGCTTGTTTCTCCTAAGCACAATTCCGCAGTACTATATATTCGTAATTTCGCTAAAATGGATTCTGATAAACTTGAAAGTGACGCATATCGTATGGACTTAACCTCTGTTTTTAAATCAACTTCTATTGACGATAAAGTCTCCATACTTAATAATATAGTTCTTAGTCTGTACAACAATCATGCTCTTAAACATCAAGTAAGAGTAAAACGTCCACCAGCCCCGTGGATCATTAGGTCCGTAAAGGTGGCAATGACCAGGCGAGATCGAGCATTTGTGAAATTTAAGAAGCATCGTACTCAGGAGAGCTGGGATTGCTACAAAATGCTAAGAAACAGATGCAATCAGATGGTACGAAATGGAACGCCGTTATATCCATAGTAATATTACAAATTCTTCGACCGCCGATGTGTGGAAATTTCTTAAAACACTAGGTATTACTAAGGCCGTTACATCTGATCATGGTCCTATCTGATATGGATAAGGTCCATGAAATAAATCATTATCTCTACTTCTCCTTTGGAACCCACAGTTCGTTCTACAACAATAGCTTCCATTAAATCCATGCCTTCTCTTATTCCTTTTTTTTTTCACTATTTACCTGTGATTGAGGATGAGGTCCAGAAATCAGTATTAGCTATTAAATCCAAGGCTGTGGGTTACGATGAGGTTAGTAAGGTTATGATATCCATGATCCGTTAGTGCCTTTTACCTGCAATCACACAAATAGTAAACTATTCCCTTGGCTCAGGCCAATATCCTACTCAGTGGAAAAAAGCATTTGTGCGACCACTTCCTAAAATACCTAATCCCTCATTATCTACCCATTTTCGACCAATTTCAATTTTGCCATACCTTTCTAAAGTTCTGGCAGCCTGTGTTCACAAGCAAATCTTCAGCAGGTTATGTTCATAACCAAACATAACCTGCTGAATAAATATCAGTCAGGCTTTCGCGCAGGTCACAGTACTACCACTGCTTTGATAAAAGTCACAGATGACATTCGAATGGGAACGGATGAGCAGAAGCTTTCAGTGGTAATGCTTGTCGATTTTTCAAATGCTTTTAACACAGTCGACCACGATATCCTTATAGCCTTTCTAGCTAATCTTAGATTCTCAATCCCAGCTTTGGAATGGTTTTCATCCTATCTTCGCGGCCGCCAACAATCAGTTCGATTAGGACATGAGTCCTCAACATGGGCTGAAATTGAAACAGGCGTGCCGCAAGGCGGAATACTTTCTCCTATGTTTTTTCTATTTATAAATTCTATCACTTCAGGTCTCAACTGTTCGTACCATCTGTATGCAGATGATCTTCAGCTCTATGTGCAATCTCGTGTTAATGACCTTATCGTTAAGGTGTGGTTGATATTAACAAAATCAACCACAACCTTGATGCCATAAGAGATTGGTCGTACAGACATGGTGTTTCGGTTAACCCTTCCAAATGTAAAGTAACGGTTATAGGTAGTAGCAGAATATTAGCCAAGATTAATAACGATGATCTTTCTCCCGTATTTTACAATGGAACATTGCTGCCATTTTGTAAATCTGTAAAAATCTTGGCTTACATATGGACCATATCTTAAGCCGGGGAGTTCAAGTTGCTGAAATAAGCCGTAAAGTTACTGCCACGTTACGTTCCCTTTGCCGTCTCAAAAACTTTCTGCCTTTTAAAACTAAATTTCTACTTGTCCAGACATTGATATTAACCATTATTAATTATGCGGATGTATGTTACTCAGATCTATCTCAATATCTTCTCGATAAGTTGGAGCGCCTTCTCAACAATTGCATTACGTTCATTTTCGGCTTATAAGTATGACCATGTTTCCCAGTACCGTTCGAAGCTTAAATGGCTTTCTATTCGTCAAAGGCGCAGCTCCCGATTTTACAAATACTATATTCAATTTTAAATGACGCAAATTCTCCTTCTTTTCTTAAGGATAACTTTCAGTACCAATATTCTACTCATGATAGAGTTCCCCGTACCCAAAATAGTCTTAAAATTCGTATTCCACCACATAAGAATGGTTTCTTTAATTCCTCTTTTACTGTGCAGTGCATACTGCTCTGGAATGCCTTGCCTGTTCATATAAAAAAACCAGTAACAAAGATTATTTTAAAAGAATAGTTCGAGAATTCTTTAACAGATCATTCCTCATATCACTTGATTTATCCTACTTTTGTTTTTCTCCCTCTTTCGCTTTGTAATTGATATTTTGTATAATATGTATTTTAATATGCATCATGTTATTTAATTTTTGTGTAATATTATTTTATATTTATTTAAAGATTAAATTTTTTTTTTCATTTTTTTTTTCAAAAAAAAAATGAAAAAAAGATTAAGTATACGTTCATATATTTACTATTCATTCTTTCGTTATTACAAATTAGATATTAAGTTTGTATATTTTAAAAATATTTTATTTATTTGCTTTTTGTTGTAAGATATAATCTTGTTACTTTTTATTAATTTATGGAGTGGTTGTTGCACCTACCACAGCTTCTCAAATCATCCAGGGTTGACTGGTAGATAATGCCACAAGGCATTAAGTCCGCCCTTTATATCCCATATTATAAGGTAGATGTAAAAAAGATTAAACAAATAAATGTCACATACGTACTAAATTTATGGATCAAATAATTTCAGGGACTTAACCAACAGCGCCCGATCTGATCTGATCTAGATGATGCTATCGCAGAACGGGTACTTATTAATATCGTATTGAGAGACACTAGCAATCCGTTCTGACGGTGCTTAGATACGTTCTAGGACCGTAGCGTTGTCACGAATCAGGCGCTGCGGGTTAAAAGCCTTCAAACAAAGGCGTATGTCATTGCTCAGAACAGATTTCGTTGGACGAGATATCTCGACTACCGTAGCCAAGCTTTTTACTTAACAATTTTCTTCAAATGTCAGCCTCATTTGCACGTGCTAATTACTGCTAATTAACAAAGGATAACAAATGAACTTACGGACTGTAAGTAATAACCTGATGGTAATTGGCTACTAGATGGTAAGTGGATAGTGCAGCCTGGACCATGGATAATATATAGAAGGCTACAGATGCGTTTTCACCTCGGAAGACTAAGGCGAAATGCTTCACAGACTGCATTTATACACGCTCTATATACGCTATCTTCAGCACGGAACACAGTAGATCACGCACTGTTATTTGGCGGCAGAAATAGGTAAGGGTGGTGGTATCTACTCAGATGGCCTCGTAGGTAGAAAAGGAGTCTCACCACTTGGTAGTGTTATTGGGGAGGACAGAGTTTCTAGTGCAAAACCTTTTATAGACATTTATGCCGACTGGGGAAAATTCTTGGAAAGAGAAAAAAAACAATAACATAAAGTATTTTTCTCTTTTACAGGTTCGCACGATAATGCGATGTTTCTAGAACTGGCCCATGGCGGGCACTTAGGATTTTACGAAGGTGGCCTTATTTACGCGAATCCAGTGACGTGGTTGGATCGCGCGCTGGTGGGGCTGGTGGGCGGACTGCTGATGGCGCACAACAAGTGCTCGCAAAAGGACGCGCAGCTGCCCAGCGACCACTTCGTCTCCGATGATGAGCCGGACCTCATCAAATCCGCCAACCTTGTATTTCGCGATCCACTCGACAAATCTCAGAAGGCCTAATTTATTATATTCGAGGCCAGCGCAGACGACGGACGGTTCGCATCATACTTAATTGTCCATGAAATTAAAAAAAAAAACTATATAATAACGATTATGGCGTACAAAACGTACCGTACTTGAGTCCGTCGATCTTTTAAGTACATGAGAAAACACTACTATACATGGCAAGGAACATTAACGCACGCACTAGTTATGATTATTAGTAGATTAGTACAGTGATGTACGCGACGACCCGCCGTGAACATTTCCTATGCTTCTTTTTTTATTTCTTTAGCGGATAAAAGGCCTCCGAGAACCTTTGCTCGTCGTCTGTACATTTAATTACATTCAATCACTATTTATCACTAGGCCTATGTTATTATATTTAAAGCAAACTTTAGTGTCATGCAATGGGTAGTTAGAGTAGTTTGTAATTTGTTAATAGAGAGGAATAAGTGATTTGGATGTAATTTTATATTTAGCTACGGCAAAGCCGCGGTGATTTTTTATAATTACAAATTCCAATGTTGTTGATTACTTTTGGTTAGTTTAGCTAATTGTATTTAATACATAACGAACTTAGAATTAAATTATACATTATTCCATGTATTGATAATTATTATTCAAAACATTCTGTTAGGCTGAACTTATAGGCGTCGTTTGTGTGACCTCCAGTCTACCTACAAACTGAGGAATATCTAAATATTTAATATTTGAGACAAATTGCAAAATATTGTTATATATAGATTATAAAAACCCATTTATATTTGCTGGATCCATCTCACCATACATTTGCCTATAGTGCAAGTGCAAAATAAAATGCTAATTGGTATAATAATTTACAATGTCAATTCTTCATAGATAGTTTGACTGGAGGTGTTATGCATCGTTGTCAGGGTACATGTATAATATTGTGAAGAGAAAAAGTTTAGATTGAAAAATTACCAATATTTATTTATTTAGGAGTTATGTAGTTTATATGTGATGATTGGCAATTTTATAAACACCTTTAAATATGCATTTAACTTTATATCATTGTGATAATGGCCCATTCTATTAACACCTTCAAATATGCATTTTACTTTTTTTTTAAATTTATAATGTGAAATAAAAAGTAGATGAGTTTTGTTTAAAACCAAAAAAAAATTACTTGTTATTCTCAAATGTCTAGCACATTTGTTACGTACAGCAGTTAGTTAATTTATAATGTAAAGTATATACGTCCCACTGCTGGACCTCTTATTTTTGTGGTGGTTATGAAGCAATTTCACTGCGCTGCTCCAGTGTGTGTTGATGGACTTCACATTTGCAAATTTTTATTCCTCAGAGATGCAGGTTCCCACACAATTCTTGACTTCACTGCTGAGCATGTGGTAAACCAGCACTTAAAATTGCAATTATCACAGGTGCCGGCGGAAATTAAACTGTTCGCGTACCGTTTGTTCATTGCTCTTTGCCGGTCTCTAGATCTCTAACACTTGGTAAGAATTGCTTGGCAGATAAGCCCAAAATTATTAGCTGTGTATGCGGGAACTTGGTGCTTAGTAAGCACCAAGTGAGCGCACTAGTACTGCTATTCCTCAAACACAAGTCTGTAATTTTAGATTCAAAGTTTGATGAAATTCCCAAAATCGGTCGCCAGAGCCTCGTTCGTCAACGAGTGATAAATTTCAGAGATCTCCTCTCAAAGAAGAAGTTACGCATAAAACTTAATTTCAATCATATTATTATATACGCACAAGAACACACCTACTTCCATCAGTTCCTCGGTAGCACTTTCGAAAATCGACCGGCTTACTTAAAATATGCATACTTGTTTCTAGCACGCCTTGTATACACGTGCTAGGAGATAGCATTTGCTCGCTGGTGAAATGTTTTCGCTCTACTAATAAGTACTTGTATCTAGAGTAGTACTTGTATGTTTTATGTAGAGTGAAGAAACTGTGCAGATAAAAGTTAGAATTGAAAATGGCAGCACATTGAACTATATTTACACAAAACTATCGATAGATTTCTAATGGCTATTTTAATTTATTGTTACTTACCTTGTAATCTGCATTACCAACTTTAGGTAAATTACTTTTATATTACATTACTTACTATAGGTATATTTATTTATTTTTGTTACTGTAATAAATCCATGGTATAATCAGACCGGTTTTTAAAAGATTGAAAAGAGATAAAATACCTTTAGACAATTTGAATAATATTAAAAATGATATTTATGTAAGAGAAACTTGTTAAGGGAAAAAGAAATATTGTGATGGAAAGCCGTTAAAGCAAATTATAGTAAATGGTGTGGAGTGGTTATGAAAAAAAAACTAAATTTGGGTAAAAACTAAATTCATATTTCATGTTTTGGCATGGCCACGTACGGCAAAGTACTAAAGACACAATGGTTAAATTATTGTTTGAAACCATATCAATAAACAAACATTATGTGTTGTGTGTGAAGAGGCGGTTTAATATCAGGCAGTGGTACATACACGTAACAGTAGTAGAGAGCATTTAGTTATCAATGTGAGTTTTTAGAGAACAGTTTGCTATATAAATTTTTTGATTATATGAGCTTTATGTTTTGTCTTGATTTTTTATATTTATTTATTAAGACATACAAAACGTCGATGTATGTAGGTGACTCAGAACCGTATTTTGTGGCACTCCTTGGGGGACCTCTGTTCAGCAAGGACTTGTGAATATTACGTAATGTTTAAAAAAATATTAAACTGAATTTGTGCTTAAAGAATGAAAGACTAGCTGATAAAAAAAGTTAACCGTTAAGTACATCTTGATTGTTATCAATCCTAAACATCATAAGATATATGCATATGCAATAAATATATATATAAGAAAAACATTTATTTGAACAAAACGAAAGCTGCCTGAAGTCGGAAACAAGAGTGATGCAAATTTTTTGTAGTCTGTATGTATCACGAAGCGACTAGCACGCAAGCGAGAGGGGAATAGAGACGATGGCATTTGTAGACACATTCTTTATTTGCTCGGTTAGTATGTTTGTATTGTTATGTAAATAAAGTTGATTGTAAGGAAATATATCAACTGACTTTTAAAGTAATAAAAATATATATTGTTATATTCACTAATATATACCTATTCAGTAATCAAAAAGTAAAAAATTGGATAATATATCTAACCATATTGTATGATAAATTTGTGCCTATGGACATTTATAATTTTAGATTCACGCTAATGTGATAGTGGTACAAATAGCTTTTAATGACGATGGTATATATTATAGATTACATACCAAGCAGCATCGTAGATTTTAGATTTAAGGCTGTGCTAGTCGGGCCTTTTTTCCATACCAACATAGGTAGGTGATTACTCCACCGGCACCTTTTGATGATATACATTCAAAACTAAGCATGTGAACGGCTTATTTCGTCGGTATCTAGGCTTTTCGTGAATAAAAACAAAACAGTAAATAATTAAAAATTGCTGCGCTAATTATTTATGCTCACTGCGGTACCGGACACTTTATTTTCACGATGGATTTTATGGACTTTGACTTGTATGGATCGCACTTTGTCTGTACCTTATATTTGCAACGCAAAAAGCGCATAATTAACATACAAACATATCTATTTATATAAAAGATCAAATAAATTAATTATCAAAAGATACAATTAGCAGCGCTTGTTTTTATTATAAATATTCAGTTTTTACTAAAATAAAATTATTTGCGCGCACTAGCTTCTTACAAGAGTACTTCACTGAGTCTTTTCCTTTCTTATACCTACAACCTTTGATGTGATAGCAAATATTTTAGCTACGCTCACCAATAAACTTGAGTCGTAGACTATCGCAGCCTTAAATAGAGTTCAGTCTGGCCCTTGATCACCGTTAAAAGGATAATGTATATGGAGGAGTTAAGTCCACGTAAACGTGTTTCTTAGATTTTTCCTTTTTAATGTCACAAGAGCATGATACATCAGTATAGAATAGAATAGAATAGAATGATTTTTATTCAATATGGATTATTACATAATACTTATTGAAAGTCATTATTTTATTTACCACTGGTTCGGAAAATACCTCCTGTCCTGGGAAGAACCAGCAAGAAACCCAGCGGGACTTTTTTTTTTAAACATAATTTCACTTAACAATAATTTTGATTATACAATTTTAAATGAATTTTCATAGAACCAGCATGGTGGCGATCACCTTATTCCCAGGGGTTATTTTCACTCATGTATTCCTTGATATTATAATAACCCTTTTTGTACAGTTTTTCTTTAATAAAACTTTTAAACTTGTTTATTGACAAACTTTGAACATGTTCTGGGATTCTGTTGTAAAAGCGTATACATTGCCCCATAAATGAATTACTAATTCTGTGGAGTCTTGTAAGTGGCATTACAAGCTTATGTTTGTTCCTAGTGTTTAAGGTATGAACATCCTTATTCTTATTAAAGCTATTTATGTTTTTATGTACATACATTACATTTTCATAAATATATTGCGATGCCAAAGTTAATATGTTTATTTCTTTAAATTTTTCTCTAAGGGACTCTTTACAATTTAGATTATAAATCGCCCGTACGGCTCTCTTTTGCAAAACAAATATAGCTTCAATATCAGTCGCATTACCCCATAGCAAAATTCCATAAGACATTACGCTATGAAAGTAACTAAAATACACTAACCTAGCTGTCTCAACATCTGTGAGACTTCTAATCTTTCTTACAGCATATGCTGCAGAACTAAGTCTGCTTGCTAATTTAGATATATGGGGGCCCCATTGAAGTTTCGCGTCAATAGTAATACCGAGAAAAACAGTGGTATCCACAAGACTCAACTCCTCCCCATTTAAGAGCACATTGGTTTTCGAATGTTTTACATTAGGTATTGTAAATTTAATACATTTTGTCTTATTGCCGTTTAAGAGCAAATTGTTGGCGTTAAACCAATGTACTAGTTTCGATAGAGCATTATTTACATCGTCATATTTAATTGACTGCCGTTTCAGTTTGAAAATTAAAGAGGTATCGTCAGCAAATAATACTATATCGTGATTGTCCCCTACAAGATAAGGTAAGTCATTAATATAGATTAAGAACAGGAATGGGCCAAGAATCGAGCCCTGAGGAACGCCCATTGATACTACCGATCCGGAGGAACATTTACCATTAATGACGACTTTTTGAGTTCTGTTACTTAAATATGAAGTAATAAGTTTAAGCGCCAAATTTTTTACACCGTAATGTTGTAGTTTCCTGATTAATGTATCTATATTACCATCTATATTACCATTGCCATGCTCTTATTTTTTCATATATTGTTTTTTTTTAAACTAGCAACCTAAAATTGTCCAGTTATTAGACATCCAGTAAACAACTATAGTGAACTTAAAAATAAAAGGAAAAAAAAATATACAAACATAGCCTCAATTCTTCTTAAATAGTTATGGGAAAAAGTAGGTCCAGTATGGAAGAGGAAACAGAAGAATAAGAGATGATGATTTCATCGATTTTTGATATCAGTTTTCTCTTTCGATTGACTAGGTATATATCAGTCATTTGAGCACAATGCAATAGCAATTAGATCTGTTAAAACAATTCAAATGTCCTGTGCAGCCCAATATTATCTAAAAATTTTTTTTTATGTTGAAATTTTCCAGTATAAATGAAATATTTACGCATTTTGTCTTTTCATTTTATGTTTATTTTTTATTTTGGCTGTTTATATTCCAGTCGCAATTGTAAAACAAAGATAGCTTTATGTTCGGGCTATCAAAAAAATCACAACACTTTTGATCAAATGGTAATTTGTAAAAGCAGGTTATATGTATTTATAAAGAATGTTTTATTTGGTATATAAAAAGGTACTTATTTTAGCACAAATATACCAAATTACTGATTAGAGATTAATTAAAACATCAATGTGTTAATTTGTTGAAAAAGTACATGTAACTTGAAGAAGGTATTTGTATTCGTTCAAGAGTGTGAAGGTGAAAGATACAATAGGTGAAGAATCTAAATATTATTTATGAATTTAATTAACATTATTGTTCTTTAGCGTGTGTACCTAAAATTAAATCATCATTCAGTTTTTTTTAATGTTATGATTTGTTGATGTTTGCTCTAATAGCTTGTTGCTCGTTATTTTTAATACATTATTTAAATTCTTGGTTATGTTTCAATAAATATTAAAATAAGCTATTTTGAATGTCATCCATTCATTATGCACTGAAACATTTCAATAGAAATGAGCATTTTATTATTATTTATTGCTTTTAATAATACTTTTATTAATTTGCATATTTTGATTTCTAAATGGAGCATAATGCTACAATTTGTATACTTTAAAATTAAAGATCCATTACGTATTCAGAATAAGAAAATTAGGTTCATTTTATATGCCACACAAATACCAACAAACAAAGATGATGGACGAAGCGAGCTGCGTACATTTTAAACGAGGGCGAAACCAACCTTAAACTATGCTTAACTTATAATAAGAACGGTTTAAGGTGCATATGTGCGTCCAGCAGTAGACTTTGACAAGCTGTTATAGAAAGATGAAAGAAGAAAGACGTGTGTGTGAGTGTGTGGCAAGAAGTTGAGCATGATTTTTGCGTCACTTGAAATGCACGCAGCTCTCCATCTATATTTATTTATTGGTCTGAGGTCATAAATAAATGCTTATGTGATAATTGTTGTCAAAGCTTTATGTAATAAATATTTGTGTTACGATATAATAGGAATAAAGGATTTAATCAAAGGCCTTTTAGAGATTAATCTTTCACCATTGTGTTGCGGGATATGAGTTTTGCGTCGTAACAATATTGTTGAAATAGTATTTGTCTTAAAAGGGATGTAATATTAACGTCCAATAAATGTTATTAAAATGATAATCCATGTTTTTTTTTCGTTTCCCCATTCATATTGAAATTAGTTATTACAAAAGAATTGATAAATAAGTATATTTCTAAGTCAATTATATAAAATTTTAAGAGACGGGTGAATTTACGCGGACTTAATATCTAAAAGATATCTAACCTTATATTACTTTGTAAATGGAATATTATAAATGATATCCTTAAATAATGTGACGCAAATTATGAGTTTTATAATAATAATAATAAATATAAAGTGTTTATGTGTTTACATTCAATAATGACAGTGACAGAAGTTATCTTTTACATTGATAAATTTTCTACTGTTCAAATTTGAGCAAAATAAACATGAGATCAAAACAGTTATCACTTACGAAAGTGATGAGATTTAAAAAATACATAATTATTATTTTTAAACCCATAAAGTGCTTATTCGAGCAATAGCTAAAAATAAATATAAACTAAAAATTTACACTGTACAAATATTTTAAAATGTTTGATGATGGTGAGAACATTACAAATGTATCCAAAAATTCGATTTTAGAATTTGTTACATAATTTACATACAACATGAACGGATTATTATAAGTATGATAGTTCTCAGTAAAAAAATATGAATTGTTATGGATCAATAAAACGTTATGAATATTCCAAATACAAATATCACAACATTTTCCTTAAAATAAAACTTAATTCTCTTTACACATAGAATATCTTAATCAATATTAATTACACATCAATAATTGTTTGTTTATATGCAATACAAGTGAATAATTTACATTAAAACTAAGTTCAGTGCCAAATCTGTATAAGTTAGGGAATTATTAAATTTAATTTTGAAAAAAGTAAACCTTTATAATTTAATTAGTTAATATAAAAATGGTATAGGTAATAAAATATGGCCACTGGGAGAGGTAATACAATTCCAATATAAATACTAAATTAAGTAGTATTTCTTTTTATACTCGTTTATAAAAATTGGTGGCAAAGACAATGGTAAAATAAGTAACAGAAAATCGTTACAAGAGTGACAATTCCAACATAAACAGAAATACAATTAAATCAAAAACATTCTCATTTATAAAATCAAAAATATATATTCCCTTTTTAACAATCCATGTAAAAAATGTATTGAACTTAGAAAACAAAAGCTTCATTATTATCTCCTACCTACAATTATGGAATTCATATTTTACAGTCTTTTTACATGTCGGTTTTAAATCTGAGTATTATCAGAATAAATTAAAGCTCTTTTTACAAAATATGTATTGTATAAATAAATTACGTAAATGCAATCAAATCGTAAGTTATGTTATCATATAGTCAGCATATAGAAGTTGGATCACCTTCCATAGTACATGCTATATTATCTAATTTATGAGCTAAGTGCATTTTATTTTCTAACCCTAACATAATTTGCTCTCTGTATTTACTGACATAGATATATAATTCTTTTAGAGCCGACAGAGTGTCAAACTCATTTAACTGTTCCACTGATAGTTGTTGCATAGATGTGCTTAACTCTTGATCTGTTACTTGAGGTAATTGTGATACTGCTTGATAAAATTCAATAACCATTTCTCTGTACGTGGGTAGGTCCTTTGCAAAAAGTAATTTATTGGACGGGGAATCCTTGCACAGGCGATGTTCTGTTAATGAACACGCGTCCATAAAAGTTTGGGCGATCACAGAAAGAGAGGAATCAACAGTTGCTGTTTTGTTAATATCGAAAATAAAATCGGGATTTTTTATAAGATTAACCCAAAAACGCAGTGGTAAACTGTTTGATTTCCATGCATGTACCACTTCAGGATTTATAATACCGTGTGCTCTTGCAGCATCGTCAAAAAGATCAAATAACCATTTGACAGCCGGAGGCAATACCTCATTGACTGTCAGTATAGTACTGAAGAAGTCATCAACAAATTTATGTACTGTGCCTTTTGTAGAAAGTAGTCTGGTGAGAAATATTTCTGGTATAGCTTTGTGACTATGTTCAGAAGATTTATTTATGATGTGTTGATACTCAATGGGTTTAACCAAATGGTAAAAGTGGACATTTTGATCAGTTATATCACTATTATAAACTCTTATGTGGGAATTGGAGCAATAAATACCAGTACAGTTTTTACAGGGTATTTTGTAAGGAGTATTGAAACTGTCGTTTTGGCGAGGGATCAAGGACATGATAGCAGATTCTTTGACTCCATAATGAGCCAACGTATTTAATTTTCGCCAACCATTGACTGTTTTTGTTGTAACATCTTCATCCTGAAGAGTAACATGGCCACCTCTGCCGTGCCGCCATTCTAAATCAACTTCGTGGACGGAAGGACGCATAGAAAATGGAGTATTTTTAAATAAAGCATCTAATATTTTTGATTTTACTTGCGATACACTATCACAATCTAGAACTTTACATTGAACTTTATCGTCAAAATCATCTTGTACTATATGTAAAGTTACAAATTGGTAATCAATTTGCTCTTTCAAAAGTTTTTCTTCAGATAATGAATAACGTGCTTCATGAGTTATAGCATCGACAACACCTTTTTCTATTTGATGTTTTATAGCTTTAAATAGCAAAAATAATGAAGAGCCTGCGTAATCTTTAAGGTAGTAATACATACATAAAGCCATCCAGTTAGTCAACATTTTTTCTACAACACTTTCTGTCCTTCGCAACATTAATTGAGGATGTCTGTTACAAACAGATTTTTCAATAAGTCGTAGCAGTAGGGATTTAAGTATGTCTGTGGCATATTCCATTTTCCCCATTAGTATAATCATAAGAAGGGAAGCCACATTTACTTTGTCTCTAATGTTAAATGACTTTTGGGCCTCTAATGTATCTATAAATGACAGAAGGAAACATTTGTTATTAAGAAGTTGTTCAAATTGAATCATGGCCGCATCGTAATTAGTTCGAGGAGTATTTATAAATTGGCGTTGTACATTTAATATAGGATGGTCAGATACTCCAGGGAAGAAAACCTTCATTACATAATTAACATGGTCAAGAGTTGGAATACCAGAATGTTCCAAATCAGCTGCCAAATCAGACATATCAGTTTGCAGTTCTGCAAAAGCCAATTTACATTCAAGTCTCACATTACTTTCCAATGTGTCCATTTGAATTTGTATTCTCTTATATTCTCTCTCAGCTTTTGTACTCCTCCTTCTGTACATAACTAGCACAATCATAAAAATAAGTACTATAAAGATGGTTCCAGCGGCAATTCCTGCTATAGCTTCAGGTGGAAAATTATAATTACGTAGCAACTCATAGTGTAAGTACCCTATTGGAAATCTTAAATTCTTTCCAACTTTAACCACAACTAATGGTAAATTAATATCTGTTAGCTGTACACCATTTTCATCTGTGTTCGAGGGTTGTATTTCAGGGGGGTTACACAGCAGCTGTTGCATAGTCAAACTGGTGACATTACATGGTTGTGTACCAATTGTAACAACCACATCTGATTCATCACTTGCTCTTATTAAATTTTCCCCTTCTATAACTAAGGGATCACCCTTATAAGATTTAATGCGGTTGGGAAATTGATAAACATGAGGATCTTCAACAAACACCATATAAGTTCTTAAAGGATTAAAGTACTTTTCTAAATCATGAACTGTTGTCACATTATCCATTACAAAACCAACCTTCATTACTATTTGTGGAGTACTTGTTTGTGACTTAGTTGCTTGTATAATCTCATCATATTTCTTGTTTATTGCAGGACTAGGACATTCCATTTGATTTGAATTAAGGACTACACAGGAAGTGAAATTAATGGGAACTATCTCTTCTGCAAAATATAACTTCATTAAGGGTTTTTGAATAGTATGTAAATTTGTACCATGAACTGTTATCATTCTTCCACCAGATACAAAACTTTTTAATGGTTTTATTTCCATAATAGTAGGGTCTGCTGTATAGTTAAATAAATTTCCATTTAAAGTCCTATTAGCATTGTCAATAACAACTGTAATTTTACGTATCACTCGAGGAGAATTAGCTTTTGGAGTAACACAAATTAATCTGCTGTTAGATGTTTGTGTTTTATTGACAGCACATGGTAATTCGTCCAAATATGCAGAAACAGCTGAACCAATATTCAGATGTTGTCCACCAATTGCTAATTGAGTCCCACCAGAAACGGGACCAAGCCCAGGGTATATACCCTGTAATTTGATATTTTTATAACTAAACAGTACACTTGATTCAGTGTAACCAGCTTCATTTTCTACAATAACTGGTGCAACAATAGAGCCATTAGATGGGCCTGTACGACAAGTAATGCTGACTGATACTTCAAAATCTACTATATCGCACAACACATCACCAATTTTAACCTTTCCTGTCACTTCTTCAACTCTTAAGCCAAGGTTGCTGCCTTCTATAGTAACAATAGTTCCTCCTTCAATAGGCCCACTTAGTGGTTTTATCATATCTATTCTAGGTTTAGGACATGCAGTTATTGGATCTTCAAGACAAGACTCACTATAGGAACATGAATTACCACACCATGTACATTGATAAATAGAATTTCGTGTTTTACAAAGAGAACAATCAGCATGATCTCTGTGGGATCCAAGAATTTCACACTTATATAATGTTATGTTAATTGTATCTATATAATGTTTATGGTTCCAGTATACTTTGACACTCACATTATACTCACCAACATATCCTTCATATGAATAAGTTGTTTTATCACAAACAATGAAATGGTTTGATTCCACTCTAGCTGGTATGACCATATTAGCTAATTCAATACTAACTGAACACTGAAACCCAAAATGGCCGGGTTGTAAATGAGGTAAGTTTTCCACTTCAAGCTCCAACTCCTTGGGAACATTATTAGGTAATAATACTGGTTTTTTATACTGCCTTATACGAGGACAATGACCAATGCCATGATTAAGCAACTTTGTTGGGTTATTTTCTCCACTTATGACAGTTCTTTGGCATACAAATGTGTCATGTGTACATTTGTTATCATAAATACACCAATTGCACGCCCACTCACTCATTATGCAGCTATGACATGTAGTGTGCTTAGCACAATCATAAAAAGCAAAGTTTCGAGAAACAAAATCTTTATTGGTTTCTGAAGAATGTACTGAAAGAGGGACATATACATGGTCTTGATCTTGTGGAATTTTTGGCCTATGTTTTATATCTGGTGTAGGGCATGCTAAGCCATTAGAAGTTACTGCAGCATCAATAGGAGGAGCGTTACCGAAAACACATTTATATTTAGCCCCAAAGGGAAGTTCTGGTAATGTTCTTATAACAAGTTGCACTGTAGTTACTTCATTAACCGAAATTCTTTCTGGTAATATCTGTTCAAAATCAATACATTGCTGCCCTGTATATTGGGATAGCCATCTAGGTGCACTTTGGGTACCTTTTTGGCACATACTTTGGACTGTGCATCGCTTTTCTAATGAACACCAACCACAATGTGGATCATTAGATTCTAGGCATGATGAACAATTGCCATGTTCTGCACACTTCTCAGTTGGTATCTGTACAATAGAATTTTTGGCTAAAATATAAAGAGATTTTTGATATGGTGACAAAGTAGTATCTGGAAGTATTTTTTGTCCAGGTAAGAGCACTTCACTAGAGTATTCTAATGCTTTATCAGCATCAATTAGCACTTTTTTCAATACCCCATCACTTGTACCAAGGAAAGCCACAGTATGTAAGCCAGTTACAGACATAGTTACAGAAGTAATTAATGTATCATTCCAACTAATCACTGACATTGTTTTAATAGGGTACAGTCCACTAATTTTGAGACCTACCTCACAAAAATTAAGTATATTACCAGTGGAACCTACACTTGGACATTTACCATCAGATATCATACCTGATATGTATCCCATATTTCGTGCCTTTGTACTACCATTAAAACACATATGAACATTTTCATTAAACTTAATTTCTATATCTTGTAAGGAGTACACACAAATAGCAGACTTAGCTATTGGTTCATTACTGATACCTTTTGATGGGCTAAACAAAGCAACGAGAATTGGATCACCAGTCTCGATGCCTAACTGTGCTGCTAACTTTACACCTGCTTTAGCTATTTTAGCATCTTGAACTAAATTATAATTAACAATTTCAATCTTACCATTAATAGTTTCCTCCTTTACATGACATTCTAAAGTAACTTCAGTATAACTATTGTAGTTGTCATCATTGACACATGTACGGGCTAAACGGGACACATAACCAAGTTCCTCATTTCCAGCAAGATGAGAATGTTTTTGAATTAATAAGAAGTATGCATAGTCACTTGCGTTAAAACCATACACATACTGTACTAAAAAATTATCTCTGTATTTAACATCTATCTGAATCAAACTTTGTTTAGAAAATGTAAATTGGGCCAGTTCAAGTGTCATAAGATCACGACTTGAGATCGCAGGGACATCATGACGGTATTCTCCATTATTAGTAAAGGTTGTACCAACATATAATACATTAGAACGGTCCCAGGAGTTGTATCTTTCAGGACCAATAAAAGCATAAGTAGAAGCTTCAGCATCGTTTGCAGCGACGCTAACAGGTACAAATTCTGGTTCTGCTGATAAATCGCCCAGTTTGTATTTATAACAAGATCCTTGAGCCACTGATCCACATGCTAATACTATTCTGGACTCTTGATCTATAACCAATATTTTGTTCACGTTGTCGATCCAGGTCGTTTGAATGTCGGGAGATGGGCATCCACTGGCATGACACATCGGGTTATCCAGTTTAGGGCCGGTTCGGATTACATGTATCGGTTTCAAGTCTGGACTCAATTGATGTAGCCAATTCAATGAACCAGCATAGACTTGACCACTAATTTTGTCAACAACAAGATGATAAAATTGGAATGTCTCATTTTGATGAATTGGATATTGTGATATAAACTCGTATCCATAAGCTATTGTGCATCGAAGCCAAAATGATATTAATAATACTATTAAAGAAGTAGCCATCATCACATTTTAAACTATCGTTGCAATATTATTCTTCACGTTTTCACAACTACAACATTTATTTCATATATTATTCAACCCATTTTAGTATTATTACAAAAATAATGTAAAAGCATCGATGCCGATGACATAGAATAAACAATCTTTTTTTTTCAATACGGATTTACTATTTGAGCTGAAGTAAGAACTTCCTTGGGCCTTTATAAAAGATTTAAGTATTTATAAGTATTTTAATATATAATAAATAATACCTAATTTTAAAATACATTAAAATATATTCCTTCATTTTATTGATATAACATTTTCTATATTTCTAATTATACTAAAATTAGATCAGGAAAGATTTACCCTGCAGGTTACGATTATTCAAATAATTTTTTAAAATGTATGTGATAAGTTTTATTTGCCGATGTCAGTGGATTTCGTGTATTAAATGTTTGTACTTGTAAAGTACAACTTAAAGCAATAAAACAAGTGCTATGATGATAAAAAAATATCTCAACTTCGTGGATTTTGTTGATATATTTATATTTCATATAATGTATTATATTTTACAAAGTTATCTGTGGATTTATTAGAGTAGGTACATAGTGAAAACTCGAAAGGAACTTGACCCGAGTTAACTCGCATTGAAGTTCACGTAACTCCAGTTGAACTCGAGTTAAGTACAATACGGCCGACGTATCTTGGCGAGTCCGACCTTCGCGCAGAAGGTTGCGCAATAGCTTTTTTAAGGAACAAAATGGTGGCATGAGGCGACGTACGGGGGGCGGTGGTCTAGGCTAGAGATTGACCATAAGTAAACACAATCGACCCTTTAGTCATAAAATATCGCAATCGATTAGTTTTATTTAGAAGTTATTGATTTTTGTTTATATAAGATATTAAACGAAATAGATTTACAAATATAGTGAATTTTGTTGATAATAAACAAGATTTCGACTTAAATAAAAAAAAAAAACTAAAAACATATTATTTTCTCAGCTGAAAGACATAATGTACTTAAATATCAATTATCTATTAACGTCTTCTTGAGTAACGACTATTTGAGAAAATTTAGAACCTCCTTATAAATTGCAAATAAATATATTTTTATGTCTTAATTTTAATCGATTTGAATAAAAATCGATTAAACAACACCCTCAGGCACGCGTGTTGGACATCCCTTTCTGGTTACTTCGTAAAGCTTCGTGCTTATTCGGCAATGCTCGGTACACGGTAATATTTCTCAGTCACACGTTAGCATTGGTGTCGTGTTCGTGTCGCTATCTCTGTCTTGAGCACAGTCGGTTACAAAAGTTTTCGTTGTTATTGTTGTTTGTTTTTATTAATAGTGTTAAGTTTGTTTTGTTTGTTTTATTTGTTTTATTTGTTTTATTTGCAAGTGTCAGTTAGCACTTATATTATTCGCCAAACATGCCACCAAAACATAACAGTGTGTTAAATCGCCAGGCGAGAAAAATTATTTACGATTTAACGCAATATATGAAAAAAGAAAAAGAAGAAGGCGTAAAAGATGTCGATAAAGTTTATTTAAGAGTTGCTAACGCAACTGGTGTGTCCCAACGCACAGTACAGCGGATCGCAACTGAAGGCAATATTTCGGGCTTACTTTCAGTATTCCGCACGCCTGGTAAAAAAAGGTCTAGATCAAAACCTATTACTGATATGGATAATTTTGACCAGGGAGTAGTAAAAAGATGCATACACAACTTCCACAAAACTGAAAAAGAAATGCCGACGATAAACAAATTACTAGCGAAACTCAAACGGGATATAAATTTTCAAGGTGGTAAAACGAGCTTAAAGACAATTATCAAAAACTTGGGTTTCAAGTGGCGAAAGACCGAAACCAATAGAATGGTTCTTATAGAGAAGACCGACATTCGCCTGAAAAGGATCTTGTACTTGAAGGCAATGAAAAAATACAGGGACGAAGGGCGACCAATTGTATTCACTGACGAGTCGTATGCCCACTCATCACATACAAAAGGTAAGGCGTGGTCAGATGGTTCCGCTCAAGGACTAAAGCGCCCGATATCAAAAGGTCAGCGGATAGTGATGGTACACGCTGGGTCAGAAGCAGGGTTTGTTCCGAACGCGCTACTAATGTTCAAATCTGGCAGCAAAACCGGAGACTATCATGATGACATGAATTTCAAAAATTATGAGAAATGGTTACGGACCCAACTGATTCCAAATTTGAGCCCTAACTCGGTGGTGGTTATCGATAATGCTCCGTACCACAACAAATTAATGGATCCTGCCCCTACATCTAATGACAAGAAGGCAAAAATGGAATCGTGGTTATTAGAAAAGGGTATACCATATGAAAAGGACATGCGTAAACCACAACTTTACGATCTAATAAAAAAAAACAAAGACGTGAATAAAAAATACGTAATAGATGAAATGTTTAAACAAAACAACCACGATGTCCTTCGTTTACCCCCATATCATCCCGATTTAAACCCCATCGAGATGGTGTGGGCTGCCATTAAAGGGCACGTAGCCGCTAAAAACGTCGACTGGAACGTAACCCGGACAATGGAGCTCATACAAGAAAAAGTAAATTTAATGGGTCAGAATGAATGGAGTGCTTTATGCAGAAAAGTGCAAGAGGTCGAACATGACTATAGGAAGAGCGACCATATTATTGACGAAATGACGGATCAATTATTCATCATTAATACAGCTTCAGATTCAGAAAGTGAGTCTGAAAGTGAGAGCGACGATTACGAAGATGAACCTATGCCAAGTACCTCACATGGTACACAAGGGGCCGACGACTTTATGTTAGGAATTTCCCCCCTCAGCGACAGTGATTAAATAATAATAAGTGTAAATAAATAAAAAGTATTAAATGTAAATAATATTGTATGTGTTTGTGATAAAATCTGCCCCTATCGAAAGGTGAGGTATCAAAATTGAATCTTTAATTTATAATGTCTCCAAAGTGTTTTGATATTTTTGGTCACTGTATTAGGGAAATTTTATTTGTACATTGGTATATATAAAAAAATGACAATAACAGTTTTCTTCACGAGTGTTCATGCGCTAAACTTCGCAGAGCCTATATTCAGACTCGCCAAGATACGTCGGCCGTATTATAACTCGAATTGATGGGACGAAGCTGAGTCAATTTGTTACAAATTATTTATATTTCTTACATCCAACTCTGTGTTAGACATTTATTATTTACCTATAGTATATTTATAGTAGATGGGAGTGAAATGAAAAACGTACTATATGTATTTATGTTTGCGTCTTAGATATAGTATGTACCTATATTTAACAACAAAACTAGTGGTATTGACGATCTTTACAAAATAATATCACTGTAACTTTCTGATAAGAATGTAATGATAACATTAATATTATTACAAAAATATTTTTGTACTCTCGTTTACTGGCTTATCGCATATCGTTCAATTACCGCCAGCTCAAACACGAGGGCAGCGATTATCTGACTCGAGTAAATTCGAGTAGAACGCAACTCGAATTAACTCAAATTAGTAAATCGAGTTGATCCGTCACTAAGATTTATCAAGCTTCTTAACTTCATCTGTAGTGTTTATGAATGGGAAGTCGGGATGTTTTTTTTGGTGGAAACTTGACCGGCGGCGGATTGCTGCTCCTGTATTATTGTTTAAATAATGGTTTGAAGTGAAATTTGATATATAAAAGAGGTGCGATTTTTATTAAGTGTCTGCGCATGTGAACTACTAGCGGAAATGGTGAAACAAGTGCTCTGATGGTGATGTGATTTTCAAGATAAGGTGTCTGTCTGATTAGGCACCTTGAGATACCATCACCAACTGTCTGATGGCTCAAGTTACCGTCAAAATCTTCCAAGGGCTGCACAATGTGACGCATCAACATATTGTAAAGCCGTGTAGTATGAAAGATGATTATAAATAATAACTTCAGGCTCAGAAAGGCTAGAACCCAGAGCCGTAAAGCCAGTTATAAAAAAAAGAAGTCGGGAATGGTAAGGGGAGGAGAGGAGAAATCAAATCAAAATATCAAAATCAAAGTACCTATGTACCTACAATATTAATTTGAGAAGAGATTGAGAGTAAATTAAAATTAAAAAAAAAACTATCTAAAACTCTATTCTTAGAATGATCGAGTTATATTAATTTGAATATTTCTTTTTCTCATTAATTTTAAGGTAAGTATTATGGAATTAATAACTGATAGGTAATCTATCCTATGCTACCTGCTGTATGTGTTATTTGCTCATAAATTTAGATCCTGTGGGGCCTTGAAACAAGGACCAGTTTAAAATGATGAATACGATGGCTCCAGGGGGTCCAGGTGACCCGCATACACAAATGAATACATATAGAAGTTATGTGACCATGTTAGCTGATCCTGGTGCTAAAGATGAAATCAAACTAAAAGCAGCCCAAGAACTTAGCGAAAATTTTGAAGTAAGTACTTATGTATTTCGTTAGAACCCCAGTGTTAGTTTTTGTTTTCATAGTATAGGGTGACAAACGAGCACACAGTCCACCTGATGGTAAGTGGTTGCTGTAGCCCATAGACATCTACATCTATCCTCAATAAAGACTCAAGATGCAGATGCGTTGTTACCCGTGAGGACTAAGATGGAATGCCCCTTTGCCAGTAAAAAGGGTCTCCGGTTCTCTACACTTACCCCATACGAAACACAGCAGCATTAAGCTGCTATTTTACGCTGGTTTTCTGTGAGAGCGTGGTCCTACCCCGGGCGAGCCGACCCATTCGTACTACAAATATACTACTAATATAGCTGCAGCATGGCTCTACCACGTAAAGCCTCGTATTAGACATATACTTTTCACATTTTATTTTAATAAAATTTTCTTATTAAAAAATAATTATTTCTAAGTATACCAACCTACGAAATATTTTTTCAATTTATTAAATATCTAAAAATACATTTTCATTAAATGGGTGTAGTAGTAAGAGGTGACTATGAAAATAGTCAGAGTGATCTTATGGCTTCTGATAGATGGCAGTATAACTGTCTCGTTTACATCAGACATAAAATACCCACACCTGTGTCAGGATCAGCATCAAAGGCTTGAAATGCACTGCACACTGCAATTGCAAATTCACCTGCGAAGTATGACAAATAATCCTCCATCCAAGGCCTATGTTAAGCAGTAGATTTTTATCAATGAAGAAGAACCAATTACAATAATATGGCTAAAGGTTGGTTCTAAAACAATGTATAGGAATTGAAGGCCTAACTTCAGAAACTGTTATGTAGTTTTATTATTTTTGGTATTTTGAAATAGGTTTTTACTTTTAATTAAAGTTCTATTTTTAGACCCCTTTGAGTGAACTAAAGAATATCACAAGCTCAAGGTTACATCTTGAATGACATCTCAATAATTTAATTCATAAAAAAATTCATCCACTATTTTCTTTAAACTTTGGGGTGGTTTGTTTTCTCCAAATTCATATAAAAATAATAATATTTGTTTACAACTGGCAAAGATAATTGCATAACATACATAGAAATAAATATAATTTAAAATTAAAAATGTTGTACAAGCGACTTCAATACAAATTATTAAGAATAACTCAAAAACTATTGGTCAGACCTTGATCAAATATATATGGGACCACATGAGAAGCACCAGCTTTCAAATAAAAAATGAATCATCTATCGGTTCACCCAGAAAAAAGTTATGAGATAACACACAAAAAAAAACATTTTAGTACCGTCCCCTTTTTGAAGTCTGTAGAAAAAGAACATACAGTTGATGAAATATAAATAAATGAAAATCACTTCCTTTTTATTAAGTCTTCTATCAATGATCATTTGTATTTTTGTGTGTTTGAGCTGAGAAGCTTTCTTTATATTAGAAGACTACTTGTTTCTGGATAATATTTTCAAACATTAAAAAGACAAATTTCTTTGTAATCAATTATATATGTGGTGGTTGCTCTGTTTGTAACTAAAATATATAAATTCTCTGGGTTAGTAAAGCGAAAGCAAGCTACGTACAGTTGACTATGTGAAAAACCCCTTATAAAATTGTTGTTCCTTATAACTTTAATAACTTTAAAACTAGCTATTCTCCGTGACTTTGTGCACATGGAATTTGATTATTTGCATGGAACCCTAATTGTTTTTCTAAAAAGTAACTCCTTATAATATCAACTATCTGCCAGTGAAAGTGCCATCAAAATCGGTCCATTACAAATTAGCCAGAACAAACACTCAGACAAATTTTTTGAAAATTGTTTTTTGTTATAGATATTGTATATACTTGCATATGCATTTAGTTAAAGCTGTTATTTTGACATTACAAACAGACACTTCAATTTTATCTATTTTATTTGTACAGATGAAGACATCACAATATTTTTTTTTAGATAAGAGCCAAGTGTCTAAGAAATAAAACTTAGAAAACCTAATTGAAATCTATCCAGTAGTTTTTCTATGATTTTGACGCAATTGCAAACCTCTATCATTTTATTTATATATATAAGATAAGAATATCTAAGGCAGTCAGTAAGAGCACACATAAAATATTCAGGTCTGTTTAAACTATTCCGCAATGATTATTGTTATTCTTGTGAGATAAAATAAAAATCTGTTAGTCAAAGGCACACAATATGTTCATTAGTCAAACTCCAGTAATAATATAACTATTTTTTACTAAGGGCTGCATTAAAAGTAATACAATATGTTATTATTTACAATTAGTTTAAGTCGTTATCTTAAGTACTTACTAATATTTTTAATAATTTAAATTTAAAATTTATTTCTTATTTCTAAGGTCATTCTGAGTTCACCTCAATATCCACAATTTCTGGACCATTCTCTCAAAATATTTTTAAAAATACTACAAGAAGGTGAGCCTCATTTCATTGCCGAGTATAACATTCAACAAGTAAGAAAACTTATTCTGGAAATGATACACCGCTTACCAATCAGTGAGACATTAAGGCCCTATGTCAAAAGCATCCTTATCCTGATGTTAAAGTTGATGGAGATAGAAAACGAGGAGAACGTGCTGGTTTGTTTGAAGATATTTATGGAGTTACACAAACAATACAGACCACCTTATAGCACCGAAGTTGATGTAAGTTATTTCACACCTTTCAGTGTATGATATGTTATATATATTGTATATACATACATACGTACAAACATATATGAGTATTTTAATTTTTCAGATACACAAATTCTTACAATGGGTGAAAGGAATTTATTCTGATTTGCCAAATCATTTACCCAAAATATTTGAACCTAAGCCTACGATACGAGTAAAAGATCTATCAGAGGTGAACATAGAGCAACTATTGCAAGAGACATATACTACTACACCCATACACACAGAAAAAAAATTACTTGATGGCAGTGTCGTTACTGTAAGTTGTCAATCTTTACTATTATACAAGCAATATTTATATATTTGTCTGTTTGTAATCTGTTACCGTTACCATTACCATTACAGTATATTAAATTCCACTGCTGAACATAGGACTGTCTCATAGATTGCTTCATACAGGGGATATTTGCCATAGTTGACACACTTGGCAAGTGGATTGGCAACCACAATTTTTTAGTTTTAGTCATTATTAGGAAGACACTGCTGCCCATCTACTGATGTTTCCTTCTGTTGTCTCTGATAATACCCACGGAATAATATGAAGTAGTGGATATGTAGCTAGTGGAAGGAAAAGGGGAGATCTCCCACCGGGCAAGGTGTTCTGCCCGGGCAGCGGCTAACACTCAGAGTGGTAGTTCGAAGCTATTCTATATATGTATACTGCTTTAACTTCGGAACTTAATTAGTGCGATTTAGGCTTCGATGTGTTTCGCTTGTGGCGCGACGACAGCGCCACCACATCACCCCCTGCTCAGACCGGAGGTCGATAGTGCAGTCCGATTGCCGGTGCGTCCTTAATGCCGGTGGGGAATGCATGCGTAAGGGCAAGTGATGCCGGTGAGAACGATGAGCCGGAGCAAATGTGCCAGGGATTGCCTTGTAGTCTGCGGTGAGTCGAGAAGAAGGCAAGTAATCTGCGAGAGTGCCATTAAGCAGAGGTGAGCAGTAAGGCTCAGAGCCATGCAGTAAGGCTCAGAGCCGTGTCGAACACTGTAGCGCAGAGAGTTGCTTGAAGGAACAGGAAGCATTATTATTCCAGTGCTGCGATGAACCTTTGTAAAGCTAGATGGCTTGCAGAATGTGAAGACTGCAGACAATAACTGCTTGGGAGCAAATAAATGGGGTACTTGAGGATGATGACAAAAGTTTGAAATTGTAGTTTCCGAAGGTTGTTGGTTGCGTGTTCATATCACGTTGGGGTCACCACTGTAGCCGGTGGAAGGGAAAGGGGAGATCGCCCGCCGGGCAAGGTGTTCTGCCCGACGAGCGGCCAACGCTCCGAGTAGTAGTTTGGAGCTATTCTATACATACTGTTTTGCTTGTGGTTTGATATTCTTCCACTGCCACTGCATGGTTTTTTTAATCACATTCTAAAAAATCACTCAAATGATTTCAATGAAATTTACAATGTAGGGGTTTACGAAACAGGACAGAAAATCGATCTAGCTAAGTCTAACTTCTGAGAAAATGTTTTCTCCTTGTTTTCATGCACAATGCAAATTATTTAAAACGTAAAAGTGCATAGAATTTGTTGTTTAATTTTTTAAATTTATGTATGAATTTTAATAATGAAGAAGTAAAGCATTTATTGCTTTTGATATTTTATTTGTATTATGTGCTTCTTTTAACTTTTATTTTTATTTTCAAGAATATTATTTACTCTATCATCATAAAATATTGCCGATTCTTATAAATATATATATATATATAAATAATCAATCTTAAAATGTATGAAAATTATTGGTACATCTTTTATAGCTTCCTTAAACTTTACTACAAAAGTAACTTACATATTCTAGATTAATTTAAAAAAATGATATTTATTAATTGTTATAAAATAACTACGTATTTTTTTATTTCAGTATAATCTTATTCCTAGATCAGTATTATCATTAAAAGTAATACAAGAACTACCAATTATAGTTGTACTAATGTATCAACTATATAAACAGAATGTGCATCAAGAAGTAAGCAATTTTATACCTCTCATTATGGAAACTATAACTTTGCAACCAGCTGCTACCCACAGGTATTTTCTAATTTTACATACAAATATAAAATGTTTGTAACATAGCTAAGTTTTGGGAACGGTGCTGAAGCTTTTTAAAAACGACTAATTATGTCTCGATGAAATTTAATAACTATGCCATTACAATAATGAATTAAAACTATTCAGTACAATACTGACTTCCTTAACTAGATAATTACATTACTGGCATGAGTCCTATAATTAATATAATTCTAAATGCAAAGGCTTTTATAGGATGGCCAAAACAAGTATGTTGACTGAAAGTATGACACCTTACTTTGACCAGCAATAACAATTATAAAGTAACACATTTTCTAGGCAAATTTTTTTTTGCCTAGAAAATGTGTAGAGGTGCTAAATTTTATGCTATGAAACTCAACCAACTTTATTGGTTCACTTTCTTGCGACGAGTGTGGCAATTTAACATTGGTTTTGACTTTTTGTGAAAGGTAGGTGATTACCAAATGTCTTTATTAAAATTAAAATAATATTTAATTTTTTAGGCAATCAGCATCTTTTAATAAAGAAGTATTTGTTGACTTCATGGGTGCACAAATCAAAACATTAGCATTTCTAGCTTATATTATAAGGATATATCAAGATACAATAGCTAATCATGCTAATTTGATGGTCAAAGGAATTATTGGTCTTCTAACTCTATGTCCACCGGAAGTAGCACATCTTAGAAAAGAGTTAGTGATAGCAACACGACATATTTTGGCTACAGATCTAAGGCTAAGTAAGTTTTTTTTTTATATATTTTATTTTTTTATAGAATAGGGTGACAAACGACCACACAGTCCACCTGGTGGTAAGTGGTTGCTCTGACCCATAGACATCTACATTTATTTTTAAATAAAACTAATTTTACGGATTTTATCGCGTATATTAACTTATTTTTATATTCCCGACGTTTCGGGTGCTTTCCAGCACCCGTGGTCACGGGGGAAAAATAAGTTAATATACGCGATAAAATCCGTAAAATTAGTTTTATTTAAAAATGTGTAGTGTTCGCGTAAATATAAGAAATCATTATCTACATTTATCCTCAATAAAGAATCAAAATGGAGATGCGTCGTCACCCGTGAGGACTAAGATGGAATGCCTCTTTTTCCTGTAAAATGGGTTTCCGGTTCCGGTTATTACCATACGAAACACAGTGGCGTTAAGCTGCTATTTTACATTTTTATTCTGTGAGATTATAATTATTTTTCTAATTTGGCATTGAGAAATAGGTTGATTAAGCCAAATTATCAGAATTCTAACGTGATATTTTTTAAATTAGTATGCACTTCAACAATTTGCAGCTTTGGTAGAACATTAATTAAGCAAGTATAGCTTTTATAATTGTCGTATTATGTTCAAGATCAATCATAGATGCTGTTCTCTCCTGTTATTAGACGATGCATTGCTTTGCCTTTTTAATGTATATTATCTCTATAGTTAATATTTTTGTGTCGACTTTGTTGGTACGACATTATAAATAAATGAATAATCTAAATTGTACTTCTTATGTAGTTTAAGTACATTACCAGACTTTGGTTATAGGACTGCCTTCTATTTCAATCAAATTTTCAGAGTTTGTTCCATACATGGAGCGCTTGTTCGACGAGGACGTATTGCTAGGCGGCGGCTGGACGGTGCATGAGTCGCTGAGGCCTCTGGCCTACTCAACTCTTGCCGATCTGGTACATCATGTCCGGCAACATCTGCCTCTGTCTGATCTCGCTATTGCTGCTCATTTGTTTTCCAAGAATGTTCATGACGAGTCTCTGCCTACTAGGTGAGATTAAAATATTTTTCTTATAATGCATGTTTATTTTTATTAAGTACAAGTACTAGAGCATGAGATCTCTGTGCTAGATGCACACCTTAAATTTCATATTAGCTGGAAGAGTTTTCTTGTTGAATTAAAATGTGGTGACGGACTTTTATTTTTTAATTTCGTAGACACAAATGATCGGATTTTTTTTAATCAATGGTGATGTTTTTTTTAGCACTGCTACGTTTTTAGCATTTAAAATTTCAATTAACCAATTTGGTACTAACAGAGTTCAAACTACTTTGTTTGTTTATGTGATGATGGCGAGCTCCCTGACCCAAAACTGCATTGATTTTTTTAGGGTTAATATTACATAATTTCAATTAAATATATATTTATATATATAATATGTATGTATATGAGGTTATTTTTCAAAGACTAGCCAAATTTAATACTTAAGTTCAAAATATAAATACTGATATACACTTTTTACAGTTTTTAGAATATGCGGAAATAAGTTTTTTACGTTTATTTTAAAATAGCCGAAATTGTATGTGATTTATGGGCAAAAACTACAGCGTACAGCGAACAAGTTAATGCACGGAGTTTTTGCCTACTATTTACTTCCTTAATGCCACCCTCGCTAATAAGTTGATAACTACATAATAAATCATAATAAGCAAAATAAAAAAAATACATTTCAACGACGTAACAGAATGACTTTCTTTATTATGGCGAATTAAAAATATTGGAAATTAAACAATTTTAAACGATTAACTATTTACAACATAAATATGCAATCACTTGAAATAACACAAAAATGTTTTCGAGGTGGACCATCGTTATTAGTGCTTGCACACGTTGGTAATGAAATTGGTGATATCCAGAAGAGTTCCGTAGTTTCCACGCGTATTGGCTAACTTTGAAAACGAGCGTGTTCGACTTCCATGTGACGGAGTGGTGAACTGTCCCAAAGTCTAACATTCATTGATTAGCTGCAAAAATTGTTCTCCGATTGGGTGGTACACGTGCGTTAATTTCTTGTCTTTACGAACGTGGTAAAGACTCATTTTCGTGTTCTCATCTTTGCGCACTACGTAAACTTTCATTGCTTAAAATGCAACACCGTACCATTTCATAGTATTCGCAGTTCGAATGAACCTATGAAATTTTAACTGCACTGGTACGTAATGAGGTCACGGTCAAGCGAACACTGTCGGCCGGGGCCGGCCGGGTGAACGTACCAGTGTTACGGCCTACGGATGGGAAAGGGCGGGGAGACGCATTAAATCTGTAACCGAGCGCGAGTGCCGAACTGGCCGAACGCCACCGAATGCTTCCCAATTCAACACTCCCTTACGAATGTGTGCATGCTAATAAAATAATAGGTGCTACATATTTATGAATGATAGTGATATTTATGAATGATCAGTTAAAGTCATTTTCACACATTTTGAATATAAAAGATAAAAAGCTTCGATCAACAATACCAACCAGATAACGGGTCACATACAAAATCATAGCTATATGCTGTCCGCGTGAATATATACTTATACAGCTACTTTGTTTACTAAAGAACTGAGACAAAAAACTAAAACAGTTTTTTGTTCAACCCAATTACAACCATGGCATCTAGTAATAAAGTCACAAATCTTACGATCATTAGTTACAAAAGAGGAACAAATCAATGCATTACTCCTGTCTGTGTGTGTGTGTGTATATATATATATATATATATATATATATATATATATATATATATATAATGTTTGTATATATGTATATATATAAATAATATAAATATGTGTATTCTTTTTTATCACACCAATTTGCCCTACCTCTGTTATCTTCGTGTAATACTGTCGATACATTGGTTGTCTCAAAGAAATTGCTGTTAGGGATAAGACCGCCCATTGCGTACTTCTTTGTGTTGGTGTGCAATAAAGAATATTAAATAAAAAATAAATAAATAAAATACTTATTAATTTAAGGTTTGGTGTATAATATGATTATTTTTAATTTATTAGTGTTTTTATGTATCGTAAACAAAAAGTAATATACTGTTAAGTACGCTTTTTGTTTTTGAAATGTATGTAATGTCAGCGGCTGGCAAAGGTGTCTTAAAATACCTGGATGTTACAAACAAAAATATCACTAAATTCCACATATATATATTTATCTTTAAAATATTTATAAGAAAATTAAATTCCAGTGCAATCAATAAATCAAAACATTTACAATGATTCAACATTAATGATTTTTCCTTTCTGCTTATACATGAATTAATTTCCTTTAAATGCCTCGGCAGTCTTGAAGGTTTGGACATGTCCATCATTTGGCTACGCGTAGACAGCGACGACCATCCGCGCGTCTACGGGTGCTTCTATAGGTCCCATTGCGGTAATGCCGAAACAGACCGACTCATCGACCACGTCCAAATGGTTACAGATTCCTTGCCACAACATGTCCCATCCGCAGAGATCGTGATCCTTGGCGATTTTAACGCCCACCACGCCGAATGGCTCGGTTCACGTTTAACCGATCATGCGGGTAGATCTGTTTATGACTTTGCCTTGGCATATGATCTGACACAACTGGTTACTTCGCATACGCGGATTCCAGATGTGGAGGATCATACACCTTCCCTGTTGGACCTTCTGCTGACCTCTCATCCGGACGGATATCAGGTTTCTGTCGATGCCCCTCTCGGCTCTTCGGACCATTGTCTGATCCGGAGTGTGGTGCCACTCACGCCCCCCCTCGCGGTTGCGTTCTGCAGGTTGACGCAGTGTTTGGCATTACAGGTCGGCGGATTGGGACGGAATGGGATTGGTCTTTCTTTGCATCCTATCCATGGGGGCGGGTTTGCTTCTCGCCGGATGATCCCAGCGTTGTTGCTGACTCTGTCACTGATGTGGTGCTACAGGGAATGGAACTATTTATTCCATCGTCTGTGGTACCCATCGGAGGCAGATCTCAGCCTTGTTTTGATCGCTCCTGTAAGACTGCATTATGCAGTAAGCAGGAGTGTTATCAAGCCTGGGCTGCGGCTTCGGCGACTCGGGATGTAAACACCAGCACACTTAAAAAGAAGTATAACTTTGCCTCCAGGTCCTTCAAAAGAGTTATTGCCAAGGCAAAGTTAGAGCACTAGTTCGCCTTCCTTCGGGAACCCGTGCATTCTGGTCTCTCGCCAAGGCAGTCCAAGGGAATATCTGTAAGCCATCACTACCATCTCTGCACAGGGAGGACGACTCACTGGCCCACGCCGCAAAAGAGAAAGCCGACCTTTTAGGATCCTTTTTTGCGTCCAACTCGACTCTTGATCACGGGGAGAACACATCGCCGATCATCCTGTGGTGTGAATGCTCTATGTCGGATGTGCGGTTCTTATAGCGCTCGGTTCGCAAAGCACTCCTCTCCCTGGACATCCACAAGTCGAGTGGGCCTGACGGAATCCCCCCCAATTGTGCTGAGGACGTGTGCTCCGGAGTTGGCACCGGTTCTAACGCGTCTTTTCCGGTACTCCTACTCTCTAGGCGTAGTCCCGAAATCATGGAAGACAGCTTTTGTCCACTCGATCCCTAAAAAAGGCGACCGCTCAGACCCGTCCAACTACAGGCCTATCGCCGTCACCTCCTTGTTCTCCAAAATAATTGAATCCATTATTAACTGTCAGCTCATGCGGTACCTTGAGGATCACCAGCTGATTAGTGACCGCCAATACGGTTTTCGTTGGGGTCGATCAGCTGGTGATTTTCTGGTCTACCTGACTCATAGATGGGCGGAGGCAGTAGAGTCCAAGGGGGAGGCGTTGGCCGTTAGTTTGGATATTGCGAAGACCTTCGATCGGGTTTGGCACAAAGCGCTTCTTTCGAAGCTCCCTTCCTATGGGCTTCCCGAGAAATTGTGCAATTGGATCACCAGCTTCCTTGCAGATCGGAGCATCAAGGTCGTTGTAGACGGTGCATGCTCCGACTACAAGCCTATTAACGCTGGTGTTCCACAAGGCTGTGTGCTATCACCAACGCTGTTTCTTCTGCATATCAATGATATGTTGCTAACTGGTAACATTCATTGCTATGCGGATGACAGCACTGGTGATGCTTTATACACCGGCCGTGCCAATATTTCAAACTTGTGTCTGATGTCGAGTCTTTGCTGAACAAAGTCTCGGATTGGGGGCGACTAAATTTAGTCCAGTTTAATCCTCAGAAGACACAATTTGCGCGTTTACCACTAAAAAGAACCCCTTTGTCGTATCTCCTCAGTTTCAAGACACTTCCCTTCTTGCCTCAGCCAGTATCGGAAACCTCGGAGTCGACATATCGAGTGACGTGCAGTTTCGCGGTCACTTGGAAGAGAAGGCCAAATTGGCCTCTAAAAAGCTTGGCGTGCTCAGCAGAGCGGGACAGTATTTCATGCCGGCACACCGCCTGCAATTTTACAAGGCGCAGGTTCGGCCCCACATGGAATACTGTTCCCATCTCTGGGCAGGGGCTCCCCAGTGCCAGCTCCTTCCACTTGACCGCATCCGGCGCAGAGCGGCTCGAATGGTCGACGACCGAGTCCTTTCCAATCGGCTCGATTCATTGGCACTGCGAAGAGATGTTGCATCCCTTTGCATTTTCTTTTGCATTTACCACAGTGCTCTGAGGAATTGTTCGGATTAATCCCAGCCGCCAAATTTCACGAACGCACATCGCGGCAGAACTCCCGATACCATCCACACCATCTGGATGATTGGCGGTCCACCACTGTGCGATTTAGAAGATGTTTTCTTCCTCGTACAACTTCCTTGTGGAATCGATTACCATCAGCGATTTTTCCGGACCGATACGACATAGGGACCTTCAAGAAAAGAGCGTACTCCTTTTTAAAAGGCCGGCAACGTATCTGCAAATTCCCTGGTTCCCCTGGTGTTGCAGTTGTTCATGGGCGGCGGTAGGCACTTACCATCAGGTGAGCCGCATGCTCGTTTGCCCCCTCTCCTATAAAAAAATTGAGTTTGTTGTACAATTGTCCTTTTGATTTATTTTTGGTAACACAAATAGAGACAAAAGTAGCAATTACCATTATTTAATGTTTTGGTAACAAATTACTAAAAATGATTACAATACAAATTTACTCCATGCATCTACTGTTCTGTTTCACAAATGTTGGTGAAAACATTTGTAGGGGTGCTTTAAAATCGGTAATTTTGTTTCAAATATGATATTATTTGTTAGTGAGTTTTTCCATCAAGAAATTCTCAGTAGCTGCCCGGAGTCAGGAAGTTGGCGGTGTTGCACCCCCGTGCCTCGGAAAGCACGTAAAGCCGTTGGTCCTGCGCCTGATCTCTCTCCGGTCGTGTCGGTTTACCGTCCCATCGGGCTATGAGAGTGAGGGAATAGAGAGTACACCTGTGATTGCGCATACACTTGGGTACTATAATCCTGTCCTGCGCCGATGGATAGTCTCCGTTGAGACTGGCCGCCGTGGCCGAAATTCGGTCTGGAGGACATTATTATTATTATTTGTTAGTTTAGAGCTTAAAATATAACTTATTCTACATGTGCTTACCGAAAGTAAGACACTCCGGCCGTTAAATTGCATTTTTCGGGCATTATTCTTGCAATTTTTAAATACACATTGCGGCATTGTGAAACGTGTTTACATTGGCTGTATTTCAAGTCAACTAAATGAAATAAGAGCTCACGTCTACAGTGCGCTCTTATTTACTGGGACGTATTTTTTGCGCCGATCCGACATCTAGTTGGTATTGTTGATCGAAGATAAAAAGGATAAAATGTTTGAGTTTTTTTTCTATATTTTTTCACCATTCGCTCATATTACCTAATCTGAACCTCTGCAAATTTGGTCGGCTGTTGCGAAATAACCCTGTATATTTATATATGAATTCTACTCCCCATGTCACTGTCACTAGCATTAAGTGAGTCAAGTTATTACAATAAATGATAAATAAATAAATATAATATTATTTTAAAATACATTATTGTGATCCACACATGGCAGCATTCAGACGATGTCGTGCAAACTGCTGCTGAACTTGGTGGACTGCATCCGGCAGCGGTCGGAGAGCGAGGGCGTGGCGGGCGGCGCGCAGCCGCAGGGCCGTCAGCTGCTCATGCGCATCCTCGAAGTCTTCGTGCTCAAGTTCAAGACCATCTCCAAATTGCAGTTGCCCGCTCTGATGGCAAAGTGGTTAGCGTGACTTTTTACTCGACTGCTCCCGAAGTAGGGGTGACGTTTTCGGTTATTGTAATCCAAACAGCTTCGCGAATTTTGCATTTTTATGGTAATAATAGACGTACGACTCTGGCAAACATGATATAACGCTTGCTTAACACGCCAACGACGCACATGTGCAACGAATCGAACCATGAGTCGAGTCATACTCAAGCATCTCGCTTCCACTCGGGATTCACAAATGCCATATATTTGCACCTTTCTAATCTATAAAAAATTATACAAATAAACAATTACATTCATAGGGGGGTATTTATATCCGCAGTAGAACCAGAGTAACCGACATAGCCCGACGGATTAGTAAGCTGAAGTGGCAGTGGGCCGGCCATATAGCTCGAACAACCGACAACCGATGGGGAAGAAAGGTTCTCGAGTGGCAGCCTCGTACCGGTAGGCGAAGTGTAGGGCGTCCCCCCACGAGATGGAGTGACGACCTGATAAGACATGCAGGAAGTCGATGGATGCAGGTGGCTCAGGACCGTGCTTTGTGGCATTCTTTGGGGGAGGCCTATGTTCAGCAGTGGACTTGTGAAGGGCTGTAATGATGAAACAATTACAGTAGATACTTGACAGAAGACAAAGTCCAGTGATGATCCAAGGTAAAATGGGCTATAGAAAACTGTGGTCGCGTCGCCGTCGGTGCCAATAAATGTAAATTATAAATTACATTTTTGTTGTTTTCAACTGTTTAATAACAAAAAAGAAAGTGGTATTTAATTTGATTATTACTTAAATTTTAATCGATGATAGACAGGTAATTTTTATTAATTTATGCATAAAAATCAACCTTAACCCTTTTCCTGTTCCATGAATGATATATGAACATTTCGATTGTTTAACTTTTGTGTCTATATCGCGGACAGGAATCTGTTAACTTTGCTATAACCCGCGCGTATATTGTATTTCAAATTTGTAAATCTCATGAAAGAATTTAAAAGATGATCCATATAATTGTTTCATGTTCGTATTACAGTTTTTTATAATATTATGAAGAATTTTTGGAATACTTTAGCAACTAAATTAAAAAAAAACTTAGCAAAAGGCAACAAAAGGTACATGAATTCGTATGAGCATAATGAACAATATTATTTGGTTTGGCAGTAAATAAAAATATCTCATATCTATACATCTCGTCAGTATGGAAAACATTTTCAAACATTATTCGCGAATTGACTATAATTATGTATTGTTTTTAAAGATTTTGATCACGCGAAATTGCTGCAACAAGAGCTTTTTCCAAAGAAAATGTTTTTTTTTTTATAGGATAGGGTGACAAACTAGCACACAGTCCACCTGATGATAAGTGGTTACTGTGACCCATAGACATCTACATCTATCCTCAATAAAGACTCAAGATGCAGATGCGTTGTCAACCGTGAGGACTAAGATGGTATGCCTCTTTGCCAGTAAAAGGGGTCTCCGGTTCTCTACACTCACCATACGAAACACAGCAGCGTTAAGCTGCTATTTTAAGCTGGTTTTCTGTGAGAGCGTGGTCCTTCCCCGGTCGAGCCGACCCATTCGTGCTACAACTATACTACTAATATAGCTGCAGCTAATATGGCTCTACCACGTAAGGATGTTAGAGTTATTTCTGTAATAAAATTCCATACAACGTTCATTTGATTGCCGATATAGTTAAATCAAAATAATGTTATTATTGATAGTAGTTTAAAAGTAATTTGTGTCGTAAGACGATGACGACGAAAATAGGAATGGGAAACGACAATAGGAAATTGAAGACAAAAATGTCTTCCAGTATATGGCTTTATTTATCATTTTGTGTTTTTACCAGATATAAAATATTCAAGTCAGCATCGGAAAATATAAAGTAGCCCTTTCTTGGCAGTCAGATAAAAATTATGCTGACGTAATGTCTCGAGGCTCGACATGCCACCTGTTAGACCGATTTAGATTTCTGTGAAGTTATGAATTGGTGTAGTGTTAAACGCTTTAGCTAGGAGATTGATACTGGTGTCTTTGGAAGAGCTTATAGAGTATTACAAGGACCCAAAGTGAGGTAATAAAAATATTCCCTTTTAATAATCGGTACTAAACTCAACGCCAAGCTTTTTCTTTGGTTAATCCTGGCGGGAATTGAATTCGGGTTACTCGCCTATTTTGAAATTTACAACGAGCCCCTGAGCCACGGCTCTAAATGTATAATATTGTATTATATATATTTGAAAATAATTATGTAATAACCTAGAACTACACTCAAACGAAAATTGAGTTATAATTGTTATGTTATTATAAAACACAGCGCGTGAATATAAAATACCATTTAGTTCATTATTATCATTGTGGTCTTATATCACAAGGCGACAATTATAATATTAATTTCTGAACGTGCTCCTTTTAATTAATTATTTAACTATGATAAGTTCATAGATATACCACAATGATATCTTGCTGGCTAATTTTGACAATAACTGTGTAGTGCCATAAGTTGCCGCGCAAACAGTGAGTCGTCTCTCTTATCTTACAGTTTTTGTTGTTGCAAAAAGCCTTAAAAGTCCAATGCCTATAGTATGCGAACCCTACAACAAATTCGAAAGAAACAGGAAAAACGTCTCAAAGCGTTTACGTATCTGAGCCATCGGCATACAGCGGCCAGCGACAATCCAGACGTCTATGAGTTAAGATTAATAAATGATACCACCACAAATTAATTGTAATGATTCATTTATTACTAATTAATTGTTCGAAGTTTTCACGAAAAAAAAACCGAACTGCGCCTTTTTATTGAAACTAAACGAAAATAATATAATTTATTAGAAAATTAAATTTTGTTTTTTAAATGTCATTTTTTTAAAATCTACTCCAGTTAGAAGAATCTATACTTACTCTCGAGCAGAAACGGCGAAAGAAACTGCGCAGATATCCTCTTTGGTCATTTTCGGAGCTAAGTCGATGCTAAGACAAAGTATAGTAAACATATAATCCCTTACTTCAGAATGTGAAATTATTTTATTCTTTTAAGATCTCTGTAGTTGGCTTTTTATAGAATTTCACATTCTCAATATCGTCTAAATATTTACATTAAAACTTCACCGCTATTTTGCCACTCTTAATGGTAGAATGTTTTCTTCTAATTTATATGGGAACATCCCTGAAGTACCTATAAAAATAATCATCACAATCGGTTTACATTAGACGAAGATAACGCGTAATATTCATACAAAAAAAACATACAGGTGAATTTTTAACCTTTTTTTTGTAGTCAGCTAAATATACCAACCGATGGCTTGCGCTTTCACTACCCTGCGCTGCACTACGTTCCGCGAACGTTTGGTCACGTAGGTCACTAGGAAAAAGTATTTGTTATTTTTGCGTTTGATTTTATGAAATAAATATAATCTAATTTGACCACAGTATCAAAGCTGGAATAAGTAGCGTTATCTTTTTCCCCGCACACTATTTGTAATAACTTTTTGCAGCAAACAAACGACCCCGGCGCCAAATGGTACAAACGGAACCACTCCGAGCACACCAACCACACCTGCGCCGAGCACTTCGTCCCCTGAAGTAAAAATAGAAGACGATAAACCTTCAGTGGACTTCCTCGATAGCATCAACAAAGCTGAAGAGAAATCGAAAATTGGCTTCCCTAGTTCGCAGATGAGCAACCTCAATGTTGGCGACTATAGGACTTTGGTTAAAACACTTGTGTGTGGAGTGAAGACTATTACTTGGGGATGTGCGTCTTGTAAAGTAAGTATCTATACGTTAAGGTTCGCTTAAACTAATAAATGCCAGCGAATTGTTTCGCTCGTGTTGATTACATTAGTAGGCTTCTATGAGGGTGTTAAAATTTTCGCGAATAGACGTAGGGATGATATTAGCGCAATGACGAATATCTGTTAATTATATTTTATAAAATTACTAGCTTATTCCCGTGGCTTTGTTGGCGTGGTCTTCGTTTAACCAACACCGTTAGTGTCCTGTACCGAAATTCAGGATCGCCTCGTTTATTAGTCTGTCTGTCTGTTTGTCACGAATGTTATTTTTAGAGACTTGATAATAAGACGTACATATCGTTAATTTTTAACAGTATAAAAATAAAATTTGTTAATAATTCTATTATTGATTAGGTTCAGATTTTGTGATTTTTTTATTTGGCATTAAAACAACAATATATTATTAATATGAGCTATTATCGTCTAATAATAGTTTGTTAATAAATTTACTATAACGCCACTATAACAACTCAAAAGAATAGAAAAAACATCGATTGTCAACCCGCCAATCAGCCTGACAACTATGCAATATGTATGTCATATAATTATCAAATTAGGATGAAATGATGACGATGATGAATTTATTAAATGTATTTTAGGGTTTGATTTTTCTACCTATTCAATGCATTTGAAATTAGTGCACTATATGAAGCTAAACATCAAATTGAGGTTCGTGCGCGCACTGTACTAATGTTAAACACTCGCTGTCCGCGCTGCAATAAAATGGAGAAACAGGATACCGCCTGTTGCGCTTTGCGCTCTCTGTCGCACTTACGGGTCTTAAGGCAGGCATTTTTTCTTAATTTTATTGAACCGCGGGCAGCGTTTGCGTAACATTAGTAAAGTACAATAATGCGAGGTTGCGCAGAGCTCGAGCGGAGGCGAGGGCGCGGCGGGCGCGGCGGCGAGCGCGGCGGCGGGCGTGGCGAGCGTGTCGGGCGCGGCGGCGGCGGGCGTGTCGGCGGCGGGCGCGGCGGCGGCGGCGGCCAGCATCGCGGGCCAGAAGCAGCTGAGCGCGCGCGAGACGCTGGTGTTCATCCGGCTGGTGCGCTGGGGGCTGCAGTCGCTCGACATCTACACGCTGGCGGCGCCGCGCGCGCCGCAGCACCCGCCCGCGCAGCCCCACGTGCGCTCCAAGGAGGAGAAGGAGGTGCTCGAGCACTTCAGCGGAGTCGTGAGTCGCTTATATACTTAGTATGGACCGTTACTGTTACAGCCTATTAAAGTCCACTGCTGAACGTAGCCTTTTGTACGACTTTCCATTGACATCCGTCGAATTGGGGGTTGATATTTTTTTACAGAAAGGTTACATTATTATAAGCACACACGCAAAGCAACATTCGGAGACGCGTACTTTTTGAGAAAAAATAATATTGAAAATCAATTATTTTTGCATTATTTATGTCAATTCATACCGTAAAACTAACGCTATTTTATATTGTCATTGTCATCGTCACTAGGGATGTCGATTCTTTCCATAAAATATCGATTTTTTTAAATCGATTCGAATCTTAAGCTGATGTATCGATTCAGAAAAATCGATTTCTAATATATCGATATTTTTTCATGTTTGCATTTATAATGTAAATATAAATCGATTTTATGAGAAAAAAATTCCCTTCATCAGAAAAAAAATGGGGGGTCTGTTTCAGGGGGATTTCTGTATCTATTTTGAGACTGCAATGTCTCCGGCGCTGCGGGAAGAGCAACCTCTACGCCTTTGCGTAACAAATCGCAGGCATCCCTCCTCGCCCCCGCAGCCGGCGACCAGCTTCTGCCGCTCCGGCTCGTCCGATGCTTACGATTTCTTACAGCAGGCGAAGGCTGTTCCCCCTACGCGGCTCCGGCTCTATAAAAACACTCTAGGGGTAGGACAGACTCGTACTAGGTGGAGTCGGGGTAAATCAATTCGATTCTTTGACATAAGTTGTACCTAACCTATTTTATTTCTTATCTGCCCTAATAGGTACTGTTAAAATAAAACAAATTTCAATAAGAGATCATTTATTATGGTATCTTTCTCGTTTTTCATAAAATGGATTTATATTTACATTATAAATGCAAACATGAAAAAATATCGATACTTTAGAAATCGATTTTTTTATGAATCGATACATCAGCTTACGATTCGAATCGATTTAAAAATCGATCTCTTTGACAATGACTATACAAAATAGGGTCAGTTTTACGGTAGGAATTGACATAAATATTGCAAAATAACTAAATAACTCAGGTGTCCCACAGGGCAGTATATTAGGACCACTACTCTTCATTCTGTACATCAATGACCTTCCAAAGTGTACGCAATATCCTGTTACGCTCTATGCTGACGATATTTCTATAACTATACATAAAAACCCTAACAATAACTATAATGATGAAATAAATAATGAAATAAGAAATATAACGAACTGGCTAAAGTATAATGATTTGAAAATTAATACAAGTAAAACAAAGTGTATACAATTTTACAACAAAAATGGTAAACCCCAACAACTATCGATACACCATGGTAACGATCCCATTGCTATGACCACATCAGCGAACTTTCTCGGTATTATGATTGATTCCGAACTCACATGGCAGAATCACGTTGAAACTGTATGCCAGAGATTAATAGGTTTGTGTTCGCTCTGTATCGTCTGTCAAAATTAGCTAACATTAAGACAGCTCTGATGGCATACCATGGATACGTTGGTTCTATACTGAGATATGGACTGATTCTGTGGGGAAATTCGACACACATTTCTCGTGTCTTTATACTACAGAAGAAATGTATACGATCTATATGCAGTGTCGGTCAAGTGGAATCATGTAGACCTTTCTTTAAGAAGTTAAAAAATTCTTCCATTACCTTCCCTATATATATATGAAATTTTAATATTGACCAAAAAAAATGCTAACCACTTCACAAAACAACGTAATAATGGTGGTGGTATGAGAAGGTACCCGTGGAAGTTATCTGTACCACAGGCAGCCACAACTTGTTTTACTAGAAATAGTTATAGCATGTGCGTTCGATTATTTAATTTACTTACAAACCATATTCAAAACTTGACATTTAATCAGTTTAAAAAAGTTATTTTCGGGACTCTCATTGAAAACTGTTTTTATGACGTAAATAAATTTATTAAATTCTGCCGTGACGGTCACCTCAAGCGAATTGTTGTTATTTGAAATTTTAAATTGACAAATTAATTAGAATTTGTAAGATTGACATTATACTAGTTTGACATTATGCATTATGACATGACCATGCCTGTATATTTTTTATTATTTTTTTCTCTTTTTACATAATAAATTTATTGACATTATATTGCTTTATTAAATTTTGATATGAAACGTTATTGTAATTTTGTAATTTTAATTATTCAATTATTGCATGTCGACTTAATATTTGCACACTGATAAATCGGTAAAACATGCATGTTCACACTATATTATAAGACCTAAAAATGTACCATGTTTTATGCAAATAAATATTTTATTATTATTACTATTATAAAAATAATTTATTTTCAATAAATTTTTTCGCAAAAAGTACGCGTTTTCGCGTGTTGAAACTTTGCGTGTGTGCTTATAATAATGTATCCTTTATGTAAGAAATAATATCAACCGCAACTCGACGGGCGTCAATGGAAAACTAAGCCGTAGTCCTTTTCCATAGATTGCCTCATAGGTGGTTGGCAATCACTCACAGTTTTTATTTTTTTATTTTTGTCCTGATTTATTTCCGTCTGTCGCCTCTTAAGATACCCACTGGATAGTATGAGGTATTCAATTTAATCTGTGCTGTGTGAAATCGACCTAGGATAGCGCTCGCATACTGTGAATTTATACAATATATCCTGTATGGCTTTGTTGGGTAAATTTGTAAATAATGCTAGAATATTATAAGTTATATTACTTATTTTATATTAAGGGTAGTTGCAGGAGGGGATAATACTGATAATTTCACCTTTAAGGTATTTATTGTTAAGAAATACTATTTAAAAAAAGTATTATTTTATTAATAAAATATGAGAAAGAGATATTATTATTATAGTTTCAAACTCTACCGCAAGTGCAAATGTGACCTCTGAAAACTAAAATGAAGTCATAGCCTGTAATAATGCCCCTTAAACCCTTTCGAACTGTAAAATAATCTAATGTCTGTTGAATAATACCTTTCTTGAAATAAATTACTACTTTGTTCTAAGATTTCGAACACCACTTTTTATACGCGGCCAAATTATGCTTTACAATACGGCTTACTTTTATATATTAATAAATGATAAAGAGTGATGACAAAATTTGCTTGCACTTAAATTACCGTTTCTCTAAAATTATATTTGTGACAAAATATATCTTATTTTCTTTTCAGTTCTCCATGATGAATCCTCAAACTTTTCAAGAGATTTTTACTGCGACAATTTCTCATATGGTAGAGAGAATCAACAAAAACATGACACTACAAATAATTGCGAACACCTTTCTGTCTAATCCTGCCACGTCTCCTATTTTTGCAACTGTTTTGGTGGAATATTTACTAAAAAGAATGGAAGAAATGGGCACGAATATCGAAAGATCAAATTTATACCTCAGGCTGTTTAAACTAGTGTTCGGCTCCGTCAGTTTATTTCCAACAGAAAATGAACAAATGTTACGACCGCATTTGCATAGCATCGTAAACAAAGCCATGGATTATGCAATGACGGCCAAGGAACCATACAACTACTTTCTGTTACTTAGAGCTCTTTTCCGGTCAATAGGAGGAGGAAGCCACGATTTACTTTATCAGGAATTTTTGCCCTTATTGCCTAACCTTTTGGAAGGTCTCAACCGTCTTCAAAGTGGCCTTCATAAGCAACACATGAAGGACCTGTTTGTGGAGTTGTGTTTAACAGTACCTGTCAGATTAAGCAGCTTATTGCCTTATTTGCCGATGCTCATGGATCCGTTAGTATCGGCACTAAATGGTTCCCATACTTTGATATCACAAGGCTTACGTACTCTAGAACTTTGTGTCGATAATTTACAGCCAGACTTTTTATACGAGCACATACAACCAGTTAGAGCCGATCTTATGCAGGCGCTTTGGAGGACGTTGCAAAACAACGAGGTTGCTAGAATAGCGTTCAGAGTTCTCGGAAAATTCGGTGGTGGCAATAGAAAAATGATGATTGAACCTCAAAGATTGGAATATCGCGAAACAGATGCGCCCCCACCTGCAGTACAGGCCTATTTCCAGGATCAGCCGAAACCAATAGACTTTGAAGTAGATAAAGTAATAGAAACAGCCTTTTCTGCTCTAAAGTCCAGTACAACTGATCCATTTTATCGCCGTCAGTGCTGGGAAGTCCTTCGTTGTTATTTAGCAGCTTCATTGAATTTAGAAGATGACAAAGCAACGCTCCAGAAGCTGTTCAATCATCCAAGCTTTGTTGAGGGTAAAATACCACCGCAAAATGGGCCTTACTATAAATGTTCCAATACTGTTGTTAGAAATACTCATCGGACAGCTTTAACCGGTATGTTCGTTGCCGCAGCGATCAAGGAATTGAGACAGCATGTTCTTCCGACGATGGTATCGCTTGTACGTCACTATACTTTAGTAGCGATTGCTCAGGAAGCTGGTCCTTTCGCCGGCTCAGCGTGCCCTAAAGAAGGTCTTGATGCATTAGTTTTAGTTGACGCAATCGCTGTAGTTATGGGACACGAAGAAAAAGAACTCTGCAAGCCTGGGCACTTGGCTTTGGTTCTTATGATTGAGACTGCAGGCACTGTTCTTGGCAGTAAGGAACGTGCTTGCCGCTTACCATTGATGGAATATCTTGCGGAAAGAATGTCATCACTTTGCTATGAACGAGCTTGGTACGCGAAGTTGGGCGGATGTATAGCCGTGAAATTTATGTTCGAGAAGATGGCACCAGAGTGGGTTTATAAGCATGTCTTTACGTTCTTAAAGGCCGTACTGTTCGTTATGATGGACTTGACGGGCGAAGTATCATCGGGAGCAATCGATATGGCCACTATAAATTTGGAGCGTCTTGTTCGCGTGTGCGTGTCTGGTCCCAGTGGGCAGGGGGTAGAACCTGAAGGAGATGTTGCCGCAGCAAAGGCTCGTGCTCTGCACGATGTCTTACAGGAATTGGTACTACAAATTACAAGTCCCCATTTGCTTGTTCGTCAACAGGTATGGTAGATTTTTTTTAAATATGTTTATATAATTTAATGTTAATGTATATATTACTTTTATATATTTTTTCCTTTTTGTAGGCAATGAAGTCGTTGGAACTCATAGCGGAATTACAAAATAAAACAGTAACAGAAGTAATGGATCCTCATAGAGAGGCGATAGCGGATATAATACCGCCGAAAAAGCACTTGTTGCGCCATCAGCCTGCTAACGCACAAATGGGTCTCATGGATGGAACCACATTCTGTACAACCTTAAAACCGCGACTTTTCACAATAGGTATGTTGATTGTGTAAAGAAGAGTTGAATTTTATATCATTTTAAGAACACAACACACAATTAAAATTTAACACACAATTAACACAATTAAATTACAAAAGATTAAAGATGAGAGACAATGCCAGGTAGTTAAGCTACAGATAAAATAAATAAAATTATAAATCTGCCATAAATGCATGCACTGGTAAAATCAATGCCATTTCAGTTACCAACATAAAAACTCTGACATTAGCTTAAGGCGCAGGTTGAGCAAAATGTCGCGCTAGTCGTTATTTGTGCGGTTTTTAGGAGCTATCTACTTTTTATTTAAAAGATATATCAACAAATAAAAAACACATTATATTTCTACATAATCTTGATTCCATAAAAGCTATATCCATTTTTTTTAAAGGAATAAATATTAATATAATCTCCTTACAACGAAACCACATAAATGTGAAATTATTATTGATAACATGCATCTCCTCGTAAAGTAAGTATTATTTTATTTTGCGATTTACACCAATGGATAGGCAATTTAGTAATGAACATTTCTATAGTAAAATTTTTTTCAAAAGACCAAAATTTGATTTTATTAAGAAATTATTTTAAAATCTGGGCGTATTCACTGCTCACGTGCTTGCTTGAGTCAGTGAGCCCTGAGCTCTTACACGTGGAACCCGTGTCGTTAGAGCGTCTGCCAGCGCCGTGTGCGCTCACGTCATCTTATCAGTCGATAATATTATTACTTATTAGGTTATTTATAGGTAGTATTATTTGTTTGTTTTGGGTATAATTTTTCGTATTAGTTATACATATATTTGTTGTGTTTTTTACTGCGCGATGAAGCTTTTTGCGTGTATTTTCTTTGAAGTAAATGCAAATAAAAAAATGAAGCACCATTAGCATGTAAGGTTCGAATCCATAATTAAAATTTCGACAAATATAATTTACACTATAAAAGGCTAATTCAATATTATCACCCAACCACAATATCTTATTAAGTATAGTACTGCCTCGTTGGTCTAGTGGTTGTAGTAGTGCGACTGCAGATCATGAGGTCCCGGGTTCGAATCCTGGGTCGGGCCAAAAAGTCAGCTATGAGTTTTTTATTTATGTTCTAAGTTATAATTAGTATTACTAAGTTATAGTTTTTTGCTAAAATATAGTATATTATTTATTGCTTGTTTTTTCTTCTTTTTCAAAAAATAATTGAGTAAATAAGGTGTTCTATACTTATAATTCGGTAAAAAGTATCTAAGTAGGTACTAATATACCTACTTTTTACTATTAACTAAAAATTTTTAAAACTAAATTTAACTAAAAAGACTATACTGACCATTTATTTTTTAACTCAAAACAGGACATGGGTTTATTTATACTCTAAAAACTATAACTTTATACAATTAGTGTTCACTGTAAAATTATATTCGGTATAGACGGTACTTATTAAAATGCAACATATTTTTTTAAAATTATTAATTACATTTGTCAGTGGATTAAATTTGCTTTAATAAAGCTGGTGATGATTTTAAATAAAAATAAAATTCTGCTCAAGTTTTTTTATTGTTATCTTTGTTAACAACATCGCCTTTAGAACTGGAACCGTAAGTGTTTCTTTCAGACGTCCACAATTTATTCAAAATAAAAAAATACACTTTCTACCGGAGCATTCGTACCAGGTAGACATAAAGTATATTCGATTAAAAAAAATTATGTTTTTATTAGTATTGTTGACTTTGAATACTTCCATCCAACGAGTTACGGGACAATTTTGTGTCCCGGAGCTTTGTTTGGGACAATGGGACAGGTGACCGAGAAAAGGGACAGTCCCGTTCAAAACGGGACGTATGGTCACTTTAGCTATAAACCGACGACGGCTCCGTGACGCAGTGGCTTTGCAATCAGTTGTTGCGCTGGGGGCCGCGGGTTTGAATCTCGCACGGAACAAATATTTGTATGGCCTACAAATAATTGTTCCGGGTCTGGATGTTTGTCCTTGTGCAATTTATGTTTGTAAACTGCCTCCACGACACAGGAGAAAATCCTAGTGTGGGGGTAACGTTTTTTTACAATTGAAATTGAAAGATTGAACCCTTATACTTCTTGTTGATTTTTGTATTACCTTTATTAAAGTTACCCTTATGTATAAATAAATATAATTACGTATGTAGAAATAAAATTGATTTTCATCCTCATCAATCATTGCGGTGAGGATAATGTCTGCCAGCATAAGTAATAAGCAGGCTAAGTTACAAGGTGCTCAGTTCAAAAATTTGTAGGTACGTATATTACTTTTCAATACGTGACACGTAAAAATTAACAATAATCAAAAACACATCTACGAAACATCCTATTTATTTATTTATTCTTTATTACACCAAATATTTGTACAAAAGGCGAGCTATCTATTTATTTACCTATAGTGAATAGGTATCTTTTTTTTAACTCACAATTTTCAATGCTTCATTTTTAATATATAATTAATTATAAAATTTCATAATTAGATAATATATGAAAATACATAATTCTAATACAATGCAACTAATATACCGAATAAAAAAATTAAAATACATTTATCGTTGTACGCTGTGTGTATTTCCATAAATTAGTTCATTGATGTTAAAAAAATAATACTACGTTCGTACCTACAATAGGTGGTGGCGTCGTACATATTTCAAATAAGCAATATATTGAAGCGAGCGGCGTGCCGCCGGCAAAATGCTCAAGGTCGTTCGCATGGAGTAGCCCCTTAATGTGTTTGACCTTGGAATAAGACACCCGTACAAAATGTAAAGAAAAAAAAATAGTTAAACCATATTATAGGAAATTTTTTTGTTTATATACATAATATCAGATTGACACGTATCAGATACAGTCATAATTTTTTCATAATCAAGTTAAAATTGTATCGTAAACATTTACACGTTTTGCAGTTTACATGTTCCAAACAACTCTGCGATGGAAAACATATTAATTCACGCGACAAATGCTTCCTGGTTGTGGACGCGTTCGTACGTTGTTTGCAAACATGGAAATAGAGTGGGATACTGCCAAAATGTTAAAATTAATCAAATGCTATCAACGTAATCTTTTTTGATGGGATTCTAATATATATTGCTGTTATTTAGCTATTGATGAGCCAATAATTTTTAAAACTATATAATTATAATTTGATTTAGATATTCGCATAAAATTGATGAATGATCCACTGTTTATTCTGAAATAAATATTTTTTTGTCTATGAAAGATAAATGTGTATCCATTTCTTTTTAAGATGGTTTTAATGATAAACTATATAAACTGATTCTGATGACATGTAAATAAACAACAACGCTACTTCTTTCGACGAAGTGTTTGTGACGACTGGTTGATGTGGACAGCTATATGATGTATATGAAACTGTTATATACCTGAAACTTTCTTTACTAGTGTATATGTGTCTTAAGTAATTCTCAGTACTTATGTACCTTTGATGCTGCCCCACATTGTAGGTCTGGGTATTTACCACGTGGCTTATATACAAGATTACTATATTTGATGACAATCTACTGAACCACACGAACTTTTGTTTCTCCTTATCAACTTCTATGACATCCACGAGTTAAGATAAGGGTGTTGGATACACATACGCGATCATTGATGCCGATATTTCCTCGGTAGTATTATGTTCAGTATTGCCACATGTCATGGTTCATCATCATCATTACAGTGAATCACAAAGCTACTCCTGAATATAAGCATCATCATAAATTACCACAGCAATCCTGAGACTGAATCCATCCACTCTCTGCATCTTGGTCTCTTAGTCAGTTATTATTATTCGTCCTAGATCTGAACATAAACGAGCACAAGGTGTTCTTCCGCGAGCTGCTGTCTTTGTGCGAAGCAGAGGACGGCATGCTGGGCAAGTTGCCGTGCTACAAGGGCGTCAACCTGGTGCCGCTGCGCGCGTCCGCCTTGCGTGCGCTGGCCGCCTGCCACTACATACAGGAGAAGCACTGCCGCGAGAAGATATTCCAGGTGCTCTACAAGTCGCTCGAGAAGAACGACCCGGAGCTGCAGCAGGTCAGTGCTACACTCTGCTCTTAGAACTAGGATAGTCCACGCTTCATTTTCAATGTACATTATCTTAAATAATGAAAGATAACTGATAACCTTTAATTTAATACTGACGTTAAGCATTTTTTATTTTGTTCAGTAGGAGACTATTTGCAAAAACTAAATAAGGTTTATTATTATTATATTATAGTATATACATGTTATAGCAAGACCTCTTTATCTTCGTAACCATTTCACAAACTTCATTCGTCATTTTAATACTGTTTGAAAATTTGTCATAATTGCATTGCTTGGCTTGGCTGGCCGATAGGCAATCGCAGCACCAGACAATTAGCATTTTGCCGCTTCTTTTTTTTATAAGTGGCGACCGCCGCCCATGAACAGCTGCAACACATGGGAATCCCAGGTGCGTTGCCAGGGTTTTAAAAAAGAGTAGGCTCGCTTGTAGTCTCCTCTCACGGCAGCCTACTGAAATGGAGAAGAGAGCAATAAGGAAATGCCAATGTCCAACCGTGGACTTCTACAGATTATGATAGTACACTTCTACAGATACTTTTATTACTTCAGACTGAAATAGAATTGTTTTGAGAAAAGAATCCATTACTCTATTATGAATATAACGTATGTATAGATGGCGCTATAAATACTCCTGGCGTGACAATTTTATTTTTTACTGGCTACCCTGACACATTCCAAATAAGTGGTATGTTTCTAAACTGAAGTTGCAGTTCTAATATTTACACAAATAGACATGTGGCAACCAAAGTACAACAAGTATTTGTAAGGCCTACAAATAATTGCTCTGGGTCTGAATGTTTGACCTTGTGCAATCTATATAATATGTAAATTGCCTCAACGATAAAGAGAAGATCCTAGTGTGATAATCTTAATCCTAATTTTTTTAAAAGTAACATTGGTACTAATATTTATGTTTAATGTTTAAATATTTGCTCCTCAGGCTGGATTTGAATGCATGCAGAAATTCTTATCGGGCTTCCAAATCGATATGGAAATGGTTCATCCAGTAATGAGACCATTACTACTAACGCTGGGCGACCACCGCAATCTAAGCGTGAACGGAGCTAAAAGACTCTCATATCTCACACAGTTATTCCCCTCTACGTTTAGTGAGAAGCTCTGTGAGCAGTTACTACAATTACTAAAGAAACTGTTGGATTATTCTATACAAACAAATAGAGGTGAGTATTTTTCAAATCTAAAACTGCCTGTATAGTTTTCAATTAAATCATTTTTATATCTGCTTTGAATAAAATCAAATATTTTAATGTACAGGAGGTAACTTCCTACAAAGCGTTTCGAAAAATATGGAAAATGAACAGAAGATAATAATACTGATTGGAATATTCCATCAAATCCCTGCTGCGTCGCCGCGCTTTATAGATGTTCTGTGCCGTCTGATATTACATACAGAAAAGTCGTTAATGATTGAGGCTGGCTCACCATTCAGAGAACCTTTAGTTAAATTTCTTTTAAGGTAAGTTTTAAGTAATGAAGGGAACGTAAATATATCATATTAGCTATAACTATCAAATGTCCACTGTTGAGCATAGGTTGCCCATTAAATTGTCTCCCAGAGAGGATTTTGCCATAGTTGCCGTACTTGGCGTCGGCATCGGCGGATCGGCAACCGTAGTTTCTTATTAAGAAGATGCTGCTGCCCACTTCCGATTTCACTTGCCTCTGTAGCTTCTTATTACGCTCACGAGATGCCGTGTTTTAACACAATCATTTTAACAACAAACATTTTTTCAACATGGTAGAGCCATGCTATGCATAAACTATGCATACATTAATGGTATAGTTGTAGCACGAATGAGTCCGCTCGACCGGTGAAGAACCATGCTTTCACAGAATACTAGCGTAAAATAGCAGCTTAATGCTGCTGTGTTTCGTATGGTGACCCTTTTTTACTGAAAAAGAGGCATTCAATCTTAGTCCTCACGGCTGACAGCGCATATGCATTTTAATTCTTAATTGAGGATAGATGTAGATGTCTATGGGCCACAACAACCACTTACCATCATGTGGACTATGCGCTCGCTTGTCACTCTTAATCCTATAAAAAAAAAAGTTTAAGATTTCTTGGAATGGTTATCAAGGATGTTAGTAATTTTGCTTTTAATTTGTATAATTTTAACGTTTAAATAATTCATCATCAATATAATGTCAATGTTCTTTCTGTTTATAAAAATAATATTAATATATTATTACCTTTATTTTATAACATCGGGAAATGCCTTCGCATAACCGCCTCGCGGCGGCAAGGACGGGTTATGTTGTTCACCGCAGGTGACCAAGCCTCCGTTACTGAGCCCCCTCGCCCGTTCGGGGTGGGGAGGGGAGGGGGCATCACAGAGTCCTCAACAACATTATGTCAATGTTCTTTCTGATTATAAAAATAATATTAATATATAATTACCTACAGGTATCCAAAGGAGACACTAGACCTTATTATGAGTGATAACAACATTAAAGATCAACAATGGAGTCGATTCCTCGTGTTTCTTGTCAAACATCCAGAAGCAGGGCCTGCCTTCCGTGATGCGCTACAGACGTCCAAGAAGACTCGTCTCATGCAACTATTGGCTGCGAACAGTGGAGGCGCAGCCGCTTCCATACCTCAGGCTGACAGAGCCGAGATGCAGTTCCAAGCTATAAGAGTTATCTCTTTGCTTATTAAATACGATGACCAGTGGCTCTCAACTCAACATGATCTCATAGAATTGCTTAAACGTATTTGGTGCAGTGATCAATACCATGTAAGTGTTTTTATTTAAGCAAAATAAAATTATGGTAATGAATAAGCAATATTATATTTTAAACTATTCTTATTTTCAGGAAATTCACAAGAAAGTAGAGAATGTCGATTGCACACATTGGAAAGAACCTAAATTGATAGTAAAGATATTATTGCACTACTTTTGTCACCATCCATCTAATATAGATTTGTTGTTTCAACTGCTGCGTGCTCTGTGCGACCGATTTATACCGGATTTCCAGGTTTGTATTTATATTGATACATTATGAGTATACGTACTACTAATTTAAACGTTTCTATTACTTGTTCATAGTCATTTTCCATAATTGTGTCATATTATGTTTAAAGTTGTGATAAAGATTTTAGCAGGTTTATGGTTCTATCATTGTGACATTACTGAAATCGTTGTATAAAGTTTGTTTCCTATTTTGTGTTTCACGGTGAAAAAACCAGTATAAACGAAAAGTTAATTTTTAATTTTTTAATGATTAGTTTTGATTGATGATTAGTTTTATGTGTATACTCTATTCCAATTACGAAGTCCCATTTGACAGATGTCAATAATCAAGTACTAGTAAAGTACCGCTATAGTCGATACTTGACGATATTGATCTTCGATTACTAATGACGAACAAATTAAAATCGTATTGATAGAAAAAGGATTAGCATCAAATTAAAATTTATAAAACTGTTTTTTTAATTTTAGTTAGATAATATTACATGATATTTTTATCAAGATGAAACATATTCATCATCACTAGCCGAAATCGATATTTCATGGTCGGCATCGTCGTCATCACCCTCACCATCGTCTGTAGAATCCCCTGTATTTATTATAATTTGGTTATCTATGACGGCATCGATATGTATATCTCTGTCCCAATCAGCGAAAATCAAATTTTTTTTTCGTAAAACCACACTTTCCCAATTCGCGGCAGTAACACTATCACAAGCTTCTTGCATCAATGACAGCATTTTGTTTGCAGTAAACGGTGGGCTAGTATTTTTACGAGCCGCATAACCTAAAATAAAGGTTTGCGTGTTAATATAGCAACAGATAAAATGTTAAAATAGGTAAAAATAAATTATAAAAAAGGTTTGTATAAATTCTTGCCTTTAATTTGCGCCCAAATCAATTCTTTGGCATTGTATTGACAATGGTAGGGTGGAAGGCGCATTACATCGTGTCCGGCTTCCTTAGCTATTTGGTCGAATACGTATTTTGGTCTAGCTGGCTTATTTATAGCAACCAAATGCAGCAGCTCAACTTTTAACATGGACATGTCAGCAACAATATTATTGTCATTCAGCCATTTCACAATATCGGCTTTTTTGCTGCTAGAAGTTGGAGGCTTACTTATTTGTACCGAATGATACGGTGCATTATCCATAATGATCGTGGATGGCTCATTCAAGTTGGTCAATGAGGCACAAAACCATTCCTTAAATTTAACAAAATTCATGTCTTCGTGGTATTCCACAGTTTTCTTAGATTTAAACGCCAAGAGGCAGTTCGGAACAAATCCCTTCATGGAACCCGTATGAAAAATAATTAAGTGTTCGCCTTTGCCACTAGGTACTTTTGTGGAGGAGTGAGGGGTGTCGTCTGTCCATATCTTGCAAACTGTATGATTAGCGTTAAGCCACGTCTCATCTAGAAATATAACATTATTCCAAACGGCAATGGACTTTACTGATCTTAGAAAATTAAATCTGGCTAAAGCTATATCTCTACGTTCCATCAAAATCCGCCTCTGATCTTAGAAAATTAAATCTGGCTAAAGCTATATCTCTACGTTCCATCAAAATCCGCCTTTTATCACATTTTTTATAAGAAAAGCCAATATTTTTTAAAACCTTCCAGAAAGAAGTTCTACTGCCGTGAAACAGTCCAGATTCTCGTAAAGTATTTGACAATTTATCGAGAGTCGGCAATTCGTTCCTACTATAGTAGCCATAGATATGGTTTCTAATGGCGTCGTTATCAAAATTGTCGATATGTGTAACTATCGATCTTCTAACTTTTTTTTTAAGTGGCAATTTTAATTTATTATCTTCCATTAAATCTTTACCATGTTTTTCCTTACTTATTCGGGAAACAGTTTTTCGACTAATACCAAGAGCTGCACTTACTCGGTTAGTCACTTGTGAAAGTGGCAACAATGGAACACCATTCTGATACTCTCTTTCAAAGTAATCTTGTAGGCGTACTACAAACTCTCGCGCCTGACTGCGCATCACTGTTCTTTTAGTGGTCTCAGTTTCGGCCATAGTGTTTATAAATACAAAAAAAAACCAAATCAAATAACGGTCAAAACTTAATAACAACGAAAGAATTATCAAACAGTTATAACTACAATAACAAGAACGAAATAAAAACACAACACAAAATCAACTAAACTGAACACTTGTACTGAAGAGACAAACAAAATGGCGGTCGTGATCACGAGGTGGACGCAGTGTTGACAGATATTCACTCGCGAAAAGAATCTGTCTATAATCGATTTTATACGATTTTTTTAGTCACGTCACTATGTAAAAAAGTAAAAATAAAACTATAGAACGTAAACGCAAAACGGCAGTAAAATATTATTATCTTTTAAAGTTTTAATTATTTTGAGCACGATGTCTAAAAGCAGTATGTTGATTGTGTGTGTGAATTAATTGTATAATGATTTAGATTGATTGTGTATTTTTAAATGATTATTTACGACCATGAACAAAAATGATAATTATTTCAAATTATGCGAAACGTGAAGAGTTACGTTCTAAGAAGTGTCGAAAGGGACTTCGTAATTGGAATAGAGTATAGTTCACATTAGTTTTGGTTTGGTTAGTGACAAATCGTTTACATTACTCCTCAAAAATTAGCTGTTTTTTTTATGTTTGCAATTCTTGACAGAAAACCTTTCTTTCTTTATTCATCCGTTGTTAACTTGGTAAAGTATAAATCTTTGTATTTGTAACTAAACCTATTTATGAAGCTTTTGTTTACGTAAAACTATATTGTAATCACAAAATATATTGTTTTTAGTTCCTTCGCGATTTTCTTGAAAATACAGTAGCACAAAATTACACTGTGGAATGGAAGCGCTCGGCATTCTTCCGCTTCGTGGAGCATTTCTCTAGTGACGCCATGTCGCAAGATCTAAAGGCCAAAGTACTGCAAATGATTTTGATACCTTGCTTTGCGGTCAGCTTCGAGAAGGGTCAAAAGATAGTCGGCGGACCGCCCGCGCCATACCAAGATAATCCAGACAATGTTGTCTCTGTGTTTATTAATAATGTGAGTATCGTAATAAATTTTTACGTTTTTTATGATATGTATGTCATTTCACTTGATTTAAAAAGACGCTACGAACCTATTTATTATAAAAATCAATTTTTTTTGTGTCATGTTATTGTAAGTTCATTTTCCGATAAGAGAAGTACTGCACTATTGTGCAGACCTCAAAAATATGTGTTTAATTTTGAAATCTGGACAAATGTAACTGAATTTCTTAATATGGATTTGAAGTCTGTTTCAGGGTGCATAAAACTGGACTCTAGGCGCCAGCATGCACCCCAAATTCATCCTCCCAGGAATGTTTTTTTTTTAAGAATCCACTCATTCGAGTTCGTTTGATATGATGCATTTGGTATAGGGCAATGATTATTAAATGAAATGAAATTTTCCATTTGAATACAAGAATTGAAGCATGTGGGGCGTTGTTTGCGTGGTGCGCAGGTGATCGACCCGGAGAACCCGTTCGCGTGCTCGGACGCGGTGCGCATCTCGCTGCTGCAGTTCGCGTGCCTGCTGCTGGAGCAGGCGTCGGCGCACATCCACGACGCCAACAACAAGAAGCAGGGCAACAAGCTGCGCCGCCTCATGACCTTCGCCTGGCCCTGCCTGCTCGGCAAGAACTACGTCGATCCTGCCACTAGGTACGCTCAACATTTTCTATCATCACTTCCTACTGCCATTGCGTTGCTCTACGTGATTTCTAGTGGGCATTTAAACGAATATATTCCCTGTCCCATGAATGTATATATCGATTATTTAACTATTATGTAACTACTGACTGACTGGAGAACTGTTATAGCACAGCCGGTGTGGCTCTGTAGCTGAGTGCAATTTCCAATGGAATTGTTAGTAATAATAGTGTTGCTAGCTAATCTTGTAAGAAATAAACTTACCAGTATTAAAATTAAAACTTCAGTCCGAAGCTTAATCTACATATTGAGAAATAAAATCTGATGTAATTTTCACAAAAAAATTAAGAAAATTCTATGTATTACACTTTAGTTCGATTTATTATCTAAACAAATGATCTATGATGTTGAAATGTATTATATTGTATGTCATTTTATTTTACTGATCGGTTTTAGGTATCACGGACACTTACTGCTGAGTCACATCATCGCGAAATTTGCGATCCATAAGCGGATTGTCTTGCAAGGTAAGTTTTCTTTAATAAGATAATGGTGACAAACGAGCACACAGTCCACCTTATAGTAAGTGGTTGCTGTGGCCCATAGACATCTACATCTATCCTCGATTACAAATCAAAATGCAGATGCGTCTTGTGAGGACTAAGATGGAATGCCTCGTTTCCAGTAAAACGGGTACCGGTTCTCTACACTCACTATACGAAACACAACAGCGTTAAGCTGCTATTTTACGCTGGTATTCTGTGAGTTAATTATTTTATAAAAAAATGCGTATTCTTATATCACTTGTGTTATCGTAAAATAATCTTTCCTTTAGTTTGTGTCGTAAAACTAAAGAAAGTGTTTAAAATCTCTTATGTTGCCATTCTAAAATATTCATTTCTCTTACCTTTTGGCTTTTTATATTTACGTATCCCTAACGGAACTAAATATATGTTTTGTTATTAATATCATTATATCGCATTTCGTAAAAAAGAGAAAAAACATGTGTATTCGCTAGTGTATAATTTTTCAAGATTTAAAACAAAAAAGTTAATGTGCTATTTCATATTAAAAATAAAAATTTAAACTGCCAGCTCTTTTATTTTATTCCACACAAAAGATAAAGGAGCATATAGTCCATCTGATAAATTATAATCAATGGCTCACTTAGCGTACTAAAAACATCAGCATTATGCTGGTTTATTTTACGCCGGTATTCGGCAAGAGCGTGGTCCTTGTAGCCGACCCATCCGCGCTACAGCCATAACGCTTCTACAGCGTGGTTCTACTCGTATTGCGCCACGGAGCAAATACAAAGAGAAGATGGTCTAAGTAACTGTGATTCTAACTAGGTCCTGACGTCATCACAGTGGGCGTTGCTTTAGTAAGTATACTATCAGCGTTCGTCCTGTGCGCTTATGTGTCGAAAATCGCAAATCGGTGTATTTTCTTAGTATTAAGAAGAAAAGGAAGTGTTGTGTTTTATCGTGTAAAAACTACTCAAATAGACGCTCTGATGCTATGAATGGCATCAAATTTCATTTGTAAGTACTTTTATACCTAAATTATTGAAATAGTTCTAGAAAAATCTCTGCGTCGGCTTTCAAATATATTTAAATATATTCGACACTAGATGGCGACACTTTGTGTCATGGGAACTAAAAATATATAGGTATGTGGAGCTCAGTATTGGTAAAATAATCATACTGAGGTGCTGAAATTTGTTTTGCATTTTTGCAATTTTTAATCGCCAAAATATTATTTTTATAGTTTTTATAATCATTTTCTGAACAGGCCGCCATCTATCGTCAAGGTAGCTACTACATTGCAACATCGTTATGCGAGTAGTTTTACTATTTATCGGTAGATACAATATAGTTAAGTGGGCGTGGCATAACACCCCTCACCCCGCAAATTGTAACGCGTTGTTACATAGTGAAATGTAATTACAATACTTCCTCTATGTATTTGCTCCGTATATTGCGTGTATTCGGACGCTAGTGTGAGTGTTGAGGTGGGGCGTGCGTGTGGCGCAGTGTTCCACAGCCTGCTGAAGGCGCACGCGGTGGAGGCGCGCGCCGTGGTGCGCCAGGCGCTGGAGATCCTCACGCCCGCCATGCCGCAGCGCATGGAGGACGGCAACACCATGCTCACGCACTGGACCAAGAAGATCATCGTCGAGGACGGACACTCCGTGCAGCAACTCTTCCACATACTGCAGCTTGTCGTCAGGCACTACAAGGTGCGTGCTGCTTAATGCTTACACACTTGTACATGCATCTACACTGTGATGGTGAACCGATGGATGCAAAATTATGATTATATGACACACTAAATTATAATATGTGGGTTACGTAACACTGGACCCAGAACTTGTTTATTTTAATTATAAAACAAATTTGTCGAAAGTAGTACCTATAGCGATTGGTGGGTTTGTTGGCTGACTTAAATACATTACAAACATCATTGTCATCATTACAGCTCTTTTAAATCCCTTGCTGAACATAGGCCGCCCCCAACAAATGCTACAAACTACCCTCACCTGAATCAGTTTACTTCCTATGTGTCTTACCAGGTCTTCACTCCATTTGGTGGAAGGCCGTCCAACACTTACTTTAACCGACGGGATTCGATTCGTATAGACAGCGTTCGAAAGATTTAAGATACATCTTCTCGTCACGTTTTCTTAAAACCTTAAAACAAGAATGCGTGTAGACATTCATGACAAAGGGAACTAAGAATTGGTCAAGGTATGGAAAGCGCTACTCTGAGTTTCACTGCATGATAGAATCTGTAATGTTCATATCCGCAGCATAACTATAACAACATAGCATATCCCAACGGATCAGTGAGCTAAAGTGGACCGGCTATATAGCTCGAATAGTTCGAAAAACCAACAACGGATGAGGAAGGAAGGTTTTAGAGTTGGACTTGCATCAAGTTGGCAAGCGGAGTCTAGGACGGAATTATAATTTTATAAATATGACAAAGGAGCATATCCACCTATGAATGGTAAGTGGATGCTGTATGGGTCATAAATATCTACATTTATCCTAGATTAGATGCAGATGCGTTGTCACTCTTGAGGACTAAGATGAAATGCCTTGTTTCTGATAAGGGTATCAGTTCTCGACACTCACCATACGAAACAGCAGCATCTATCTTCTATTTTACGCTGGTGTTCGCGAAAGCGTGTTCCTTTTCCGGTCGGGCCGCCCCATTTGTTTCATCCGAATAAAGCTGGAATAAATTCGTTATTCAAATTATATCAAAATATATTATATACATTACACACAAATAACGTAAGCAATGACTTCAGGTGTACTACCCGGTGCGGCACGCGCTGGTGGGGCACATGGTGGCGGCCATGCAGCGGCTGGGCTTTTCGGCAACCGCGTCGCTGGAGCACCGGCGCCTCGCCGTCGACCTGGCCGAGGTCGCGCTCAAGTGGGAGCTGCAGCGCCTGCGCGACCACGCGCACGACGACATCGTCGTACGTACACGCTCGCACACCTGTCATGTTCTCCTGGTCGCTTTAGACCACACAAATTACTTTTGAATTTATACTGCGCACAACCTTTTATAGTGCCACAAGTGTACGGATATACGTATTCACACACACGAGAAGACTTCTAATGTTGCCAATCCACAAAAACTTATAATAGTTGAATTTTTAATATTAAATACTATCACGTGGTCTAGGTGGCGACTTCACCGAGCGGCGCGATGAAGCGCGTGTCGGTGGATGAAGGCGGCGGGGAGTCGCGCAAGGCGCTGAACACGGGCTGGGCCAGCCCGCAGGCCAGCTCCTCACGCTTGGAGCCCGACGCCGCCAAGCCGCTCGATCGCGCGCATGTCGACGTCGTCGTCAACTTACTGCTGCGCCTCGCCTGCCAGGTATCCGTGCTTGCTAAAACAGCAGAAACTCAAAACACACCATATATTTGAAAATTTAACTTTTTATTTTTTGTGCATTAATTTGAGCTACATTGTGGACAGTTTTAATTGTTTGTGCGCGCGTGTGTTGGTGCAGGTGAACGAGGGCAGCGTGGCGAGTGCGGCGGGCGCGGCGGGCGCGGCGGGCGGGTCGCCGGGCGAGCAGCTGTCGCGCCGCTGCGTGCTGCTGCTCAAGGCTGCGCTCAAGCCGGACCTCTGGCCGCACCTCTGCGAGCCCAAACTCGCCTGGCTCGACAAGGTACTCTTATCTCATTTTTATTGAACATCACTATAAAACAAAATTGTATTTATACATTATATATAACTCGATTTCGTTTCACGAAATCATAAATATATTTTATTATTAATGATAATTATAATTTTTATAACAAAAGTTAGTTACAGAAAGTATGTTTATGAATGTTAAATTATGCGCACTCCTTAAGAACAGAGCTTTTGCACACTAACTGCGTTGCGTAGAATGTGCAATAAATGAAAGTAAAAGAAATACATTTTGTGAAGAATAATTTTATTAAATATTTATTTCTTATTCGTTATTACAACAATTTTTGTTGCATTTTCCTTAAATTACATTATATAACAATTTCAAAATGACGACGTGTCTGCTGTAAGATTTTATATAACTAATATTACTGTTAAATAAACTTAAGTTCACATTCAAACTATAATTGAGAGAGATTTTTTATATAATATAATTATTACCTACAAAAAATATTTTCTGGACAAACATTTTTGCTGACAGTATAAAACTATTTTAATTTTATCCAGCAAGCATACGACTACAAAAGGAGTTATGAGCTTATAAGTAAATATTAATTGGTTGTGCGGTCGGCAGGTGTTCTCGACCGCGGACAGCAACACGGCGGCGTGTGCGAACGCGTGCACGGCGCTGGAGCTGCTGGCGTTCCTGCTGGGCGTGCTGCGGCGCGAGCAGTGCTTGGCGGCGCTCAAGCCGCTGCAGCGCGGCCTGGCCGCTTGCGTCGCCTCGCCCAACGCCAAGGTGGTGCGCCTCACGCACAACCTGCTCGCCAAGCTCACCGCGCTCTTCCCCACCGAGCCCTCCGGCGCCGCGCAGGCCTGCAAGGTTCGCACGCTCACGTATACATGCACCGTCAGTTTGACTTGAAGTGATGGAGATAGCACAAGACTTAACGACATTTTAAAATTGAATAGCGTTTGAGTATTTGGGTCTAAAATCTACAGATTTGGTCGTGGACCGTTTGATAATGATTACGCGGACTGCGAGTGTAACCCACATACCACATAGTATATTATGATAGCAAGCATTATATTGTTATTGACTTAAAGTAACGCGTTTCGCAGTACGAAGAGCTGGAAACGCTGTACGCGTGCGTGAGCAAGTACGCGTTCGAGGGGCTGGCGACGTACGAGAAGTGCGCGGGTGGTGCGGGCGGGGCGGGCGGCGGAGCGGGTGCGAGCGCGAGCGCGGGCGGCAGCGGTGCGGGGGCGGGCGGCGCGGCGGGCGGCGCGGGCGCGCTGCTGGGCCCGCTCATGATGCTGAAGGCGTGCTGCGCGTCGAGCGCCGGCTACGTGGACCGGCTGCTGCTGCCGCTCATGCGCGTGCTGCAGCGCATGCTGCGCGACCACGTCGCGCCCAACCCGGACCCCGCTGTCTCCGACCTACTCGTCAGTGTACACACTATACTCTATTTCTTTCTAGGAGTACCATCACAGTTTAAAGAGCAACAGTTGTGAAACCCCTTTGATATCAGGCGATGCCGCCGTCCACTTAGGTATTTACGAATTACGCCCCCGTCGTATATATGTTTGGGTTTGTCACGAAATTGGAAATAAAATAATTTTGGATATTATAATTCTCATTAACATTTTGTATCTTGATGAGTTAAAAATATTTATTGAACAAGATTGTTCTTATTACTCCAAATAAAAATACATTTACAAGTGTTACACCGCCAAATATTTTCTTGACACTTTCTATTTATAGATGTTTCCAGTTTTCGATTGTTAAATTAAATGACAAATATATTCGCTATCGGATAAACAATTTTATAAAAAAAAGAGGGAAACATAAGTATGACCGTCAATTGAATTCTTTAAATTGAAAACTTTACTTAGTAATTGGTATAAATATAACAGTAATTCACCATATAAATATTTCATTTTCATTTTGAAGAAAGTCAACTTTTATATAAAACTTAATTAAATATCACCTCACCTAATCTCATGTGTATCGGAAAAGAACAAGAATGTCAGAAAGACCTCATAACCATGTATTAACTATTATAAGCAACTATAAAATATTCTAATGAATACTGGGGAACAATGTTAAATGTATGAGATAATCCGTTTATATCAGCACAGCCGGATAATTACTATGGGAATGGGCTATTTCTAGGAATAGACACTACAAATAAAGATGTTTTAATTAATTTAATCACACTCATAGTTAAAAACAATTTTTTTTTAAATTTCAGATATTAGCGCTAGATCTTCTGAAAGCACGAGTGTCTGTTATGCCTGTTGATACAAGGAAAACATTTATTGGAACAGTTCTAGTTGGGCTCATTGAAAAGACTACCGATGCTAAGGTAATGATCAATTATAGTATTTTGATAAGACCTAAAATTATGGAATGAAACATAGTGTTTTTACATATAATACAGGTAATGAAGGCCATCATTCGCATGGTGGAGGAGTGGGTGAAGTGGCGCGGGGTGGCCGTTACCGGAGCCGCGCCGTCACTTCGCGAAAAGTCTATATTACTTGTCAAGCTTATGCAGTATGTCGAAAAACGATTCCCTGACGACTTGGAGCTCAATGCACACTTCCTGGACCTCATTAATTATGTCTACAGGTAAAAACACTGCATTAAAACTATTTTATACTGTTTTCGATTTATGTGCTATGGTATTGTTCATTAATACCCAAAAGATTAAAACAACTAAGTAGCAAGCGGTTAAGCATACTGCTACGGCCTAAGCCTATTATTGTAACTGGAAAATAATTGCTTTTAAATAGATATATAGATAAATAGTTTAGAAAATTCTTTAATGCACTCAAATATTTGGTACAAATGCACTTTGGCATGATCTGCCATCTCACCTTTGGTAGTGAGGTGAGCGAATGGGTAGAGCTGCACTAAATAAAACTGCTTATATTACTTTTTCAGAGATGAGCATTTGAAAATGACCGAACTGTCAATGAAGTTGGAGCCAGCGTTCCTGGCCGGGCTGCGTTGTCCTCAGCCACACATTCGCGCCAAATTCTTTGAAGTGTACGACCAGAGCGTGCGCCGCCGTATCTTCGACCGCCTCCTCTACATCATTTGCTCACAGAACTGGGAGCACATCGGGCAGCACTACTGGATCAAACAATGCCTTGAATTGCTTCTTGTTACATGTGTTTCTAGTGAGTGACATTTTTATATTATGTTAATCTTTGAAAGACTCCACTGCTAATAACTATCTGTCAAAGATGTCGCTGGATACGTGCGTTACTTGGAAGATTTGTCTATACTCACTTTTCTAGACAGGCTTGTTGGTGAGCGCAAAGCTGTTTAGATAGAAACCGTCTCACTGGTAATCCTACTGCCCATGATCAGCTTTTGAAATTTATTTTTGGGCATTTTTCCATTTTTGCCTATCGGTCATTCGACATTCACAAGGGGTTACCGCGAATAGGTTTGACATTTGAAGACAACTTTGGCAAACACATTAACTTAAATTGTTTTTGTAACAATTTTACCATAATATACAACATCTAACGTAATTAACGCACATACTCAGACACCCCAATTAGTATATTATGTTATAATCATAATACATACACTTGTGGCGGGTAGAAGGAAAAGGGGAGATCTCCCGCCGGGCAAGGTGTTCTGCCCGGGGAGCGGCCTTCGCTCCTGGTGGTAGTTCGGAGCTATTCTATATATGCTGCTTTAACTTCGGAACTTTGTTAGCGCGATTTAGGCTTCGATATGTTTCGCTTGTGGCGCGACGACAGCGCCGCCACATTACCCCGCTGCTCAGACCGGAGGTCGACAGTGCAGTCTAGATGTCGACGAATTTGCAAGTGCCTTGTAGTCTGCGGTGAGTCGAGAAGAAGGCAAGTAATCTGCGAGAGTGCCGTGAAGCAGAGGCGAGCAGTAAGGCTCAGAGCCGTGCCGAACACTGTAGCGCAGAGAGTAGCTTGAAGGAACAGGAAGCATTATTATTCCAGTGCTGCGATGAACCTTTATAAAGCTAGATGACTTGTAGAATGTGAAGACTGCAGACAATATCTGCTCGGGAGCGAATGAATGGGGGTACTTGAGTACGATGACGAAGGTTTTGAATTTGTAGTTTCCGAAGGTTGTTGGTTGCGTGATTATATCACGTCGGGGTCACCACTGTAGTGGGTGAAAGGAAAAGGGGAGATCTCCCGCTGGGCAAGGTGTTCTGCCCGGGGAGCAGAGTTCAGAGCTATTCTATATATGCTGCTTTAACTTCGGAACTTTGCTAGCGTGATTTAGGCTTCATGTGTTTTGCTTGTGGCGCGACGACAGCGCCGCCACACACTGAATTGTTAGTTAAACATGTTTATGCATTGATTATTTATTAAATTAGTTATACTAATTCCGGAAGAATGTTGTGGTCACCATACAAAACCACGAACGCTAGGTATAGGCCTTGCTAGCCTAGAAAAAAGCCGACAATACATGATTGGTTACGTTAAAGAAATACCTACCTATTAACATTAACAGATGTCAGAACTCCGTTCATTGAGTTGTTTATAAACATTTGATTGCATCTTTCAATCACACGTTTCAAGCATTGGACTTTCGACTCTGAATAATTTTGTTTATTTATTATGATACAATATCAATAGGCAATATTCGTTACAAAATGTTATGAATTTGCATAACATTTTAATTGTATTTGTAAATAATAATGAACTGCTAAATCTAAGAGGCAATACTACAACATAATCCAAAGACGGCGTGTTTAAAAGATGTGAATCAAGATTACAATAATTTTAAGAATCAAATATTTAACTTACTGATAGCCTAAACTCTCATGCTACGTTATATTTTAATACATTTTCAAAATGTCCACCACGGCTCCGTGGCGCAGTGGCTTAGCAATTGAGTTGCAGCGCTAAGGACCGCGGGTTCGTATCCCGCACGGAACAATATTTGTATGGCCTACAAATAATTGTACCGGGTTTGGATGTTTGTCCTTGTGCAATTTATGTTTGTACACTGCCCCCACAATACAAGAGAAAATCCTAGTGTGGAGGTTACGTTTTAAAAAAGAAAGAAAAAGAAAGCAAATAATATAGAAAGCAATTCAGTGTCATTTTTCACTATTCTAAAATTGTTCACTCATAGAATTACTATTTTTAGGTCCTCGGCACTTGTTGTCTCACTAAAATAAAGTAATTATTTAATGCGTCCCCATAAAAAAAGTCAAGAGGCGTCAAATCAGGTGATCTGGGAGGTCTGGCCTGGCCGCCGTGACCTAAGGCACTCCAAACTCTGTATTTGTAAAGAATTTTAAAAGTCTTATTGCCTTGAGTTACGGTCCATTTTAGTTTGTTTTGACTGTACAGGTTTAGTGTGACTGTAAATTACGTAGTTTCAATTATTTTTGGGATAAAAAAATTAACTATATTAAAAATGATAGAAATCGATTCAGTAAACGATTCTGAACAAACTACTTTCTCAAAGTGCGTTAATTATGTTACGTGTTGTATATGTATATTACAATTGTAAACATTTTTTTTTCTGTCACTTTATGGAATCTAATCTCTACAATGGCTGATCAAATTTGTATATGGATTTCATTTTCTTTCTAGATTTGACTATATTTTCTTTTTCAGGCACACAAATTCGACTATCCAATTCCAAATATCTTCTTCCTAATATATCTGCAGTAATTAATTTAGCAGACAGTGAGGATCGCAAGTCTTTTGTTATATTCAGTAATGTAAAAGAGGAGTCTGCTGATGGCTTTAGTGACACCATAGATCCAGATAAAGAAGATGTGCTTGATATGGACTTGGACTCGAACTCAAATCAAAGAGACGATTTAACAAAGAATGTACCAAACAGGTCAGTTAAAATTTTAAACGGTAATGGTTAATAAATTAATCAAAAGAAAATATTCGAAAAGTGCATATAGTTAACAAGTAAATAATATAACTTTCCTTATACTTTAATACTACATTTTATGGCACACACAATACATATTGCTTAAGTGATAATTATTGTAGTACCCAAAGTGTATAGTATTTTAAAAATTTAAACATGAAAACAGTGTTTCTTAAACATTTTCACCTTATCACTAGTACTTGAATAGGACTTTGCCTGTGACGTGAGCAAAAAAATATATTTATACGTAAGCCACATTTTTGTTATATGTAAGGAAATAATAGACACAAAGTATTTATTTAATAAAGACTGAATGAAGAACGATCTTTTAAGGAACAATAATTATCTGACTTTCTTTTTCCTCCCCTTTTCATCTCTCTTTCATTAGTATTATTTTAAACGCTTTTTAAGTTTTAGTACTCAAATATGAAATTTTTGTAAAAATTATAATGTAGGAAATTATAGTTCAGTTCAAGTTCATACTTATTTTTATAAATAAATAAAAGGAATAAAGAAGGCTCTTATCAGGATAATATTTTATTCTGCTTCTATACATTACACTTCTGTTTGTAAATGTATATTAACTATTATCAATTGCACCCACAAATAATTAGTTTTATAGTTTCATTACATAAAATCTTACGTAAAATAAACAGAGTTGTATTTATATGCAGATAGGGATGCCGCTGTAGGACTAAGGTCCGATCGAGACTAATTTTTGGTGTTAAATGAGACTAAGACCAAAACCGAGACCGAGATCAAGATTGAAACAGATAATAAAAAGAAATTTGAGTCGAGATCACGATCCACCCCAAATTTTTATTTTGTTTTGTTTTGACCTTTTAATTTGTGTCGATTTTACTGCTCACAAACGTATCCACTCATGACCGACTCTCCCGAAATTTGAGACCGAGACGTAATTATAAAACGAGAATCGTCGAGACCGAGGTCTTAGTCAGACTTATGCTGCTTACGATACTTTAGCTTTTGTTTTCTACCTTGAGCGTTAAGCGTCTCCTACACACAAGTGGCTTGCGGTGGCGGCTAACCGTGAGCCGCGGTTCCAACCGCTGCAACAACACACTACCACGGTCGCAGCGCCGGCCTGAAGCGCCATTCGCTGAGGTGTCTGTGCTACGATTGGACGTCAGTAACATGACTAACCGTGACGAAATTTTATTATATTTAGCAATATTATCATATATTTTGTTTTTATAATCCTAATGCTTTTGTAATCACGATGCGAATTATCGTAAAGTACTGGATAATTTTGCACTGTTTCTATTAAATTTTCTGAATTTAGCACCATTTTTCACGCGGTACACGCGGCCTGTTGTAAAAATTTGCAATTGACCGCGCTGCGGCCACCGACTGATCGCGTACTCGCTAACACACACGCGTTGGTAAAAGGGGCGGAGCATGCGGCCGCGGCCAGCCGCTCGCAGGTCGTGACATGGCCGCACGGGTTTGCAGACTCATTTACATTGCAAGCGAATACAACTTGCCGCCACCGCAAGCCGCTTCTGTGTGGGAGACGCTATACGATGTTGACATGTGATGTGATCTCTTTCGTCAGCACAAAAATCACATGTGTAAAATGATATTGAACAGACAAAGAGCACTGAACCAGATAGTGGCAAAACAATCGGAGTTTTTGGAACTGGCTCGACGTGTGCGCACGGAGCAGCTGGTGGTGGCGGCGGCGCAGCTCTGCCACATGGACGACGCGCTGGCGCACCACACCTGGCTGCGCCTGCTGCCCAAGCTCTGGGCCGCGCTCGACGACCGCCAGCTCGCGGTACACAACTCTAATCACTTCACATGTTTCATTATTAAAACTTACTCTCTTGTAATAAATGTTTTAACTGTGGGATATTGCCACTCGCATACTAATTCACCTTCGAAAATATTTGATTACTACTGATCACGTTGTAAATTAATTTGCATTCGAACCAAACGGTTAGCTTCATCGTTCGTTATGCAAACAGCAAAAAAGTGTCATAATTTACCAACATCTGTCTTTCCATCTTATTACAATATAGGCGTCTACCGTTACCATCACCATTTCAGTCTTTTAATAGTCTATTGTTGAACATCAGCCTCCCCCATAGTTTACCTAAGAACTTAAAATATAGCATTATAGCAACCGTAGTTATTATTTTTTAGTTGTTATTAGGAAGAAGCTGTTACCTATCTCCTGCTTTATTTTCCTCTGATGTCTCTTACGACACCTGAGACGATGTTAATGGATATTCTTTCCCCACTATCACAAGGTGTATAATATGTACCCTTACTGTGTACCCCTGTATACGGGTGTTTTCAAGGCAATCTTAAATAGGCTTTTGTTAAGCTAAGACTTCGTTTTACCATCTTCGACTACAGCACCACTTAGTGAGATAGGAGTCAAGCACTGACATGGAACAGTTTTTTTTTCACTACTATTAATAACATCCAATTTCTTTTGCAGACGGTGATGAACGAAATTGTACCATTTATTATATCAGGTGTGCACGTCATACAACGAGATCAGCCACTCAGTGCACTTAACACATTTATTGAAGCTTTAGCTCGTTGTAATCCACCTATTACAATAAAACCGTAGGTTTTCAATGTTTTTGATTTTGATTTTTTCTTTTTAATATTTTTTTAAACCTACATTAATACAAAACGAAACTTTTTAGCCCTATGATGAAATATCTTGGTAAAACACACAATCTTTGGCATCGAATGACATTGAATCTCGAACAGATGGCCATTGAACAAGCAAATGGTCGCGGTCAACGTGAACAAATGGAAATCTACGATTATGACACCGAAACCACTACACCTACGGTTTGTTTTGTTATAATGAATTTTTAAAAAGAAAATATCGAATAAATTAATGTAATATAACTTACATTTTACAGGACATACTCGATTCATTAAGTGACATGTACGAACTTTTACAAGAAGAGGACATGTGGTCCGGGTTATGGTTAAAACACGCAAGGTATCGTGAGACGAATGTCGCTATCGCGTATGAACAGCAAGGTTTCTTCGAGCAGGCACAGGTACTACAATAATTATTCATAAAATATACCAATATATGTGTGATTTATCGTAAATTAAATTTGTGTAATAATTATTAATTTTGTAGGCTGCGTATGACGTCGCTATGGCTAAACTCAAACAGGAATACACCGCTAACCCTTCATCCTACAATATGCACAAGGAATGTACACTATGGACACAACACTGGATCAAATGTGCTAAAGAGCTGAATCAGTGGGACTCATTGCTTGAATTGGGTCTTACAAGGAGCGTTCGTGACCCGTTTTTGATCCTAGAGAGCTCATGGAGAAATCCTAACTGGCCGACAATGAAAGATGCTCTCGCGGAGGTGGAATATAACTGTCCTAAAGAATTAGGTGAGACATAATCATTCTTTGTAATAAATGCTGCTATTAGAGTAGAATAGAATAATTTTTTATTCAATATAGACAACATATAATTCTTATTATAAGTTATTTTTTTACTTTACCACTGGTTCGGAAAAAGCCTCTGTCTTGGGAAGAAAGCCAGCGGGACTTTTGTTTACCAGACTGCCAAGGAAGAGTTATGTTTTTAACTCGTATCTTGTATGTATGTATGTTTGTTTGCTTGTAAATTTCTTTGTTACCTCGTATCTTTCAAACGTCTGGATGTATTTCGACAATTAAGGTATCGTTATATCCGTCTTAAAAACTCTAGTGTTTATTTAGATTTTTGGTGCGAAATAGTAATACGTTAATAAAAAAAAATAACCAAACCTATCGAGTAGGGTATCAAAATAAAGGAAAGTAAAAGGGTATTACGAAATTATGTATAAGTTATATGTTTAAATTTAATTAATAATAATATATTGGTTTAAAGAGTTTTTGAAGTCAGATCTCGTGCTATATTATGAAATTTAGTTCATAAGAGTGTGTCGGGAGTCTGGACACTAAAAAGTCTAAAATAAAATAAATAATTAAAACAATCAAAAATCCGACTGCAAAAAAGACTATTTAAAAGTATTGCACTAAAAAGATTGAAACAAGATTGAGAATAGAAAACAAAATTAAAATAAACTATAAACAAAGTAAACTCTATTTCGGTTTAACAGACTATACAGGATGTTAGTGAAACGCTCCCGAAAACGAAGACAGACGATAGTACTAGGGATACCTTTGATGATGGGTCACAAAGAAATTCGATCCCGAGGGAAAAAAAACATCTTTTCACAACGTTTTATTAACTTTATTCACGCTCCATCATGTTAGTACAGCTAAATGAAACGATAATTTCATAAAAAAAAAGATCATAAAAATACTTAAACCAGCAGTGAAATTACAATCAGCTGACTAGGGGTCAATGTACGCGCGGACGCCGAATTCGCGCGGCATGCAGCTAGCGATGATACCACAATACCTAATAATTTACAACACTTGTCTAAATACCTAACTTATCTCTCTACTTATATATGCTTGTCTCCACCTAGCCACTTTATTCACAGGTTAAATAAATCAAATACCTGGTTCGATTCACCGCTAAAAAAAAATTACTTAAATGAAATTTTAACAAGGTTAGGGTCTTGCTTTTGTATCCATCGTGTAGGTGTGTTTATTATTCTGATGTATTCAGTTATCATTAGTTCAGTTGTCATTAAAAAAAATTAGGCATGAAACAGCTTACCGATCTAAATCCTACGTGGCCTTATGAGATTCTCCAAGGCACATTAACATGTTGCCGTATTCACGAACAGTATAAACGTACCTACGAGTTAGACATTATTAAAACAAAACAAGAAAAACAAAACGTAACAACAAGTAATAACAACAAGAATTTAATAAACAAAACGATTGAACTGTTGCTCACGCACGTGATAGTCAACACGGAACTGGCTCGAAAACTAAAATTAATAATCAATCCCGCCAAAACAAATGCGCACGTGGCATTCGTAACGTCCTTGAAGCATCGAGCATTTGCACAGACCGTTAAACCGTTACGACATTGCCAACGTTTATTTTATTTATAAGTTTAGTTATCCCTACGACTAGTCTTCATATGGAATTTAGAAGTTATGGTTGTCATTTTTAATACAATTACACAATCAATTGTACCCTGACGCAACAAGCAGTTCTTTACTACAAAAATTATATTGAAATTAATAAACGTACCTAATTGGGTACTCAGTACTCACTTACACAATTATAAACACTATTTCATCGTTATCTTTGATTTTGTATAAGAAAATAGAAATGAATTTCATAGTTAAAATCAATTGCAATTATGATCGACAGTTAATTAATCTATCAGAATTAATGTAAAAAATAATGCTTTTACTTTATTTTAATTGACTTTCCGTATTTAATTCGACCAATACCTTGAATTTAAAAAGAGGTACGTCAAAATTATTAAAAATTACTTGCAAAATTTTTAGTGATTACATACAGTGCAACGTGGGAGCGTTGCCAACACAAATTTGTCAAATTCCCCGAAAGTTCATGTCAAATTCGCCAATTTAAGGACAAAAATTCAACAGATTCCTCACAAATTCCCCTCAACTTTATTTTAAGAAATTAATCAATTTCCAACTAATTGTATAGGATTTAATTTTTAACTTGTTTTCTTTAAAATTAAAAAATAAAGAAATGAAAAGCATTAAATGATACATAAAAGTTGCCGAAATAAATCCGAAAATTAAATGTGGTGCAATGAAGATAATTAAAAAAGAGAGTCATTCGATATTCAGAAGTAACCTAACAAAATGTTAAGATAAGTATTTAGATTTCATGAAAAACTGTTCTGACTTGGCCCTGGCTATCGATTTTCAAAATCCCCGTATTTTCCCCGCATAATACCAATCCCCATAAAATCCACAACCAACTTTAAATTCCCCGCAATTTTGGGAATTCCCCACATGTTGGCAAAGCTGACATGTGTAAATTCCACAGCGTGAGGCGACACGAGCCGGCCGGGCGGCGGTATCGCGTGTGTGAAAGGGAAGGGTAGAGTGAGTAGGCATTGTTTCGCACCGAGCTAGATAAGAGTTCGGCGTCCGCGAAAATATTGACCTTTTTGTCAGCTGATTTTATTTTACGTTTCACTGCTGGTTTTATGTTTAAGTATTTTCATGATTATTTTTTTTATGAAATGATCGTTTCATTTAGCTGTACTAACATGATGGAGCGTGAATAAAGTTAATAAAACGTTGTGAAAAGATGATTTCTTTTCCTCGGGATCGAATTTATTTGTGACCCATCATCAAAGGTATCCTTAGTACGATCGTCTGTCTTCGTTTTCGGGAGCGTTTCTCTAACACCCGGTATTATGAGCTGAGAGCCTAAGTTAAATACCCACATTAAATGTAGTAGCAGGCGGGACCCAATTGTAAATTATAAACCAAAAGAAAATTAGTTGGTTCCGCCCAAAATTTCTTCAAGCAAAAAAAAAGACATTAAATTAATATTCATTATTGCATGCCTTAAGCGAAAGCGCAAGGTATGTTCTACTATCGCCTAAAAATTAAGACTCCAACGTTTTATCGAATGAAATCATATCTAGCAATCATATTATACATATAAATGATATAAAAAGCACATTGTTAGAAAGATAAATGATTGTTGAACATATTAATATTTTTTTAAAATCGATTAATTGCTATTTTTAAATAAAAAAGGGGTTTTAGTGGCTTATGGTGTGGATTTATCAAGTCCACAAGGCTTGTAAACACGATAACTTTTGATAATATCCATTGTTTAACTCAATCTATTTTTTAATCTCTTCATCTATCATGTGGGAAGCCACTGAATGTAAATGGCAGTGTAATTTTGTTTTGTTTAGCTATAATTAATTTTTTTCGGCTCCAAAATGGCGAAATTTTCGTTGATTTGGTAGCCTTGTATGTAAATTATTTCTGTAAATAGGCGGAAGCCGCACTCTCAGCTACAGCCACATAGTACTTTACTCACTCACTCAGTTCGGCGTCAGTCGCCGTCGTGAGTGGACATTGTTTCGGTTGTTTGCAGCGGCTCAAAAAGATCGCTGTACAAATACACAATATTCGAATAACCAAATTTCTTAAATACTTGATTATAATAATAATGAGAGATTTTTTTATTACAATATTTTAAAAGCACAGAATAAATAATAGTAGTACGTACTAAAAGTAAGTAGTATCAATTTTTTTTGTCATGGGTGACATTTTCATGGTTTTCGAGGGTGTTGAAACCGATGGGGTTGTCGAAATGTAAATCCAAGGTGGCGGCTGCAATAGGTATAAATTTTTTCATCATGGGTGTCATTTTCATGGTTTTCGAGGGTGTTGAAGCCGATAGTGCTGTCGAAATGTATTTAAACTACTTTAAAAAATTCCAAATAATCATGTTATACGTAATTTTTTTAATGCGCTTAACGCATGCCCAATTGGATTTACCAATTTTTTTTTAATTGTAGTTTTACTATAAAATGTTTTAAACTAAGAAAATGAGCTAAACAATGAGATTTTTATAAGAGTGACGTTTGGGCACACCCACCTCATGATAATTAACACCTCATGGATGTTGTGGCCCATAGACATCATACTGGACATTTTATACGTGGTAGAGATATGCTGCAGCTATATTATGGTTGTAGCACGAATGGGTCGGCTCGACCGGGGAAGGACCACGCTCTCACAGAATACCATCGTAAAATGGATGTACCTAATTATTAAGTTAGATATTAAAAATTAGTCAGTTATTATTAAAACTTATTGCATCAACGTAAAGATCAATTTTACTTTAGTAACTAATAAATAATGATCGTGGTCTTGAAGTCGCACTCAATTCGAAAGTGATGCGATTTCTCCGTTATGTTATACTAATATTTCTCTTCTAGTGTACCGTAACTCATAAATACTTAGTCAGGTAATAAGTTCCGTCAAAAACTTTTTATAAAATGAATGATACACTTTTTGATAATTATATAGAAATTATAAATGAAATGAAAGGTAGAATACATATTTATTTACATTATTCAAAATGCCCTCCCCTATTTTGAATACATGCCCTTAATCAATACGGCCAATCATCAATCGCAACACGCACCACACTCATATCTATTTTTGCCGCTGCTTTAGCCAAAGATGCTCGGAGAGATTCCAAATTCTGATGAAGGTTAGCGCAGACTTTCTCCTCCAAATGTTGCCATGTCTTATAATCCAGTGGGCTTTGAACTAGAAGAGGGCCAGTCTTCATGTCCGATAAAGTCAATTCCATGGACGGTCAACCAGTTTTGCGTACTTCGTGCCCTATGAGCTGGTGCAGCGTCCTGTTGGTATATCCAATGTTTGTTTTTGAACATTGTTTGAGAAAGAGGTTCCACTATGTTTGTTAGGACGGTATTTTGGTACACCTCGGCACTGGTTTTTACACATTTTTCACAGAATAACACCTCAGTTAAGCCTGAATATGAGACTCCAAGCCAAACCATGAGTGACGAAGGATAATTTGCTCGTTGTACCCTCGGAATACGCTTGCTAGCTTCTTTACTGCTGTGGGCATACACCTTATCATTTTGTTTATTGTAACTTTCTTCGATGTTAAAAATTTTTTCATCCGCAAACAAAATTTCGTGGTATTTTTTTCTTGCGTACCGCCGTAACCTAGCGCAGGATCTATCCCGACAAATTTTTTTCAAACGCTCGTTCAAAAAATGTCATTGATCACTCTTTTGACCGTGGTTCTGCTTAGGTCCATCTTAAGAGCTAAGATTTTTTGTTTACGAACAGGATTTCGTAACTGTACGAGGTCGGCTGGTCCTCTTACGATCTTCTAAGCTTGAATCTTCAGTGAATCGTTTGATAGTGCGATAAACAAATCGTAGGGTTATTCTAAATTTTTGTAGACTATTGAAAATCTCTTTTGGCGCGTAACCTTATTTCTTCGACCACTCCATATTTGAAAATGAATGAAAATTAATGTTTTTTATTTTCGGCAAGCGCAAACGTTATATTTTTAAAATTGGTGAAGTTCATCTAGCCAGTATTATTTTTTTTAAATAAGAAGGTTTTGACAGAACTTATGACCCGACTAAGTAAAATAATTTATATGTAAAGTGATATATTTATTTACTTCTTTTCAACTTATTCTCCATTACATTTTGAACACTTTTTCATTAATTTAAACCATTTTGAAAACATAAGGGCCCTTGGTTTGAGGGCGTTTTTCACATGTTGATTGGAAAAGCTATCACGGCCCCTTGCGATTCCGTAAAGTCTCCTCTCATCAAATCTTAAATTTTTGGAAAATAAAGAAATCGAACGGTGTGAGGATGTGTGCGGATGGATGGCGGTGGATTGGTCACGAGTTCCACCTTATCAGAGAACAGAAATGGCTTCGTTTTCTTCGCCTAAGCATTGTCATGTTGCAATGGGGTTCGAACTCTTGGTCATTTTTCCCTTACCTTTTCAAAGACACTGGACATACAAATTGTGGTGTTTCACTCACCATTAACTGTCTTTTGCTTATCAAGTGGGATCGTGTAGACAGGACCTCTAGGAGAAAAAAATTCAATCATTTTTTAGCCAACGCTTTTTGTCTGCCTCGATGTTGTTGCTTTGCTGTCGCCTTCGAACACCTATACATTAAACTGTTGCTTTCTTTCCGGTATGTAACAATATAATATCCATGTTTCATCTCCAGCCACAATGTCATACACAGCACTTGAACGTGATCATAATTTAACATATTTTTACATCATCAACACGAGGCCGTTTTTGTCCTGGAGGATTCATGAGGAACGCAGCAGCAACAAAGTTTTCTAACTTTTAAATGTTGATGTAAAATTTTTGTAATTGGCTCATACCAACACCCGATCAGGCTATGGTGTCACTGATGTGGTGCTTCAGATAATGGAACTATTTATTCCATTATCTGTGGACCCATCGGAGGCGGATTTCAGTCTTGATTTGATCGCTCCTGTAAGACTGCATTACGCAGTAAGCAGGAGTGTTTTCAGGTCTGGGCGACGCTTCGCCGGCCCAGCATGTAAACACCAGCATTCTTGAAAAGAAGTACAACTCCGCCTCCAGGTCCTTCCAAAGAGTTATTGCCTAGGCCAAGTTGCTAGAATTGGCGAGAAATTAGTTCGCCTTCCTTCGGGAACCCGTGCATTCTGGTCTCTCGCCAAGGCAAGGACGGAGAATATCGGTTAGCTATCACTTCCATCTCTGCGTAGGGAAAACGGCTCACTGGCCCACGATGCAACAGAAAAAGCCGACCTTTTACGCTCCCTTTTTCCGTCCAACACGACTCTAGTTGACGGGGAGAACACACTGTCAACAATCCCCCAGTGTTGAGTACTCTATGCTCGATGTGCGATTCACTCAGTGCTTCACAAGTCGAGTGGGCCTTACGGAATCCCCCAATTGTGCTGACGTATGCTCCAGATTTGGCTCCAGTTCCAACGGGTCTTTTCCTACTCCTACTCCTTAGGCGTAGTTCTGAATTCATGAAAGTCAGCTTACGTGACTCCGATCGCTAAAAAGGTAATCGCTCTGATCTGTCCAATTACAAGCCTATCGCCATCACCTCCTTGTTCTCGAAAATAATGGCGTTCATTATCAATTGCCAGCTCATGCGGTACCTTGAGCACTAGCTGATTAGTGACCGCTAGTACGGTTTCCGCCGGGGTCGTTCAGTTGGTTATCTTCTTGTCTACCTAACACACCGATGGGCGCAGGCGATCGAGTCCAATTTCACAACTAATAATTGGTATACAGTAGTATACCAATTATATGTTACTGACCGGTAACATTGCTATGCGGGCGACAGAACTGGTGATGCTTTATACACCGGCCGTTTCTCGGAAAAACGTCGCCAAGTACTGAAACAAACTTGTGTCTGAAGTCGAGACTTTGTTGAACAAAATCTTGGCTAGGGGGCAACTAAATTTACTTCAGGTCAATCCCCAGAAGACACAAGTTTGCGCCTTTACTGCTAAAAAGAACCGCATTGTCGTATCTCCTCAGTTTCAGGGCACTCCCCTTGTTGCCTCAACCAGTATCAAAATCCTCGGTGTCGACATGTCGAATGACGTGCAGCATCGTGGTCACTTAGAAGAGAAGGCCAAATTGGCCCCTAAACACACAACTGTCCTTTGTGCACAAAGGACAGTTGTTTCACCATCGCACATCACGACAAAACTCGCGATACCATCCGTACCATCTGGATGATTGGTGGTCCACCACTGCGATTGACAAGATAATTTTTTCCTCGCACAACTTCCTTGTGGAATCGAATAATACCAGCGATTTATTTGGACCTATACGATTGAGGGACCTTCAATAAAAGAGCCCACTCTTTTTTAAAAGGCTGGCATCGCATCTGCAATTCCCCTGGTATTGCATTTGTTCATAGGCGGTGGTAATCACTTACAATCAGGTAAGCCGAATGCCTGTTTGATTATTTGCCTGGCAGTGACCACATATTCCTCAGTGATAGCAGTTGAGGGTCGATCTTAATTAATTTCATCATGGAGAGAAACACGGCCATGATCAAATTTTGCGTAACAAAGATTTATGGTGCTAAGGAGATGGCTCCCTTTAAGCATTCTGAAGATGAGCAGTACAATCTTGTGAAGAGAGTTACCTTTTAAAATCGTTTAAAATCTTTTCGCATTAGTTCTATTTTTGCTACGGATTAAAAACTTTTAACTTGTGATAAAAAAAACAATTGACATGCGGCTTTCCGTCAAAAAATATTTTAATAAATATGTTATGAGTCTCAAAAATTAAAAAAATTACAATTCGAAATTCAAACATTTATGAGCGGCTAGGTGTGCAGAACTTTCATTCTACCTTTATAGTCACTTGATAGTGCGAAATGAGATGCGAATTGCCAGTTTTACATTTTTCTTCTTATCCTACGCGTTAGATAAAGTCAATTTTCATGAGTGTATGTGTGTTTAGCGTGGCTGGTGAATCTTTACCGCGGGTACCTGTGCATATGCGCGGGCGGCGAGCAGCAGCTGGGCGGCGTGGAGCGGCACGCGGAGGCGGCGGCGGCGCAGTGTCTGCGCGAGTGGCGCCGCCTGCCGCGCGTCGTGTCGCACGCGCACCTGCCGCTGCTCCGCGCCGCGCAGCAGCTCATGGAGCTCAGCGAGGCCGCGCAGATACACACCGTACGTACCTACGTACCTACGTACCGCAGCGCTGCGCGAGTGGCGCCGCCTGCCGCGCGTCGTGTCGCACGCGCACCTGCCGCTGCTCCGCGCCGCGCAGCAGCTCATGGAGCTCAGCGAGGCCGCGCAGATACACACCGTACGTACCTACGTACCTACGTACCGCAGCGCTGCGCGAGTGGCGCCGCCTGCCGCGCGTCGTGTCGCACGCGCACCTGCCGCTGCTCCGCGCCGCGCAGCAGCTCATGGAGCTCAGCGAGGCCGCGCAGATACACACCGTACGTACCTACGTACCTACGTACCGCAGCGCTGCGCGAGTGGCGCCGCCTGCCGCGCGTCGTGTCGCACGCGCACCTGCCGCTGCTCCGCGCCGCGCAGCAGCTCATGGAGCTCAGCGAGGCCGCGCAGATACACACCGTACGTACCTACGTACCTACGTACCGCAGCGCTGCGCGAGTGGCGCCGCCTGCCGCGCGTCGTGTCGCACGCGCACCTGCCGCTGCTCCGCGCCGCGCAGCAGCTCATGGAGCTCAGCGAGGCCGCGCAGATACACACCGTACGTACCTACGTACCTACGTACCGCAGCGCTGCGCGAGTGGCGCCGCCTGCCGCGCGTCGTGTCGCACGCGCACCTGCCGCTGCTCCGCGCCGCGCAGCAGCTCATGGAGCTCAGCGAGGCCGCGCAGATACACACCGTACGTACCTACGTACCTACGTACCGCAGCGCTGCGCGAGTGGCGCCGCCTGCCGCGCGTCGTGTCGCACGCGCACCTGCCGCTGCTCCGCGCCGCGCAGCAGCTCATGGAGCTCAGCGAGGCCGCGCAGATACACACCGTACGTACCTACGTACCTACGTACCGCAGCGCTGCGCGAGTGGCGCCGCCTGCCGCGCGTCGTGTCGCACGCGCACCTGCCGCTGCTCCGCGCCGCGCAGCAGCTCATGGAGCTCAGCGAGGCCGCGCAGATACACACCGTACGTACCTACGTACCTACGTACCGCAGCGCTGCGCGAGTGGCGCCGCCTGCCGCGCGTCGTGTCGCACGCGCACCTGCCGCTGCTCCGCGCCGCGCAGCAGCTCATGGAGCTCAGCGAGGCCGCGCAGATACACACCGTACGTACCTACGTACCTACGTACCGCAGCGCTGCGCGAGTGGCGCCGCCTGCCGCGCGTCGTGTCGCACGCGCACCTGCCGCTGCTCCGCGCCGCGCAGCAGCTCATGGAGCTCAGCGAGGCCGCGCAGATACACACCGTACGTACCTACGTACCTACGTACCGCAGCGCTGCGCGAGTGGCGCCGCCTGCCGCGCGTCGTGTCGCACGCGCACCTGCCGCTGCTCCGCGCCGCGCAGCAGCTCATGGAGCTCAGCGAGGCCGCGCAGATACACACCGTACGTACCTACGTACCTACGTACCGCAGCGCTGCGCGAGTGGCGCCGCCTGCCGCGCGTCGTGTCGCACGCGCACCTGCCGCTGCTCCGCGCCGCGCAGCAGCTCATGGAGCTCAGCGAGGCCGCGCAGATACACACCGTACGTACCTACGTACCTACGTACCGCAGCGCTGCGCGAGTGGCGCCGCCTGCCGCGCGTCGTGTCGCACGCGCACCTGCCGCTGCTCCGCGCCGCGCAGCAGCTCATGGAGCTCAGCGAGGCCGCGCAGATACACACCGTACGTACCTACGTACCTACGTACCGCAGCGCTGCGCGAGTGGCGCCGCCTGCCGCGCGTCGTGTCGCACGCGCACCTGCCGCTGCTCCGCGCCGCGCAGCAGCTCATGGAGCTCAGCGAGGCCGCGCAGATACACACCGTACGTACCTACGTACCTACGTACCGCAGCGCTGCGCGAGTGGCGCCGCCTGCCGCGCGTCGTGTCGCACGCGCACCTGCCGCTGCTCCGCGCCGCGCAGCAGCTCATGGAGCTCAGCGAGGCCGCGCAGATACACACCGTACGTACCTACGTACCTACGTACCGCAGCGCTGCGCGAGTGGCGCCGCCTGCCGCGCGTCGTGTCGCACGCGCACCTGCCGCTGCTCCGCGCCGCGCAGCAGCTCATGGAGCTCAGCGAGGCCGCGCAGATACACACCGTACGTACCTACGTACCTACGTACCGCAGCGCTGCGCGAGTGGCGCCGCCTGCCGCGCGTCGTGTCGCACGCGCACCTGCCGCTGCTCCGCGCCGCGCAGCAGCTCATGGAGCTCAGCGAGGCCGCGCAGATACACACCGTACGTACCTACGTACCTACGTACCGCAGCGCTGCGCGAGTGGCGCCGCCTGCCGCGCGTCGTGTCGCACGCGCACCTGCCGCTGCTCCGCGCCGCGCAGCAGCTCATGGAGCTCAGCGAGGCCGCGCAGATACACACCGTACGTACCTACGTACCTACGTACCGCAGCGCTGCGCGAGTGGCGCCGCCTGCCGCGCGTCGTGTCGCACGCGCACCTGCCGCTGCTCCGCGCCGCGCAGCAGCTCATGGAGCTCAGCGAGGCCGCGCAGATACACACCGTACGTACCTACGTACCTACGTACCGCAGCGCTGCGCGAGTGGCGCCGCCTGCCGCGCGTCGTGTCGCACGCGCACCTGCCGCTGCTCCGCGCCGCGCAGCAGCTCATGGAGCTCAGCGAGGCCGCGCAGATACACACCGTACGTACCTACGTACCTACGTACCGCAGCGCTGCGCGAGTGGCGCCGCCTGCCGCGCGTCGTGTCGCACGCGCACCTGCCGCTGCTCCGCGCCGCGCAGCAGCTCATGGAGCTCAGCGAGGCCGCGCAGATACACACCGTACGTACCTACGTACCTACGTACCGCAGCGCTGCGCGAGTGGCGCCGCCTGCCGCGCGTCGTGTCGCACGCGCACCTGCCGCTGCTCCGCGCCGCGCAGCAGCTCATGGAGCTCAGCGAGGCCGCGCAGATACACACCGTACGTACCTACGTACCTACGTACCGCAGCGCTGCGCGAGTGGCGCCGCCTGCCGCGCGTCGTGTCGCACGCGCACCTGCCGCTGCTCCGCGCCGCGCAGCAGCTCATGGAGCTCAGCGAGGCCGCGCAGATACACACCGTACGTACCTACGTACCTACGTACCGCAGCGCTGCGCGAGTGGCGCCGCCTGCCGCGCGTCGTGTCGCACGCGCACCTGCCGCTGCTCCGCGCCGCGCAGCAGCTCATGGAGCTCAGCGAGGCCGCGCAGATACACACCGTACGTACCTACGTACCTACGTACCGCAGCGCTGCGCGAGTGGCGCCGCCTGCCGCGCGTCGTGTCGCACGCGCACCTGCCGCTGCTCCGCGCCGCGCAGCAGCTCATGGAGCTCAGCGAGGCCGCGCAGATACACACCGTACGTACCTACGTACCTACGTACCGCAGCGCTGCGCGAGTGGCGCCGCCTGCCGCGCGTCGTGTCGCACGCGCACCTGCCGCTGCTCCGCGCCGCGCAGCAGCTCATGGAGCTCAGCGAGGCCGCGCAGATACACACCGTACGTACCTACGTACCTACGTACCGCAGCGCTGCGCGAGTGGCGCCGCCTGCCGCGCGTCGTGTCGCACGCGCACCTGCCGCTGCTCCGCGCCGCGCAGCAGCTCATGGAGCTCAGCGAGGCCGCGCAGATACACACCGTACGTACCTACGTACCTACGTACCTACGTACCGCAGCACTGCCCGAGTGGCGCCGCCTGCCGCGCGTTTTGTGTGACATCATAAAACCAAGAGATTTTTCTAATTTTCCTCACAGTCGCCTTTGCAACACGTAACTCGAAGTGAGATCAAAAATGTTCTTAGGAGCATCCTAACAAACTCACTTTTCATTTTAAAAAATGACAAAACGTAAGCACAAGCAAGTTATATTAATTAAATGATAATAATCAAATGGTTTGACAGGGACTCCTGCACAGCCGGCCGACGTCACTGCACGACATGAAAGCGATCGTGAAAACTTGGCGCAATCGGCTTCCAGTGGTGGCCGACCCGCTGTCGCACTGGGGCGCCATATTCACCTGGCGACAGCACCACTACCAGTTCATTGCCTCCCACTACGACTCACAGACAGACCACGGCTCTAACCACAGCATGCTAGGCGTACACGCTAGCGCACAGGTGCGTTTTAAATGTACAACACGGCAATGATTTTTAATGAGCAGAAAAGAAAAATAATTTCGGCCGAAAAAATCAATGACACATACCTTCTTCGGCTTAACACTTGTTGCATTTAATATACGTAACGTTGCGTGTTGCGATGCTATGATGCTTATTAAAATTAGATTTAACACAATCCTGAAACCATAATAATCTATTTCACAAAGCATGTATGAGAAATCAGCATATGATGACTTATTAATTCCATTCATTTCCTAAAAATGAACCAGATATTAATTTTATATAAAAGATAAATCTCTTTTATAATTGTAATTTAATATAATAATACTGCTTTTAATTCTACTAATTAAAATATAAACATGAAACAATATTACTTGGTGCCCGCATCGGAACGGTTACTTGTTAGATAGAGTCCAAGGGCGACGCCTTGGCCGTTAGTTTGGACATAGTGAAGGCCTTTGATTGGGTTTGGCACAAAGCGCTTCTTTCGAAGCTTCCTTCCTATGAGCTTCCAGAGAGATTGTGCATTTGGATCACCAGTTTTCGTGCAGATCGGAGCATCAAGGTCGTAGTAGACGGTGCATGCTCCTACTACAAGCCTATTAATACTGGTGTTCCACAAGGCTGCGTGCCATCACCAATGCTGTTTCTTCTGCATATCAATGATATGTTGCAAACCGGTAACATTCATTGTTAACTAAATTGTAACGACAGAACAATTTAGTTAACAATGAATGTTACCGGTTTGCGGTGATGCTTTATACACCGGCCGTGCCAATATTTCGCGGTAAAACGTCGCCGAGTACCTTCCGAGTAATCTCGGTAATTTATAAATCGAATTTTTATTTCGTTTTTACTATTACTACATGAGAAGAAACTTCAAATCTTAAATGTCGCATTGCCAATGCCAAGTGAAAAATATTATAAGATAATTTTTGTGTGACGGGCCTCTTACTATCAATTACACTATATAATTAAGAAAATAAACATGCTTATGCTATAATGATATAATAATTAGTGTAATTATTTAAACTTTTTCAGGCAATAATTCATTTCGCGAAAATAGCAAGAAAGCACAATCTATCTGGCGTTTGCCTTGACTCGTTACACCGAATATACACCATACCGAGTGTTCCAATAGTGGACTGCTTCCAGAAAATACGACAGCAAGTGAAATGCCATATTCAGATGTCGTGGACGGAAGGAAAAGACGAATTAACGGAGGGCTTAGAGATGATTGAATCCACAAACTTCAAATACTTCACAAAAGAGATGACTGCTGAGTTTTATGCGTTTAAAGGTCTCCTTTTAGCTCAATTAGGACGTTCTGAAGATGCGAACAAAGCCTTCGCGGCGGCTGTACAACTACATGATACACTGGTGAAGGCTTGGGCTCTCTGGGGTGACTATTTGGAACAAATATTTATAAGAGACCCGCGACAGATTACTATCGGAGTATCAGCAATGACGTGTTTCCTGCACGCTTGTCGACATCAAAACGAATCAAAATCGAGAAAATACTGCGCTAAGGTGAGTGACTTTATTAAATTTTAAAGTAATGTCGATTAATGTATAGTTGCAATACTTCTTTTGCTTAAGCATTGAAACTATTTATTAATAAAGTTGATAACTATGTATTAAATATTGCTAGCCAGATGTCATATTCTTGAAAAGGTCTGTGTCTAGTTCTGGACATAAAATAATATGTGATATGCTACTTTTCTATTATACAACGAGCCATAAAATAAAAACGAGACATGACCTACTAATAATTATTCTTCGTAAGTTAAATAATACTTCATATGTTATAAATAACAAGTAAAAGTTTGTAATACAATGTTTTATGTCTGCTTAAGGTTTTGTGGATGTTGAGTTTCGACGATGATAAAAACAGTCTAGCCGAGGCACTAGATAAGTATTCAGTAGGAGTCCCTCCTGTGCAGTGGCTTCCGTGGATACCGCAGTTGCTTGCCTGCCTTGTGCAGTACGACGGCAACGTTATTTTGAACCTTCTTAGTCATGTAAGTATTAAATTTACGTACGATTACGTGTATTCATCTTTTCTTCTAGTATTGAATAAGCATTCTAAATTTATTTAGTCCTAAGTTATCAAACTAGTGCTGTATATTTTTTGTCCGATTCGAAGGACCAAATACTAAGTATCTATATTTTTTTTATAATTATAATCATATAGACTATATGTTATCATTAGCTCTTGTGTGTATGTAAAACTCCTATAGTTAAATAAGTTTGCATCATATACTATTTAAGCTATTAACGTACTATAAAAATGTTTTTTTCCTGAAAAACAAACAGGTGGGACGTCTATATCCGCAAGCGGTATATTTCCCGATTCGCACGTTGTACTTGACACTCAAGATCGAGCAACGTGAGAGACATAAGAGCGCCGAAAACTTAGCCGCGCATCTACCTCATCAGCAGGGTGCTGCTGCTGCTGTAAGTATCTGCCACTTAATTATGTTTATTTTTTTATTTTTTTGTATGGAAACCAACAGTTGTAAATATTATATTACATCTAACACATGTCTTACATCTACAAATTACTATGTACAATCAATTATAGGAGAAAACAAGTTTAGTGAACAAAAGATATATAATAGTTTTTGTAACAAAAATAAAAGTTAAACTAATTAATTTTCTCATCTGTCGTTACATTTTTTTATAATAAGTGAGATCATGTTACAACTAATGTCCAGTGTCATTTTTTTTTTCATTTATTACAGCCTAATAAGAATCCACTGCTGAATACAGGCCTCCCTTATATATTACGCCTATAGTGTGGGGTATTTCCCATAGCTGCCATGCTTGGCAGGCGGGTTGGCAACCGCAGTATTTTTTTGTTGTTATCTCGAATATATACTGCTGCCCCATCACCTTTTTTATTGCTCTGTATTGACACTTAACCATAGACTAAGGACCAGAAGGGAAGCTTCCTAACAATGTCGAAAATCTATACCTATTCTGATATGGTTGTCACATGAGGCATGTGAAAAATTTAAGAAAAAAATAAAAAATATTATGTAGTAAGTTTTCCAAAAAAAAAAATAAAAAAGAAATGTTAAATATAACGGTTGTGTTAAGGGCGGGCGCGGCGCGGGTGAGGCGGCGAGCGAGGCGGGCCCCATCAAGGCGACGCTGCCCATGTGGCGCTGCTCCAAGATCATGCAGCTGCAGCGCGAGATACATCCCACCGTGCTCTCCTCACTCGAGGGAATCGTCGACCAGGTAAGCCCACTTTTGCGGTACATTTAAATTTTATCTTAGGTAAAGAGCTTTTGCCTACTATTTACTTCCTTAATGACACGTTAGCTACTAAGTTCATAACTACGATGCGATTTTGATTCCTATTTTCCCTTCATACTTTAAACGGGGTAAGGACCGTCATCATCTAATAAAAAAAAAAATACATTTTATCAACGACTAAGATAGATGCTATGCAAATAAAAAGTTCTGCACATCTCGAATTAAATAATATTTTACTCCCACACAAAAAACAGTTCGAAATATAAGTTTAGACTACAGAGCGAGGGAAAGAGGTGTAGAACAAATGTAAACAATTAGTTGTAGAAAAGATAGTTGAGTTGGAAAGGCAATCATAGAAAGCGTTTAAAAGCGGACGGACTAGCTGGCACTGGTCGGTAAAAATGAAGACGCCCGGACGACTACAAAGGCAATGAAACGATGCCAAGCATATTCAACAAACATTAAACAATAAACATATTCGAAACTGACAAATTGTATGTTGTTGTATTGTATATTGTTGTATTACAGATGACTATCTTTATTATGGCATATTTAAAAAATTGGAATCAAGTAATTACAACTATTAACAGCTTAAAACGATAAACTATTTACAAAAATGATCTATTTACATCTTAAATATGCAATCACTTAAAATAAAACTAACTTACTGGTATTTTAATAGGTGTTCCAAATAGAGTCCGTTTCTCACAATGCACAGTTGGGTACGATGATGATGATGATGAATGCAGCAATTATTTTGCTGCGGAGGTCGTCATAGCTTTGGATCTCTTCTACGTAAACTTGTCTCTTTATTTCGCCCCATAAATAAAAGTAATGGTATAGGGCCGCCACACCCAATCCACATATCTTCGTATTCGCTATTCAAATAATCATGCACTGCATTTGAATAGTGAAGCGGAGCATCGTCGTGTTGGAAATAAAAATTATTCAGTAACACTAGGGGTATATCGTCCAGGAAATATTGAATAAAACCTTGTAACATGTCCAAATAATTACCACCCATTAATAGTCTTTCAATGAAGTACGGGCCCACAATTATGTTATCATTAATTCCGGCCCAAACATTTACACTAAATTCCACTTGATGATAGCTATTATAGCGTGTGGGTTGCATACTGCCCAGTAATGTTCGTTACGACTATTATAAAGCCCTACACGTAACGTAACGTAAACTGGGCTTCATCAGTCCACATAATGTTAGTATTATCAATGTTTGACAACAACCATTCACAAAAACGTTTTCGAGGTGGAACATCGTTATTATTCAGTGCTTGCACACTTTGGTAATGAAATTGATGATATCCAAAAGAATTCAGTGGTTTTCGCACGTAGTACTGGCTGTGACAAGTAATACTACCAACGTAATTTTAAAAATAGGGCACTCGGTACGTAATGAGGTCACGGTCAAGTCAACACTGTCGGCCGGCCAGGTGAACGTACCCAGCGGTGTATTGGAAGGGAAAGGGCGGGGAGAGGGAGACGAGTTTGTTTTTTTCCGAGTCAAAACAACATTAGATACCTCTGTAACCGAGCGCGACCGCCGAACGCCACTGACTACTTACGAATGTGTGCGTGCGTATAAAATAGTAGGCGCTTCATATTTATAAATGAAAATTAATTAAAATAATGCATTTCCACACATTTTGAATAAAAAGGATAAAATGTTTTAGTTTTTTTTCTTGTTTATTTTGTTTTCACCATTCGCCTCTGTTATCTATTCAGAACCTCCTTTGCAAATTTGGCCGTATATTGCAAAATAACCATGTATATATTAATCTGTATATATAAAATTCACTTCCATAATTTGTAACACAATCGAATAAATTGGTTTATTCCATAATCAGGTTTACAGTCATTAACAACTCTAGCGTTGAACGTAGGTCTCTTGAAAAGTTGAGAGGATATTCCTATAGTTTGTTTTATAATTGTTACCAAGTTAACTATTTCGTTTGTGGTTTAGCTCAAAAGAGAAAAGACCATCCGACGTAAACTGATCGTATTATAGCTGCATTAACGTTAACGGTTTTGTGTGACGAGTGATGATTACTTATTAATGTATTATCGCATGCTATAAGGAAATAGTACTCAGCTGTGCTCGTCTCCATGCCCTGTAACTAGGGGAGTACCTCAAGGTTCCATACTTGGTCCACTTATTTTTATTTTATATACAGCGGACGTATGTCGCCATATAAGGCACTGCAAGTTCCACCTATACGCTGACGATATACAGATTTATCTACCATTTTTTCCTAGTGACGTAGAAAGTGCAGTAGCAGAAATAAATGAGGATTTGCATCACATCTCATTATGGTCAGAAGCAAATACGCTTGTGCTTAACCCATGCAAATCCAAATTCATACTGTTAGGGTCAAAGGGGCAGGCGACTATATAATGAAAACGAAATTTGTTATAAGCATTCGTTGAGAACCGGTGGAACGTGTAAGTGAGACTCGTAATCTAGGATTGCTGACGGACCAGGGTCTTCGCTTTGAGAATCATGTACTTGAAATCACACGCAACTGTTTTTATAGGCTCACAGTACTGTAACAAGTGCGTGATTATCTCAGTGAGTGTTCGTCTACGCGTATGTGCGTTACTCGTACTTTCAAGGCTTGGGTACGCAGATACTGTGTATGGTCCTAGGTTATTTGCTAAAACAAATAGGTCAATACAAAGGGTCCAAAAAGCATGTGAAAGGTACATCTTTCATATACCTCGATATCATCATGTACATCCCTATCTTAACAAGTATATATTAAGGATGTCATTGAGGCGATTTTTACATTTAGCTACGCTTTTTTTCGGATGCATAAAATCAGAAATTAAAATGGAGAAGAGCAGATGATGGTCGAAGCATCAGAACGGTTACCCCAATACTGGCAACCCCATATCATCGAACAGCCGCGTTTCGTGGCAGTTTAGATACATGGCTACTAAATGATGGAACAATTTACCACCACCCATACGGGAAACTAAATCTGTAAACTGTTTTAAAGCTAAATTAAAAATACACGATACCACTCTCACCATCTGGATGTTAAGCGGTCCACCACTGTGAGTTTTACTAGGAGTTTTCTTCCTCGTACAACTTCCCTGTGGAATTGTTTACCAGCGGCGATTTTTCCGGACCGATACGACTTAGGAACCTTCAAGAATAGAGCCTTTTTCTGACCCTTTTTCTAAAAGGCCGGCAACGCACCTGCAATTCCCCTGGTGTTGCGGTTATTTATGGGCAGCGGTAGTCACTTACCATCAGGTGAGCCATATGCTTGTTTGCCCCCTCTTCTATAAAAAAAATGTAAGCCTTAATCTAGGCAGGTTGTGGTGATACTTAATTATTAGTATAATGTTAAATCTCCAAAACCTACAACTAGCAGAATAAATTACTTATTCTATTCTATTCAATAAGTCTAATTTGAAAATAAGTCCTTCAGTTACCATCTTCCTTTTTGGGCCCATTTTTAGTCATTTTAGCGGTTAAACCTCGAACTCGCTTATTATGCTCATTATCAAGAAAGCCCAAGTATTGTGACGGGCAACTACGGAACCCTGCCTCTACATTGTGCCTGCCCGACACGCACTTGGACAGTTTTTGTTAACTCGTTTTCGTGTACATCTGTTCGGGTCAAATTTAGTAATTGATTTTAAACTAATTTCCCAATCTAGCTCATTAGGAAGTTTTTAGAGACTTGAAATTTTGGACATAGCTTAGAATCGGTTGAAAATAAAAAAATATAAAGCAAAAAAACACATGGTATATTAAAAAAATATAAACAATTATTGCTTTCTAGCGATATGCCCTGGCTTCTCACGGGTGATTTCTTGACCTCGACAACAGCTCCATCTACCGGGTACAATTGTGAATCAACCATCTAGGGATCCACTCACACATATTTCATCAAAATCGGTCGAACCAGTTTCGAGTTTTAGCGAGACTAACGGACAATTGATTTTTATATATTTTTTATTTTTGTATAAAGTATATATATTTTATATATTTTTTATTTCTATATAAAAATTTCTTTAGATTGGCCTAATATGTGGAATATTACGGTATTGGAATGTTAATGTAATATTTGTGGTGCACAGATGGTGTGGTTCCGCGAGAACTGGTACGAGGAGGTGCTGCGGCAGCTGCGCGCGGGGCTGGCCAAGTGCCACGTGGTGGCGTACCACCACCGCGCCGCCGTGGCCGATGCCACCGTCACGCCGCACACGCTCAACTTCGTCAAGAAGGTCGTCTCCACCTTCGGCATCGGCATCGGCATAA